ATATCAGAGGCAAAAATTTAGCCTCGTTGTATAGAAAATAATTAGAATACATGGTATGGTTGAGCTCTGTTACATTGTGGTAGTCTGTGTGTGGGGGGAGTGGGTGTCCATAAAATATTAACCCAGGGAGTGGTGTCATTGGCAACCTAATGGCCTGGAAGTTATCTATTTTTTAGCACGAGCAACAGCCATCGCACAGAAAGCGAGCTGGCCGGCTTTTTATATTTTGATGAATAAATGCCAAGGAGCACACCCGATTGAGGTGCGTTGTAACAATGTTCCACTGTACTCGCTTCTGTGTCTGTCTATATTTTCTGTTCTGATTAATGGGATATTCACATCCTGGGAACAAATCTAGAGAAAATTTAACTGGAATTGACAGGAGATGTAATAATGCTTTTTACGCTCATGTTAACACAGACAGAATTAAAATGTATATAGTAATAAAATAAAAGTCACAGAGTTTTATAATAATAATCTTTGCATTTGATATAGTGCTTCTCACGTCTTTGAGAACTTTCAAAGCACTTCAATATAAATATAAATGCAGTGTGATGTTTATTTGTACAGTGTATTTGTACTTTGGTGATAAAAATCTATCGCTTTCCTGACTTGTATATTGACTCTTAATAGATCATTGGACTTCATTGTTAATCTGCAAAAGAAAGTTAATGCAAAGGAAACCCATAGGATTTTGCTACAAAATGGTTTTGATTGCAGGAAAATTTCACTGTAAAAAGTTTAATGAAAGGTACCTTCATATTAATTTTGGCTTTCTACTAAAGGAAAAAGAAATCAGATCTCTTTTAAAATATTATTTCCTGCAAATAATATTTCATGGCAAAAAGATCTGGATTATACTGAGCTTCCTGCTGAAAATTCATATACATTTTTTGTCTAAGTCTAGCTTCCTTTTTTCTCCCAAATGTCTTTCATCATGGTTCTAGCAATCCTCCATTGTTTCCAAGTATTCTGGGTTCACATCTGGATTATTTGGCTTCTTCAGGAAGTATTGAAAATGCAAAGTACACATTGCACACGGTGCCTTTTCATTAGCTCCTTTGGTGTCATTGGGTTCTGTTATTACATGGTACATAATTTGAGGAATTTATTATTAGAGGGAATTACAGGTACCCTTAATTATGTAGTTAACAACTAATTACTTTAATTGAATGTCTGTTTCTTTATGATCTCCAATGCCTATATTCATCAAAATAAATATATCCTTTGGTATGTGATGTTTACATTGGAAATACATTTTTACTCTGAGCATTCAGGTCTTTAGATTAGTCACTTTCCAGTTAAATAATTATTTACACCTAATCTCAACTTCACTTTTCACAGGTACTGTACTGTTTTGGATTTCCAATAGGACTTGCACACAGGTCATTATCAAAGGTGTAGTATTTGTAGTGGGAAATTTGCAATATGTAATGTAATAAATGTCAACATCATTATAAGATATAGTAGTTTATGACAAATTTTGGGCTGAATACCCTTCTGAATTTTAGTGAATGGTTTCTTCCTTCTTTTCAACATTGTATGAGCATCCTTTTTTAAAAAACTGTATGAAAATGTTACTAAATTTTAGCCACAAGAATTTTGACTTGCATTTTAGTTTTAAATTATTTTGGTTCTGAAAAATCTGAGCTGAGCGGGGGTGGGGGGCGGGGGAATAGATTTTGAGTTGCTTGAAAAGAAATCTTAAAAGGCAGAGGAGTTCGATTAGACTAAGTGACCAAAGTGGAGGAAAAACATCAGAGCAAATTTGATAGGCTGACTAGCCTGTTTCAGTGCCATATTATTATATGACTGAAACATGACTTTATGCTGGTATGATTTTGCTTTGGAAAAGTTAACCCAGAACAATACTTTAGGATCCACCAAGAGAATAGAACAAGAATACATAGTTTTAAAGTAGCAAAAGTCAATTTTAGGATAGACACAACCAAGTTTTTCTGTACCCAGTAGGTAATTGATGACTGGAACTGGTTCCCAGGAAAGGTGGTTGAGGCCAGATCATTTTAATATTTTTTTTAAAAAACGCAATGGGAGGGTAGGTGTTCTGAAAGGATGCGATTCTTCATCTGAATTAATCTAGTGTGAAAGCTCACTGCTACTAACTGGTAGAAAATATAATCTTCAGAAACCCTTAACTACTTTTTTGAGAGTTAAGTATTTTCTGTTTTCCCTATTCGTTTAATTTTGATTTGCTTTGTATGACAGATAATCCATATGATCCAAATAGTTAGTTGTTCTCTTGTTCTTTATGTTCACCAGTTGATTAAATTAAATTAGATACTGATTCAGTTATATAACTGAGAATTCTGGTTAAAAGGGCTGAATCATCCTGCAAAAACAGCAGTATTCAATATTGTATTGTTCAACAACAACCTGTAAGGCACCTTGCATGTAGCACTTATATAGCACATGTTACACCTCAAAGCACCTCACAGAGACAGTAAGGGAGCCCAAGCAGCATAGGGGATGTGGATTGGGCAGAGACAAGAGGATGTTGACTGAAAGCCTAATCAAATACATAGGATTTTAGAAGGGTTTTAAAAGTGGAGAGGGAGGATGCAAGTCAGAGATTTGGGGAGTGTTCCAGAAAGCAAAGTGGCTGAAAATGCTCTAATCTTTTCTTCCCTCCTACCACCCCAATAGACTGGCAGAGGGGGCTAGGAATATGGAACAGGCCTGAGATATCAACAGAAGGAGTGGGACTGCATGAGATCAAGGAATTAGAGTGGGGCATGGAAGGATTTGAAAATTAGCACAATGATCTTAAAGTTAATCTGCTGGGGAATAAACAGCCAGAGAGCCTCACAAGGATGTAACCTTTATAATGTAATTTTGAGTTCTGAACTGTTTCAAAGGAACATTCTACATCATTGATCCTATTTTAAAAACAATTTTACAGGTGATGATTAACTTCATTGCAATACTTCCCTATAATTGGCTCATCACTGTGTCTATAGCAGAAGTATTTTTATTTTTATATGATTTTCAAAATGGCCTTACCTACAAGGTAGTGACTGTCATGAAATCGATAGTATGGCACTGTGACAGAAAAGTTCAGTAACTGGAACTGCAGAGTTATAGGGATGCGATTAATGAATGCACAACTACAAGACCATTCCCTTTGGATTTGGTTGCTTTCTTGAGCTTTAATTCTATTTCCAGTCGTTCATGTATGTAAACTCAAAACTGTGACTTTACCTTCAATAGTCAGGGCATGTCCAGTCAGTAAAATGAATTGGCCCAGTCTCCTCAAGATTATTTTGTGCAGCTTATTGAATTTTCGTTTTTTCTATAGCCCTGAGGGGATTCAAAGCAATCAGAGTACTTGTTTCTAAAATGAAACATCTACTTGCTGTGTCAGTATTAGGTTTACTCCCAGGGAGTTTGAGGATTGTATAAATCAATATACTTTCAAACTTTTTTTAAAAATAAACTATCATCTTGGGTGCAATTCTGCTTCTTTCATTTGGCAGTATTAGGTTTCTTGGTGTTCCCAGTGCAGAAATGAGCACCGACTTTCCATTTTGGACCACAATGTTTGAATATCCATAAATTGGATGAGCAGACATATTTAGCTATTAAACTGTCTGGAAATATAAATATAGATATTAAACTGCCTTGTCTTTTCATCATAGAAATTGGCCGGCTCCTGATTCTGGTAATTAATCACCACTGTTCTACGCAGTTTAGTTGTTGAAAAGGTAGGGTGTTTCTTGCAATTGTAAATTGACCAGTCTGCTTTGCTACTTCCACCAACTTTATAGAATATGACGTCAGAGACAGGTTGAGCTTTACTTTTTCTTTGTATTCAGTTTCTATTTTTAAATACCTGCAATCACCCAGATTTAAGTGTGAATTAATTGCCAATGACTTTACAGAAGCCCTGGAACAAGAAAACTCCTCATAAATGGCACTTTGATCTGTAAGAACTGCAGAATATACTGTAAATTGAATTGACTGTATATTTTGGGGCAAAACCAGCAGCCAATACATACAGCAGTGTCCCACAAACAGTTGTGGATTAAATGACCAAATATATTCATTTTATTAAATTTATTTTTGTTTTCAAGGAATTATTACCCCCGGAAACGTGACCGCCAATCGACTTACAACCAGGTACCTACTTACTGCTAGGTGGAGGCGTGTGAAGTAAACTTGCCCAACATTTTGCTTTGCCGGGAATAGAACCCAGGTCTCTCGTTTGCGAGGCGAGTCCTCTAACCACTAAGTTAAGAAGGCCACGTGTCTTGTATAAGAACATCATTTGACAGCATCTTCAGTTAAATGCCATTCATTTTTTGGTCAGTGGCCCACTGCTCCCATTGATAAAGCACCTGAAAACGGTTTTCTTCGATGAATGGCTCTATATCATGTGAAGCACTTTCCGAAGTCTTACGAAGATAAGGTGCTGTATGAAATGCAAGTTTTTATATATATATATATATAGTTGTGGGTTAAGCGGGTATTAAGAAAGAAGGTCTGCGATCGTGTAAAGAAACAATCATAAGCTTTTAATGAAACGCACTGCACCATGTGTGGTGGAGGTCATTGACGTGCACTCCCAAACAATCTGCTCAGCTCAGCTGCGGGTACCAAAGGCAATTGTAGCCCAAACGCAGCTAAATACCCGCCCAAAAGTAGTCCAATATTCTGCGCGGTCCACTGTGGGTGGCAGAGAAAATGTCTTCAAAGGAGGTGGAGACGTTTTGTAGGTTTCAATGTTTTTTTTAAAAAATGCGGCACTCGCTCAAAGCTTTTTTGTTCACGCTCAGTACCGTACAAACGAGCCCAATTGGGCGTGAAGCCGCCCAACCCGCACCATTGATCGCAGACCTCCTCAGCTCCTCCCCGCACCTCCCAGTGGGCACCGCAGGTTTCCCTCAGTCCCCAGGTGTGTGGTGTGGAGGGGAGATGGCGGCTCCTCACTGACACCCTTGTGCCCCAGGCCCTGCCCCGCTTCTCGTCGCAGATCCCACAGCGAGCAGTGGGAGCTGTCACGGTCAGAGTATTCCGGTGTAAATGCCTCACTGCGGCAGCCACAGCAGTTGTATTTTTGAACAGCGTTAATTTCTGTAAAAATTGGGTTGTTCTTAGCAATAGGGATTTTTGCCTTCTGTGTTTATAGAAACTGATTTTTTTCTTTTATGTATCAATGTCTTCATATGCCATGCAGCACTGTTAAGCACCTTGAGATGTCCTCCCTACCCAATTAATAATAATCCCTCAAGAGAAAAACAATAAAATTGTTCACTTCGATCCACGACTGTCTGTGGGGCACTGCTGTGCGCAATTGGCTGCCGCGTTTTGGCCACAAATATACGGTCAATTCACTTTACAGTCTATTCTGAGAAGCGCTTTGAGACGTCGAGAAGACGTGAAAAGCGCTTTACCAAATGCAAAGATTTTTTTACCTGAAATGAATTATATTAATATATTCTTACACGTCACAAAGAGCCTATTCCTTCATGCCCAATTGTCCTGAAAAGTGGTTTCTACACGATAGCATTCATTGACAACAGTGATAGAAATTTATTTTTAATACAAATTTTAAGTATCTCCAGCGATTAATGGGTAAGGGCTACACAACAACTACTTGCACTTACATAGCACCCTACACGCAGGGTCGTGTCCCGGAGCCTACACAGCTATACACAGGCTGTAGGTTCCCATCCCAGTCTGGTGTATCAGTTAGTCTCAGCCAGGGCAACAGTTGGGGTAGCGACAATTTGCCTCAGGGTGGTTGGGAAAAGTCAGCCAGGTTTCGTACGACTTGACACATGCTGGATATTACATAGATATTGGGTCAGGATGTTCAAGTTCGATTGTGGTGCTCCTCAATGTTAAGTAACCTTCCTTAATTTACTGTTAAGGCTCCAAAAATATTGACCACTTGGAAGGCATTTGCCTGTCGACTCTTAAAAAGTAGAAGCGTAAAAGAGTGAAACGTCTTAAGTAGAGAGCAATAGAGTTTCATTCATTAAATGTACTGTTAAAGCAATAACAGTCTTCAACATTAATATTTTCACAATTAAATCTATCTGCAACAGCATTGATTTTTGACACACTTTGTATTCTTGTTTTCTAGCTGAGATCTGGTTAATCCAGAACATTCTAAACATACCTGCTGGTCAGAAACTACCAAGATGGAAAACCCCATCCAATGGGCGCGCTATAGATGGCAGAGATTACTGTCTACAGATGGAAGTAGTAACCGAGGCATTTTATCAACAATCCAAGGGTGGTTCAAGACTTCTCAGACACAGAAAAATGGACACAAAAACAGAATAGTTGTTGCCTCCTTTGCAGGATTAGAGGAGTATGAAAAGATCACCAAGTATTACGTGAATAATAGAATTCAAACCACTAAATACACCCTGCTAAACTTTGTTCCTCGGAATTTATTTGAGCAGTTTCACAGGTAATGTCTTAAATATAATAGTTTTTGAATATAAACTGTGGGTGTGGAATTGTTTTGCTTTGAATGCTTTATCTGCCAACTTTGTTCTCTTCATTTTCCTTGAAAGTGCATTGGTTATCATTTAAGGTGGTCTAACTTTTTTGCTGCTGAGGGCCGGATGCCCAATTTGAGGAATGACCGCGGGCCGCATAAGTAATAATTTTGTGTTTTTCCAGAAACATAACATTAATGAGTTATGGAGGGAGTGGTGGGCCAGACAAATTGGAGGGAGGGGGCTGGATAAAATCGGCGGGACACCAGTTGGACTACCCTGATTTAAGTAATGCTGCAGTCGAGGGATTCACACTATAGAAAATCTGTATGGTTTGTAAAGTGAATCTCTGCAAATGTTTTTTAAGTGAAGGAGAATGAATTTACAATTTACTTTGGAGGAACAGGGTGGAATTTAATTCTCTTATAACTACACTGAAATGTAATTGAATGCATTTCTGCTACTATACAGTAACTCCAACAACGAAGTGACAACTATTGTCTCCTTGATATATATATTTTTGGGGGTCAGCCGGGTGTGTGCCACATACAAAAACCCATCAGCAACTTGCACTTATATAGTGCCCTCCATGCATGTTAGCGTCTCAGAGCGCTTAAACAGTGATGGAGCCTGATTCCGGGAGTGGGGGGAGTGACCATAAGCATGGTCGAAATGGAATTTTAAGACAACGGTATCAGACTTTATATTAATTATAAAATGCTTTTATTTCGATTATGTAACTGCATCAAATGTGAACAGCCTGATTCTTTCGTTTTATAGTTTCTTACAGTGAACTTCAGTTACTGTTCTAACATTCTGGCTTCGTTGAATTCCACATAGTGTACCAAGTACACATGGAAGTTTCCGTGTCTGGAATGGAATACACACTCTCTCCTTGGAGGAGCACGCCCTGCTTACCTACTTCCAGAGAGTATTTGGCAAGAGCCAAAGCTTCTCTCGCCCAATACTCTCCAGAAGTAGGTAAAACCTTGGGGACCCCAGAGTGTTTGTCGGGGTATTGCTGGAGTTAAACCACCAAAAAACGCATTTGAGAGCTTGCCTTTGAGAGCACTGTAGCAACCTCACTGCTTGTCCAGCTCGGATCACACTACTCGTTAGGGCTTGGCTTGCAGGGTTAACAAGAGCTGAATCAATGGGAGGAATGCTTTCCTCCCATTGATTCAGCTCAATAGAGTCAGCTCTATAGATACCCCATTTATCTCCCCTTCTAGAAGGATTGTTCTATAGAGCCAGATAATCTTTCCCTCCATTGTCCTTTTGGAGATGCTGAGCAGATCCAGTACTAATTCAAATAGTATGAGTTGTTTCCGCAGTCGTTGGTATAGTTGCAACATGGAATTATTCATGCAGAGCAAATTTGTCAATTTCAAAAAAATTCTCTTTGATAAAGATGTTGTTATTGAGGTATTCCAGTTATTTCCCCATCATTCATTTTTCCATTTTGTGTCTTTCAGGGTTGCAAACATTTACTTCCTGTTTATAGTGGCACTAAACTGGGTGCCGTTAGTGGAAGCTTTTAAGAAGGAGATAACTATGATGCCTTTGGTGATAGTTCTTCTAATTATTGCAATTAAAGATGCGATTGAAGATTTCAGGCGCTATAAGTTCGATCAACAGTTAAACAACCGAGTAACTGATGTGTATGACAAGTAAGCCTAGAAGTTTTCCCTTCACCCTTTTTGGCAAATATGTTGCCTTTAATACATTAAACAGAATAGTATGATTATTTATCAGAATACAATAACACTTCTAAATTTTATTTGTGTTTTGAATATTTGCAGTATTTAATAGCAATGACTGACGTTCACTTTAACAATCAGCCTTAATGTAACCCTCCCATCAGCATTACAGGTTTGTGAATTTAGTGGATTAAAATTAAAATAGAACATTTGTATGAATTAAGAACAAATCTAGAAGTATTCTCCCCTGCACTTTGTAAGTAGATTCTCTCAGCCTATAGAATCTAGTGTTTTATGCCGAGTACATGTACCCCCCTACACTTTGCCAAGACTTTCCAAATGATGATATTACACCACATACCAGCAGATAATGTCCGTATAGATTTCTTAAAAGAGGCACTGCCATGAAGAGACACTCTGACAACTGAACTTTTTATCAAAAGGAAAGATTGAGGGGAGATGTATTTTAGATTTTGAGAATGGGAGAGTTGGATAACATAATATATAATAATAATAATAATAATCCTTGCATTTGATATAGCGCTTTTCACGTCTTCTTGACATCTCAAAGCGCTTCACAGAATAGACTGTAAAGTGAATTGACTGTATATTTGTGGGCGAACGTGGCAGCCAATTGCGCATAGCAGTGTCCCACAAACAGTCGTGGATTGAAAATGACCAATTTATTATTGTTTTGTTTTGGAGGGATTATTATCAGGCGTGTGGAGTAAGGAAACTTGCCCAAGATTTCGCCCTGCCTGGAATTGAACCCATAGATGTAAACAAATAATTTAACGTCGATTGTGAGCAAAGAAACAAAAAATGTCAGCACAAAAGGATGCCATTGTGTCTGTGCCATCACTACTTCTATTATTTTAATTCACTCTTTATATTAATCCCACTTTCTAATAGAACATGATTACAAAAATTTCTGGAAAAATGAGATTGAGACATTACACATAGTTAATATTTGAAATAGACTCCCAGATTAAGTAATTGATTATCTTGTTGCAATCTGTCAATCTAATCCTATTTCAGTGCAACCCTATTGCTTGTGCTGTCAGTGAGATAATTATTTATTTATATTTAACTCCCAAGTAAGTTTTTAAAAAACATAATGGATCTATGAAGAGTATTTTTTTCAAATAGAGATTACTTAGAGATAGAATAAACTGTAATAGACAGAAATGAAAAAGTGAAGTTAAAATAATAGGAGATATATTAAGAGGAAAAGAAAATTGAAGGAATGGAACACCAAATGTACAGAAGTGTACATAGGAACAAAGGAATCCACATGAAGAATTATAGGTCACCTGGCTGGTCCTAAATTAAGAAATACATATTATGCCATTTCTCATACCCATCAAAAGATGTATTCCTCAAAAGCTATCTAATCATCTTTTGCATTTGCTGTCACAATCTCTCTCCACCAACACCCTGTGCAGTTCATTCAAATTTGTGTCAATAATTATATACAGTATAAACTACCTGTTTGTCTTCCCTTTTTTGAGCTTCATTCTGTTCCTCCTGTTATAGAATGTGTCACTATGTTAAACATATTATTAGGGTTCAGGTTATATATACCCTTTGGCATATTGAATACTTCAATAAGATCACTTCTAGTCTTCCCTCAGCTTTCGTAGCCTCCTTGTAACTCAGATTCCAAAGATTCCTGGAGCTTAGTGGTTAAAGCACTTGCCTCGCAAGCAAGAGGAACAGGGTTCAAATCCCAGCAGGGTGAAACATTGGATAAGTCTCCTTACTCTACACGCCTGTTTATCTAGCAGTAAGAAGGAACCTGGTTGTTAGTCGATTAGACAGATTGCATTTCCAATGATAATAATTCCTTAAAAAATAATAATTTGGTCACTCAATCCACGACTGTCTGTGGGACACTGCTGTGCGCAATTGGCTGCCATGTTTTGCCCATAAAATATAAAGTCCATTCACTTTATTGTATATTCTTTGAAGCTCTTTGAGACATCTCAAAGATGTGATAAGGCGCTATATCAAATGCAAGAATTATTATTATTCTAGTTATAGATTTAGTTGTCCTTTGCTCTACCCTCTCTAATGTGGGTTATTTGCAATAGCCGCTGTGTTTTTTATTTTGAATTTTGAAAAGTCCTGGTTCCTAATTCTGAATTGATGAGTTTATCATTTTCAGAGAGGAGAAGGACTACGTTCCACAATGGTGGAAGGAAGTGCATGTTGGAGATTTTATTCGATTGAACTGCAATGAGTTGATTCCAGCAGATATGGTGTTGTTGTACTCCTCTGATGATGACGGAATCTGCCACATTGAAACCTCCAATTTAGATGGTGAGACCAACTTGAAACAACGAGAGGTGGTGAAGGGATTGATAGAGCTGGTAAGGAACTTTTTTAAGCATTAATGACCTGAAGTACATAGTACAAAAGAATTGAAACATTCCTCTCTCACTAATAGTTCTGTATTTTATCATATATAACACACTCTTAGAGAATGTTGTGATCCTGCAGCTTAATGGTTGGAACATTCACCTCACAAGCAAGAGGACCTGGGTTCAATTCCCAGGCAGGGCGAAACATTGGGCAAATTTTCTTACGCCACACGCTTATGTTTATCTAGCAGTAAGTAGGAATCCGGTTGTTAGTTCATTGGCGGAATGCTTTTCCGGGGGTAATAATCTCTTAAAAAAAAAAAATTTGGTCACTCAATCCACGACTGTTTGTGGGACACTGCTGTACGCAATTGGCTGCCGAGTTTCGCCCACAAAATATACAGTCAATTCACTTTACAGTATATTCTGTGAAGCGCTTTGAGACCTCTCGAAGACGTGATAAGGCGCTATATCAAATGCAAGGATTATTATTATGTTGTTTAATTTTAGCACATGTGCACTCAGGATTTAGGTTGCTAATGCTGTTTATATGGTGCATATTGAGTAATCTTGGTGTAGCAGTGATTTTCTACCAGAAGTGTTACATAAATGAGAACGCAGCCATCATGAATCTCACTGGAGCTGGGTAGATAGTTTCAAGAGCAGATCAATTCACTGAATTGTATGGCATTACCTCTCTGTTGACATCATTGAATATCCCACCTAATATTTTTTAATAGTAAAGATACAATTGTACTCTACAACAGTACTAAACAACAACGACATGCATTTATATAGCGTCCTTCATGCAGAATAACGTCCTGGAACACTTCACAGTGGCGGAGTCTGACAATGAGCCAGGGGGAAAGGAAGGGGGAGGTGACCGTAAGCATGATCAAAAAGAAAGATCTTTAGGCAGGATTTGAAGATGGGGAAAGAAGGGGCAAGGCGGAGGGAATGAAGGAGAGAGTTCCCGAGTTTTGGGGCACAGTGGCTGAAGGCTCGGCCGCTGATGGTGGAACGGAGGGCACGAGGGAAAAACAGGAGGCCAGAGCCAGCTGAGTGGAGGTAGCGGGTGGTGAAGTAGGGGGTAAGCAGGTCGGATAGTAGGGAGGTGCGAGATCATGAAGGGATTTGAAAACGTGTGAAAGGATCTTGAAATTGATCAGTTCGGTGATTGGGAGCCAGTGGAGCTTGGCAAGGACTGGAGTTTCGTGCAGGTGAGTATCCAGGCGGCGGAGTTATGAATTAATTGGGGAGCTGGAGAGACTGGCAAGGAAGGGATTAGAATAGTCAAACTGGGAAGTACTGAAGGCGTGGAAGAGGGTTTCAGCTGTATTGGTTGTGAGTTATGGACGGAAGTGGGCAATGTGGCAGAGGTGGAAAAAAGCAGTCCTGGTCAGGGAATGGAGGTGTGTTAGAAAGCGAAGCTGGGGATCGAACCTTACGCCTAAGTTGCAAGCAGATTCAGAGAGTCTAAGGGAGAACTCTCTGTCTCCCCTCACTCAACAACAAATTCACCTTTCACGTTGGAAGGATATCTTTTCAATTGCATTTATTTATTAATATACATTCATTAAATAATTAATTTAAATTCACTCAATTTATTTATTTCCTAACAGGTAGGTAAATTCACTCACATACTGTGTTCTGCAATGTGCTAATGTTTATATGCCAAAATCGATTCTATTCCAGATTCATTTTGTAATTATTATGCCTGCACAGCGTATGCAGCCTGTCAGTGACCATGTCTGCAAGTCAATCAGATTGCAGAAAAATCTGTGGATTGTTAACATACAGAAGATAACGCTGGTTAGCCCCACCATGGCAGTTGGGCCTTCAGCCTCTCTGCCCCCATCGTTTAGAACTCCATCCAACAGTCCCTTCAACTCGCTCCCTCCCTTGCCTCCTTCAAGGCACGCCTCAAGACGCTCCTCTTCGACCACATATTCGGTCATCCTCCTACCCCTAACCTCCCTGCCCTCCACCGCTCCTGATCTCACCCCCAATCCCCTGCTCAGGACTTGGGACATCCTCCCGATGTGAAAGGCCCGATACAAATGTAATTTGTTGTTGTTAGCTAATCAGTAACAAGATAGTACAAATTTAAAATAGTCACACAAAAGAAGGGGGAAATCAGAAAAGGAAAGCTACTATTAAGGTTTCCAGATACAAAAAATGTTCAGATTTTAAAAACAGGCTACCTGAGCAAGACCGGCACTGAGGCAGATGAAGACAGACTTGGTTCACAACTCATGCTTTATTCAAACAGGGTTGAAGTTTCCATCGACCCCACAGACAGACAATAACTTCCAACAATCTCACAAGGATGCAGGCACCTGAGCAGTGTCCTGCAATTCATCTTACTCTCACTCACAATTCCCTCTGGTACAAAATAATCAGGCCTCTAACAGTCTCTAAAGGCACTGCATGCAACAACTTTCTCTGGAACAGCCCTGACCCAGGCATTTGTCTTAGGCCTCAGGCCTCCTTTGTTTGCTGGCCTTCCTTCCTCAGGTCCCCATGTCTGCAGTTGATGTCACCAAGACGGAGCATGTACAGGTTGGAGGAACGCCGTACGAGATGGTCAAAGAGGAAGGCTTCACTTTTCCAGATTTGATGTGCTAAATTTCCTGCATCTGTGCTGTAATATTCTATGATCCCATAATGTAATCTGAGAACAATAGATTAAAGAATACACCATAATAGCTTTGAGGAAAGATGGAAATGCCAAAACTTTACAATGTCGGATTTCCGTGCAGGACTTTGAAATTAACCCTGAAATGTTCAGGAGCAGAATAGAATGTGAAAATCCTAACAACGATCTAAACAAGTTCAAAGGTTTTATGTAAGTATTCAGAATTTCATACCCACCCACATCTATACAATTTTAAGGGAGCACAAATTTAATTGAAAATAAGATTCTGGTACCTATCATCCACCTAGTGAGGGTTCAAACCTGTACTTGTCAGATGTCAAATGACCAACTAGTGACTATCCTTCTTGGGCAGAGGGAGACACGATCTCCTTGGAGCTGAACTGGTTCCAAGATAATATGTTTGGCAACAGAATGTCAGAATTGAGCCAGCCCTCTGTGGCAGTATTGGTAGTCCAGTTCCTGAGCCAGGTGGGTCCATAGTATTCCAGAGCACTGCTGGTAACAGTACAGCCAGGCTGTCTCGTTGGCACGACTTAGGTAAGCAGGGTGCGTCTCTCCAGAGAAGAGATTCCAACAATCTTATCTCTGGAATTTCCATGTGTAGGTGGATGCATGGAATTCTCAGTTTGGGTTGGATACTCTCAAGCACGATGATGGGTTTGGTTTCCATATGTCTCCGACACTTAGAAGACCAAAACCTCCCACTAATGTTTACCTCGTGCTATATGTGATTGACATAGCGATGCAATTTGCTTTGACACAACATTGTATCACAACATTTCTAGGTGTCATCCCGGCTATGTTTGTACCAATCTTGCCTTTGAATCAGGAGTTTGCGAGTTCAAATCCCACATTGGGACACTGAGCTCCTAATCTAGGCTGACTAATCTAATGTAGTGCTGAGGGGAGTGCACATTGTTGGATGTGCTGTCTTTCAGGTGAAACCTTAATTGAGGTAATGTTTGTCTCTTCAGAGGTAAGGGAGTTTCTTCTTGCACCCCAGCTAGGAATCTTCCAATTTAAAAGAAAATGGTAATTCATTTAATGGCTGTTTGTGTATCATTATTGTGCATAAATTGGCTGCCATGTTCATTGCTTTGAGACATTTTGATTCGATGACCTTATGTAATTTACTTCTCTTCTTCCTGTTTAGTGATGAAGAGGCTAACGTAAATAGCATTTTTACAAATTCTATGCCAGGATTCTAAGTTTTATTGAGCTTTGAACATCAAGACTATTTTAAGTTTGTAAAAAGTTGAAGTGGATGTGGTTGAAGTAGTGTAATTTCATCTTGTGCATCTGTAAGAAATAAATACAACCAATGTTTTTCTTAATTGATGCCGTTCAAGCTTTCTAATAATTCTGTCTGCAGAGAAAATGAGAATAAAATAAAATTTGGTCTCAGTAACAAGCATCTTTTACTTCGGAATTGTACCATTCGAAACACTGAGGCTGTTGTGGGAATTGTCGTCTATGCAGGTCAGTGGCAATCTGAATATTAGTGGATTAAAATAGAATAATATGTATGAAAAAATGCCTCTACTTCAATGGTTATGTTTTCTTAAACGGGCCTCTTTCATGTTCTCTGTCCTAGTTGCCTCCATCAACAGGTGGGTCTTCAGCCTTTCTGTCCTTACACTCTGGAACTCCATCCCAGCGTTCCTCCAACTTAATTCCTCCCTCAGCTCATTCAAGGTTCTGTCTCAAGATCTACCTCTTTGAGCACGCTTTTTTGGTCATCTTTTCCCTCCCCACCGTATTTGGCTTCCAAGCCAGTATTGTTAAATGTCTTGGGACATTCTCCTGACATGAAAAGTGCTATGTAAATGGAAATTTGTATTGTATTACCTGATAAAAACAGGTACTAGATAAGGCAAAGTTTCTTGTGGCTATTGTGTCATTTCTAAATATTGGTATTGTGTATTCAAAGCATAGGAATGTGCAAGACCAGAGAGGACCATTGCAGTTTATTGGATGGACCCAAAGTTTTTTTAAATCCTGCATTACTTTTTCACTCATACCTGTCAATTGTTTACCCACTAGCTATCACATTTTCTCTTTAATTTGTTGTCCTGCAAGAAATCATTTCTAAATTCTGACACTGCTGAGTTAATCATTTCCTATCATAGCTCTGTCAACCTTTTAGTCTTCCCATTCTTTCTACTCCTCAATCATTTCAGTGCCCTCAACCATAGTGTTAAAGAATAATGCTAGAATAATTATTCTGTGCACTATCTGGAGAACTGAGGATAGTCTGGTTTAGTAAAGAAATCCCTTCAATTCCTCTTCATTGGTTCTCTGTTGCAGAATTAATATGAAATGTAATTATGAATAACACTAGTGCAATAATCTTTTAGCAAGATTTTAATCGTTCTTTTCTTGATCCAGGCCATGAAACCAAAGCATTGCTGAACAACAGTGGTCCTCGCTATAAACGTAGCAAACTGGAAAGAAAGCTGAATATTGATGTTCTTTGGTGTGTGATCCTGCTGTTTGTAATGTGTCTGACTGGTGCAGTAGGTAAGAGAGAAAATAATAGCAACAGTGAACATTGTGATTTTTTTTGTTCAGTTGAGTGTTTGACACACGGGGAAAGCCATCACCATGCTTAAGAGTATCCAAACCAAACTGAGAGTCACATGTGTGTTTGCTACCCTTACATAGAAACTTTGCCAATTTCCTGTTAGCTGAAAATATATCCAAATGGCCAGCTAGGATCCAAGTAATGATTCCCTGTAATAATCTGTGATCTCCTTGAGGGGCTGCTAAATATGGAATGTTATTACTGACTGACAAAGTTTCTAAAACAAGGGGTACAAAAATAAGAGAGCCACAAGCAGATATAAAGAGAGCTTAGGAGAAACGTCTTTATGTGTGGTGAGACTGGAACTCATTGACAAACATTTTGGTTGAAGCAGAAAGCAAGAATATATTTTAGAGGAAAGTTGTTGAGTACATTAAGAAGAAGGGAATAATGAGGTTTGGGAGAGTAGATTGGGTGGGGTAGAGGCTCATGTGAAATATAAATTCAAGTTTGAACTAGTTAGACTGAATGACCTGTATCTGTGCAGTACAGTCTATGTCATTTATGTAATTTTACGATGAAAGGATTGTAATATCCTTGTGGATTCACCTCTCTGCAGCTTTTGACACTGTTGACTACTCCTATGTGAGAGGTGTATATTGTGAAGTGCAAGTTATTGGTGGTGGTGTATCAAGGCTTATGGGGCAAAAATATTTGCCAGTGGTTGGTGTGTGACTTTCAGACCAAGTGTTGGAAAAATTGGACACCTTGTTTTAAAGCTGATGTTTATCGTTAGTTTATGCTGTGATTTTCTGCAACCTACAAAAATAAGATGGTTTCTATTTTTGGATGCTGAAACTGACTCTCTTTTTGGTAAGGTCATGGGATCTGGCTGGAAAAATATTTGGAAATTGCTTCTTTTAACATCCCAATGGAAAATGGGAAGGCTCTTTCTCTACCTTATGCTGTGTTCTTCACATTTTGGACCAATGTTATTTTACTGCAGGTAAGGAGGCTTCACAGTCAGTTGAAAACTGAGAGATCAAGATCAAAAATCTGATCCTGCAGATAGTTACAAGCCTTTATATCCATTCCAGAGTAAAGACAAAAGAAAATCTTAGTTCAGCACTTTTTACATTTATACCATTTTGAGTGAATGTGTAATGTCTTAGAATTCCCCACATAGGGGAATTGGACACCTCACATTTTAGGTGCAAAATATTGTGCGGTGTATAATATCCTGGGCAAAGGTCAGATTAAGCCTCAGAGTTTTGCCATCAACTATTCAATAAATGTCCAATTTCAGCAGATTGGGTTAACCCTAGTATATAATGTAAGTTTTACTCGCAATGGCAGAAATCTGCAAGCTGCTTCCTGCTCTCCTTGTAGGTGTGAGGGAGGGAAATATAAATAAGGAAATATTTTTAAAATGGCCGTTTAATTTTCCATAAAATATTTCACTTTCTAATAATCTGCACTTCCGATTCACAACCTTTTTCGAAAGGTCTTGTTAGAAATCCATGATTGTTTTGCAAGCAGTGATAAATCTGAACATAATCATAGGCAAAAATGTAACAATTATCAGAAGTAATTTGGTTTAACAAATAATAAATAATTCTTGCATTTGATATAGCGCCTTATCACGTTGTTGAGATGGCCCGAAGTGCTTCACAGAATATACTGTAAAGTGTAGTGATTGTAGTTTGTGAGCAAACGCAGCAGCCAATTGTGCACAGCAGTGTCCCACAAACACTTGTTAGTCCTTACCTCTGACTACTTCTTTTGCAGGTCCTGATCCCAATCTCCTTGTATGTCTCAATTGAAATTGTCAAGTTGGGTCAAATATACTTCCTGCAGAATGATATTGATCTGTGTGATGAAAGTACCAACTCTTCCATACAGTGCCAAGCCTTGAATATCACTGAAGACTTGGGCCAGGTTGAGTACATCTTCTCAGATAAGACAGGAACACTTACTGAGAACAAAATGGTCTTCAGCCGGTGCAGCGTAGCTGGGGTTGAGTATCCCCATGAAGAAAATGGTATGTTCCTGTTTTCTGTACAGACCTAAACTTTTATTTAGCAGTGTTAATGGTATTTGAGAATCGGTCTCATTACTGGCTCCTCACCCCCAGAAAAAGTGCTTGATATTGAGTAATGCATTGATTAAGGTGAGTGACAGTGGACAGCCTTGTCTCTTCCTTTCTCACCCCGCAAGAACGATAAGTTAATTGAGTCTATCACCAACTTTTACACAGAGATCTTAATCTGTGCATTGCAGAGCTGGAATACAATTCATGAATAAAACCCAAAATGGATTACATTGATCTTAAAGATAGAATACACATTCTGAATAATAAAAAAAACATTGGCCATGTATTCTTACAATTTCCAGTTTCATCATGGTAACGAGAGTTAAAATAAAATGCTAACTCTGTGGAAAAATATTGAAGACAGCTGGTGTCCATGAGTCAATTTTAATCTCTGCACGTAGAGGTCAGATTTCTGGGTATAAATAAAGGTAGTTTTAGCCAGTGTCGGCAAGATGCAAATCTGACAAAGACTGACTCACAACTGCCTGCTGCTCTCCCAGGGATCACTAACTGGTTTATTCTCTGAAGCTTGATTGCTCACATTGTTGCATCTAGTGACAGTGGTTTAATACTCTGTATAACAATTGTTTGTTGAACTATCATAAAGGAAACAATCATTTAACATCCAAATTGTGCACATTATTCCATCATTAATTAGATAACAAATGTTTCCTTACAGTCACGAGTGCTTCATGAAATAATAGGTTGAACATTTTAGGAAAATAATTGACGCAACATAAGTGGGTTTCCCCTTGGCCTTATAATATTCCGCAGTCTCATACAAAGCTGCAACCTGCTCCACATAATCCTTACAAGAACAGAATCCAGCCTGTTCCTTCCTGATCAAATGTATTTGTTGTACTGAATCCATCCTGATTGTTCTTTAACACCTTCTAATTTTCAAGATAGTTTATTAGGTTTTTCGAATAGACTGGCTTCACAATCGAAGTTAAACGTACTGAATTAGTAACCAACGCATTTCTCTTGACCATTTACGATTATTTCTGCAGCGATTTATCCCAGAAGCTTTATTGCATTCACCTTTTACTTGTTACTTAAGGCTCATCATATTACTGGGGTATACTAATTATCATTTGTTGAGTTCAATTATCAATGTATGTTATCAACTTATCAATATTTATATTATTTATTGACAATAATTTCATTTATTGGAGCCCTGTAGCTCAGTGGTTAGAGCACTCGCCTCACAAGCGAGAAACCTGGGTTTGATTCCCGACAGGGCAAAACCTTGGGCAAGTTTCCTTGCTCCACACGCCTGATAATAATCCCTCAAAATAAAATAATAATTTGGTCACACAATATACGACTGTTTGTGGGACACTGCTGTGCGCAATTGGCTGCCGCATTCGCCCACAAATATACAGTCAATTCACTTTACAGTGTATTCTGTGAAGCACTTTGGGACGTCTAGAAGACATGAAAAGCGCTATATCAAATGCAAGGATTATAATTATTATTCTGTGAAGCGCTTTGAGATGTCGAGAAGATGTGAAAAGCGCTATATCAAATGCAAGGATTATTATTATGATTATTATTATTATTACTCTGTATCCTATAACAGGTAATTGTTGTCAAGTCGTGTGTCTGTGTATTTCATCACCAACCTGTCCAGTCCCTCCACTCTACAGGCACCGGCCTGCTCCACATCCTCTGCCGTGCCTGATCCACTATTAGCAGTCGGGTTTTTAGTTTTTCTACCCCCACCCTCTGGATCTCCATCCTGGAGCCTCTCCACTTCACCCCCTCCCTTGCCTCCTTCAGGGCCTGTTTCAAGATTTTCTTTTTAACTGTACCTTCGGTCATCTTCTCTTCTCTACACCCCTTGCCCTCCACCCCTCTCTGCTCCCAAACTGCAGCTTGGGTGCAAACCCCCATTGTTCAGCCCTCGGAATGTCCTCCCAGCATGAAAGATGTTATATAAATGTAATTTGTCGTTTGTTGTTGTTATACCTGCAGTGACTACACAAAGCACCGTTTTGAGAGCCACTGTAATCAGCCAGATTCCTCAGTAGTTCTTGTCAGGAAATGTATATAATGGACCTGTACATCCCTTCGTCCAAATGCAAGAGTCTATGAAATGATTTAATCTCATATTTGTTTTTTGATTTTGTTTTGCCTCTCAGCAAAAAGACTGGAGTTTTACTATGATTCAGACTCGAAGACCAATTTAATTAATAATATTATGGAATCTCCTTCAAAGGCCATATCCAAGATGGAAAGCTACAAACCTAAAAGCTGGCTGCGAAGACACATTTTCAGTTGCTTCTCTCATGACATAGACCTGAAGGGGGAAGCTAGTCATCGAAACAGTTTACTCTCGCGTAAGGTGGCATTCAGCAGCTCAATTGTGAGTGTTCGCCTCTTTTAAATCGTAATTTAAAATTTTCATTTCTTACCATCCATGTCTTCTAACATCGGATATAATGCCATATTAGTGTGTTTTTTTTAAACAATCTAAGTATTTTACCCCCACATCCCCGAACCATTAATCTTTGCCCTCATTCCTCCCTCATTTCCAACACAAAACCCACCACCTCACCCCATTTCCCACATAACTTGAAAAAGGGGAGAGAGGGGGCAAGGCGAAGGAATTGAGAGAGAATGTTTCACAGTTTTGGGGGGTAGTGGATGAATGTGCGACCTCAAATGATGGAGTGGAAGATACGAGGGACAAGCCAGTCGAGCGGAGGCGTTGGGTGGTGGATTGGGGAGTGGGAGATTGGAGAGGGAGGGAAGTGCAAAAGAGTGAAGGGATTTGAATACGAGTATGAGGATCTTGAAGTCGATCTGTTCGGTGATGGGGAGCCAGTGGAGCCTGGCCAGAACTGGTGAGATGTGGGTACGGAGTTTGGTCCGGGTCAGTAATGCAGGCGGCAGAGTTCTGAATGAGCTGGATTTTTTGAATAGTGGAGCTGGGGAGACCGGCGAGAAGTGCGTTTGAGTAATCCAGGCGGGAGGTGACAAACTCATGCAGGAGGGTTTCGGCTGCATTTGGGGTAAGGTACAGTCAGAGGTGGGCAATCTGGCAGAGATGGAGGAAGGCTGTCCTGGTCAGGGACCAGATGTGGGGAAGAAAGGACAGCTGGGGGTTGAACCACACGTCTAGATTGCGCACTGATTCGGTGACTCGTAAAGTATAAACATGGAGGATCTGTGTTGTCCATTCTTTCTAATCTTTGTAATACCATGGCTTGAGAGGAAGCAAGAGAGAAGAGGGGGAGAAAATTCCTATTTTGCTGAAACTTTGTGGCATTTGAAACCATTTTACCTGCTCTCCTTATCTGGTGGTTGAGCCAAATCACTAATCTCATCTAATTTGCAGGAGAAAGATGTTGCACCAGATTCCGAACTACTGAGGAAGTTAAATTTGTTCAGTTCTAAGCCATTGGATCTAATGGATAAGATGAGTGGAGACCTCTCACTGGAATTTACCCAAATTATTGATTTTTTCCTCGCTTTAGCAATCTGCAACACTGTAGTGGTCTCACCTGCAAACTACGTAGGCAAGTGGGTAAGGCTGACATTTATTACATTATTTTTAAACCACTCGTTTTGCTATACTATCCACCCTCAACCTTTTTCAGCTCACCTGGCTTCCCATCCCCCAGCGGATCAAGTTCAAGATTCTTGTTCTTGTATTTAATCCCTCATATTTAATCCTACCTCTGCGACCTCCTTCAACCATACCAATCCGGCCATTCCCTCATTCGACCGACACTAGCCTACTCCATGTGCCTCCACTCTATTCCCACTTGATGCCGGCTCTCTTGAACTGCCAGACCAGATTCCTCCGACTTCAAAGTACATCTAAAAACCCACCTCTTTGATCGCCTTCTCACTTTCCTCAGCTCCAGTGACCAGCCAGAATTGTCAAGTGCTTTGGGATGTCCTCCCAATGTGAAAGCACAATATAAGTGATTAGTATTGGATTATTTTTTAATATATAGAGAATGTTTCTACTGATCTGTTGCTCGCTGATCACACAATTGCACAAGATGAATTTTTGATCAAGAAAGTGCCCATTTGAGTTCATTCTTCCAGAAAAACAATGTTGCTGTTTTTCCATCAAGCCTCATTTATTTCTTAAGAGACTAGTATCCTAGCTTCCATCACTCTTCCTGATAACTCATTTCAGATGTTGATTTTCAACTACTTAGAGAAATATTTCCTTGAGACCATGCTAAAATTGTCCTTCCTAATTGTGAACCTGTGACCTCTTGTCAAACTGCCTTTGCTCATCTGAAAGAGTTGTGAGGTACACTAATAATCACCACCCGTCTCAGTGAAGCAGAAACATTTCCAATCCATTATGTAGATTTGATGGCAACAATTAAAAAGTGAACATCAAAGCAAATAATAACAATCCTTTCATTTGATATAGTGCCCTATCACATTGTTGAGACGTCTCAGAGCACTTCACAGAATGTAGATGGGGACTGAGCCACTGAGGACAATACTGGTGCCTGAACTCAGAGTAGATGGTTTCTGAAGCAGTGGGACACAGAACTGCTGTCAATATAAGCTTAGCTGATTCAAACTGAACTGGGCTCCTCTTCCACTCCCCCACTCCCTGCCCCCACTACTTGGTCCCTTAAAGTAATGGTTCGATGCATTAACTCTGGACCCAACTCTTAAGGATGTCATTGAAAGGAGCACTGTTCCTTTAAACGCAAAATGTTGATCACTGGCCTGGTCCGAAAGTAATAAGTGTTTTTGTAGAAACCACACTGTAGAAATAAGTAGAGAGAGGAAAGTACTGAACAGCAACAACAAAATTACATTTATGGAGCGCCTTTCACTTCGGGAGGACGTCTCAAGGCGCTGGACAGTTAGGGGTCAGGACCCGAGCATGGGGGAAGGGTGGGGTAGGGGTGAGGGAAGGCAGAGAGCTGGGAGGGCGACCGAAGACAGGATCAAAGAGGAGGATCTTGAGACTTGAAGGAGGCAAGGGAGGAAGCGAGGCGAAGGGACTGTGGGATGGAGTTCCAGAGTGTGGGGGCAGAGGCTGAAATCCCGGCCACCAATGGTAGGACGAGTCGGGCGGGAGACATGGAGCAGGCTGGAGCCCGCTGAACGGAGGGAGCGGGCAGGTTGGTAGAGTCAACAGGTTAGAGAGGAGGGAGCAAGGCCATGGATGGCCTTGAAAATGAGGACAAGGATCTTGAATTCGATTCTCTGAGGGATGGGGAGCCAGTGGAGTCGGGCGAGGGTGGGAGTGATGGGGTCACGGAGCCTGGTGGGTGAGAGTACACGAGCTGCAGAGTTTTGGATGATCTGCAGCTTGTGAAGGGAAGAGTTGGGAAGGACGATGAGAAGGGAGTTTCCATAATCAAGCTCTGATGTGACGAATGCGTGGGTAAAGGTTTCAACAGCCTGAGGGGTGAGGTAGTGGCGGAGTCTGGCAATGTTGTGGAAGTGGTGGTAGTCAGTGCCAATCATGGCGCAGATGTGGGGGAGAAAGGACAGTCCAGGGTCAAACAAGACACCCAGATTCCTGACTGGCTTAGTGAGGTTGATTGTGCAACCGTGGATACTGATGCTGCCAGTGCCCGAGGTGCGGAATCGCTGGTGTGAGCCAATCAGGAGGGCCTCGGCCTTGCTGACATTGAGTTGGAGAAAGTTGTCCCTTGTCCAGGATTTGATGTCGGACAGGACGCCAATAGTCCTGGAGTTGAGAGTGGAGGCAGAGAGATAAGAGTTGGGTATCATCCGCATACATGTGGAAATTTACCCCATGTCTGCGGATGATGTCACCAAGGGGGGGGCGTATAAAAGGTGAAGAAGAGGGGACCGAGGACAGAGCCCTGAGGAACACTGCACAAGACGGTGCAGGAGCTGGAGGAGAAGCCGTTTGCTGAGACGAAGTGGAGGCGATGTGAAAGATAGGACCTGAACCAGTCAAGGACAGAACCTTGAAGGTTGCGGTGGGAGGAGAGGCCGTGGAGGAGGATTGAATGGTCCACAGTATCAAAGACAGCGGAGAGGTCGAGGAGGATGAGGAGGCAGAGGGAACCCTGGTCACACGTGGTCAGGATGTTATTTGTGACCTTGACCAGAGCAGTCAAGGGCAGCACGGAAACCCAATTCGAGGGGCTCATGGAGGGAATGGGAGGAGAGGAAAGAGCGAAGCTGGGAGGCAACGGCTCTCTCAAGGACCTTAGACAGAAAAGGGAGGTTGGAGAAGGGCTGATAGCTGGATAGCTGTGATGGGTCAAGTGAAAGTTTCTTCAAGGTGGGGGTGATAGTGGCTGTTTTGAAGGGGGAAGGAACAGTGCCAGATGACAGCGAGAAGTTGATGATGTCGGCAAGTAGTGGAGCAAGGAGGTGGAGCTGGGATTTAAGGAGAGAGATGGGGATGGGGTCCAGGAAGCAGGTGGTGAGCTTCATGGAGGATACGGTGGTGATAACAGAGGAGGGAGTCACAGGTTCAAAGGTGTGGAAGGAGGAATGGGTAGTGGTCGGAGTGTGGGTGTGGGTGTTAGAGAGCGGGTGGAAGTTGGGAGGGCAGTGGCAGCTGAGTGGATTCCCTTGATTTTGGACTCAAGGAAGTCCAGCATTTCCTTGCAGTGGGAGTTGGAGGAAAGAATCTGGGAGGCGTGGCGGGGAGGGCGGAGGAGCCGATTAGTGGTGGAGAACAAGAGCCTGGGGTTGCGCTTTGCCTCCAGGATTAACCTGGAGTAGAAGGACGATTTGGCTGTGGCGAGAGCAGAGCGGTAGGTTTTGATGTGTTCTAGCCAGATGTGCCGGTGGACCGTTCGGGCGGATTTGAGCCAAGTGCATTTGGCAGCCTGCACCTGGGCCTTGAGCGAGAAGAGGTGGCTGGTGAACCAGGGTGAGGATCGCGAATAGGAGGTAGTTCGGGAGGTGAGAGGGGCAAGGGCGTAGAGCATGGTGGAGAGAGTGCTGTGGAGGAGAGTAAACACAGGATGGGTTGGTGCGGGAGGTGGGCCAGAGGGGAAGGAGTTCAGAGGACAACAGGGCAGCGGAGAGGGATTGCAGGGAGATCTTCTTCCACGGGCGGTAGAAGATGGTGGAGGACATTTTAAAGCAGAGTCTGTGGAAATGCTCAATTGAATACTACGGCTGATAGTGTCTTGATAACTGATCAGCAGTCGAACATAGGATGAAAAGTTTTGAGCAAATATTATCCAAGCACGAACAAGGACAACAAAAACAGCAACACCAATGGGCTCCGGGCCAAATAGGCAACATGTTACTTTGCGTCCTGGACTGGGGTCACAGAAGGACATAATAGGATTGAACATTTGAACCTTAATAATGGGTTAATTTGAAATTGACATATTTGAAACATTATATATTTAAAGGAAAATAACTTCTCTTCATTTTTTTCCTAACAAAGACATTTTTAGGGACATGATTTAGGGAGCTACAAATAAATCATTGGATTGTGTAACTTTAAATTTAGGTTCCGTGTTGTCCATTACACTACTTGGCACGAAAGAAGCAGATATAATGAAGAGCAATAAAGATTACAGTTGAACAGTGTCTTATGTTTCTATGTGAAACATAGAACAAGGTTTTTCACTTTTTTTTATTGGGGACGAGATTGGAAAGTAGAATAGATCATAATGGGGGGAGTGAGGAGAAGCACCAGTGAAAATGGCAGCATAAGAGTCAGGAAAAAGTATTTCAAACAAAGTGTGTCTTCTGCAGGGAACTCCGTCCATATCAAGTTAAGAGTTTGTTAACTTGATCCTCCTCCTAAGCGTATCCCTCATCTAAGATATCCCTCAAAATGAAAAGGGAGTAAGGCAAGGCTATTCAAAGCTTTCATCAATGATGTGTTGGATGGCATCAGACTCGGTGTTTCTATTTGAAGCCTTTCTAATAGGATTGCTGTGCTTTTATTTGCGGACGATATTGTGCTACTGGCCGGTTCAGCCGGGTACATTTTGCACTGCACACGCCATCTTGAACACTGGACCACCTGGTGGGACGTGTTGGTGGGTTCTGCATGGCTCAAGAGAAGACATTAAGTTTAAATTTATCAGTGCCAGCTTAGCTCAATTGGTAGCGTTCTCACTTCCGGATCAAAAGATTGTAGGTTCAAGACCCATATGAGGACTTGAGCTCATAGCGTAGGCTGACAATTCAGTACTGGGAAAGGCCTGCATAGTTGGATAGGCCATCTTTTGAATAAGACTGTTCTTCTAAAAACCCATATCTTCAACAATGCCTTTGGTCACCTTTTTCCCATCTTGTCAATATTTCCCACTATGATGTTAAACTGAGATCCCGCCTCCCTGCTAAGGTAAACATCAGTCACTCCAGTTTACATTATATCCCATGAAGAACCTCTGGGATGTCCTCCTGTGAAAGACGCTATACCAAAAATAAGGATTATTAATATTGTTATTTGTACTGACCTGCAAATCTCTCTGTGCAGTTCCCCTCATCTGTAATATTTGCTAGACTCACTTATGCATCTGCTCCCTTCATTCTGCAAACTGAATTTGCGAACTGAAGGGAATTGGCCTGCTGCATGTGCTTTGCCCCCTCCATGGTTGGGGGGCGGGGGGGGGGAGCTTTTAGCCCCTGTGCCTTAGTGACTGTAGCACCCTCCCCTCAATTCCCCCTTTTCCTGCTTTAAGATCCTTTTAGAAACTCAGCTCCTCAGCGATGGCTTTGGTCACGTTCTCCATATCCTTTCTTCCCACTGTTTTTGGTATCCTACACTGTCTATGAAAAAAACCTGATGCATTATACGTGAAAGGCACAATTTAAGTGCAAGTCGTTTACCTTAAAGTTCACACAACAACACTCGGAGAGAAGGGAATTTCTCATACAAATGAATTTATCATTCACCTCATAGTTTTTATCTATCTGAAGCTGGTAGATAAAACTTTGTTGTGGGAACAGTGATCCAACTGCTTTCTGTAGCAGTGCTATGGTAATGTCGGGCAGATAGAATTACAAAAATTGTAGCACAAAGGGAAGCTATTCAGCTTAGAGTCTTTGCTGCTAGTTCCTCAGCTAGAATTAATTATGCTGAACTCCAATTTCCTACTCCTGTATTTCTCATTATTCTTCATTTGTCTTCCTCTTCAAATGTTTATTCAATTCCTTTTTAAGTATTGTCATGGTCTCAGACACATTAGCTAAAGTTAGACCATGTTCATATCAACTACTCTGCCACAGAGTACATTCACATCCACTGCTCCACCCACATTGGCTCCTAATTTTGGTCAGACACTGTGCTGATTACAATGATTTATGGGTAGAAAGGGATTGTTTTAAAATATGCACACTTATTTTTTAATCCATCTGCTTTTGGGATAGTGATTTAGTAACAAGCAATGTTTATCCATATAAAGGATTAATCTCTGTTTAACTGTTTGCTTTATTTTAGATAAGAACACCTTCGATTACCAGGATTCCAATGAAGTCTCTGGATGAGTTAAAGCAACTGTTTCAGAGGTTTTCTGGATCTCGTACAAGCCCATCCTCTCTTTCAAGTTTAAAAGATCCATTTATAGAAAGTCCCAGTTTATTAGTTAGCAAACTGTTAGGTCGATTGAAGGTAGCTTCAACCTCATCAAGTATAGTTGATCAACACCAGATATTACCTTCTAGACCAACCAAAACAACTGTTCACCCTAGTTCACCTGAAAGACGTGCTGAAATTCTTAAAAATAATAATTTGGTAACTGAAACCAGTTCGTCCACAAGTGCTTCAATAGATGACGAGGGAGTTAATTATTTAAATTTATGTTATGAGGCTGAGAGCCCAGATGAAGCTGCCCTGGTACACGCTGCTAAGGCATATGAATGCACTTTGGTATCTAGGACTCCTGATCAAGTGACTGTGGATCTGAGAGACAGGGGACTATTACACTTCCAGCTCTTGCACATCTTACCATTTGACTCGATTAGAAAAAGGATGTCAGTGGTTGTCCGTCACCCATTGACTAATAAAGTAGTTGTTTATACCAAAGGTGCGGATTCAGTCATGATGGACCTTTTGGATACCTCAACTAAAGGTAAATTGGAGATTGGATTAGTTACACGTGACTTATCTGTCATCTGCTTGAAAACTGAGTTTCTAGTTTTTAAAATATTCTTCTCCTGTTCCTAAGATAGAAGTATAATTGGAAATGGACAATGAAGTAAGTGTTGTCAAGGTAACCAGGTTGGGCAGTTAATGCAGTAACATAAACAGCCAATGAGCATTTTACATCCTGGAGTTGAAAAATTTAGTCTAGCCTTCCAATTTATCTTTTAAAAGCAGCATTTATTTACTTAGAACTACAACTTTGATTTTCAATAAAATGAACAATGAGCAATTTATAAATACTGTATGTCACAACATTACCCTCAAGGTGGTTGGTTGCTTTGAAACTGACTCTAAATTTAGAGCATGATTTATTACATAAGAACATAAAAAATGTTAGACAAGAAAAGACCAAGGTCCATCTCGTTCGCCTATCACTTTCCTGGTGGTCACATGCACATATGTCCCGAACTACCTGTGTACTAATCACATAATCTTATCTCGTAAAAGAAAACAATCTAATCTGTTTGAAAGAACAATTTATTGTGTTTGTGTTTGAGAAGCTATTTTCCATCAACAAATGACTTTTAAACTATCTTTGCACCAATGTAATGAAGACAATGACTATTGTACCACAGTTTTGTTTCAAAAGGAAGGGATTCGTCTTTCATATATTTATCATGTCTGATTTAATGATTGCACTAGTGAACTGAATTTTAAGCCAAATGCTATTTATGCATTGTAGACACTTGAATAAATCCAGCTGAAAATATTTAACTAAATAATATGGAAATTTGTAGTAGGGTTTGTACTGTTTTTGACTTACTCTTGAATTTTCACTAACCTGCAATCTTCTTACAGGTCGTAAAGGAGACAAACTGAAGTACATTAAAGAAAAGACTCAGAAATACTTAGACTTCTACGCCAAAAATGGTCTCCGCACTTTGTGCATTGCTAAAAGAGTATGCAAAAAAAAAAAAATATGACATTTTCTTACAAACTCATTGAGAGGTTGAGATGGTATCATAAAACATAAGAACAAACTTCAAGCAGTTCACTAACATCTTGCAAATCTAATGATGTTCTACTGTTTTGTCCACCTTCTAGAGTGCTAAGTTTATAATATGATTTATGATAAAATTTATGATTTTACACCTAATAGAGAATCATAGAGATTCTAGTATATGATGAAGCCATTGGGTCTGATTGGTTTTTACTATTTTTGGTTTATCATGATGTGGAAGCAGAAGCTGACCATTTTTTTATCACGAGATCAGGCAAAAAATAATTGTTTGACTTATACAAAGAGATGCTTTCTTCACATTTTCAATGTACTACTATAATTCGAAACTGCATATATATTCTAGCAGAAGGAAGTATTACATTTAAATGTGTGGTGTTAATATTTTTATGCAAAATATGCATCATGTGGTTTTGTAAAAATACTTAAATATGAACCAACCTAAAGATTGAAACTTAAAAAAAATTATCATGCCAATTAAGCCATTTCATTCTGTTCAGAGCTACCCATGTTTATTAAGGATTATTATATTATTATTATAAGTTTATTATAAGGGTTTCTTTGTCGATTACTTTTATTTCATATATAAGACAGGTTTACTAAGCTCCTTGTTGAATAGCTGCTTGCTTACAGGTACGGTATTTAATTCACTGAATGGCTTATAGATCTGTGTAGCAATTTAATTCAAAATATACTTTTTCAATACTAGAGCTGCAATTTCCTATTAGAATGAAATATGCAAAGGAAAGATTGTTTTTGTCAAACTTTGAAATCACGTTGTAGTGCATATAGCAAACCATACAAACAATAGCGCACAGATAGAACTGTGCAAATTAATAATAATGTTAAAGATTATATAATACAACATACAGTTATATAGCCCCTTTATATAGCAAGCTTCATATCTTCACACTGCTGGCTAGACACTCGAGTTGGGGAATGGTAAGCGAAGAGGGTGGGGAGGAAAAAGATGATCAAAATTGTGGTTGAAAAAAGTTGGGTCTTGAGGTGGGCTTTGAGTATAGGGAGGGAGTGAGCGAGCAAGTCGTAAGGACTCGGATGGAGATCCAGAGAGTGGGGCAGAATGGCATTATTCGAAAAGTGGCCAACATTCCCCCAAATAAAATTGGTCATTCACTTCATGGTTGTTTATGGGACTGCTGTGCCAAAATTGGCTGTCACATTTCTCCACAAAACACACATAGTCAATGCACTTATAGCATATCCTGTGAAGTTCTTTAGGCTGTCTTCCCAACTGAAATGAGCTATACCAAATGTAAGATTATTATTATAAGATCATAATAAGATGTTTTGCTCCAAACCTTTTGCAAGCATTGTGTGTGTGTGTGTGTGTGCGTATGGTAACCTATCTAGACATAAAAGAATGTTGTAAAGGGACAAACCTCTGTTGTTGTGATTTCCCAATTGATCTGTTTTATATTTACCTCCTCAGCCAAATTTTCCCCTAAATTCAGATTAATTGGCTACTTGTCTCGTTGTTCGTGGGATGTTGCCTCTGATGAAAAACTACCATTTTTCCCTATGTAACATTCACTTCTATTTAAAGTGCTTTGAGATTATTTAATTATTAAATCATTATATTACTGTATGACAATATTATACATTTTATTAATTTATGTTATAACCACAATAATACTAAGTTTAAACTTGCCAATTATTGAACAAATTATTGACTTTATTCTGATTTCGTAACCATTTCAATCATTTGTATGATCTAGAGAAACTTCTGTTGAGATGTTAGGATGGGAAGTAGTACCTTATTTCTTTAATTTTTTTTAGTATAATCCATTACCTGATAAATTTAATGCACCCAATTTCTGCAGGTATTGTTTGTTCAGTGACTTATTGTAACAAAGAACTAGGCACATCTTTTTACTAACCACATTTCTGAAAATTTCTATGTGAAATGTAGAAAAATAGGGTAGTATAATTAAATATTTAATCCTTTCATCCTTAGCTTCTACTGCCACACTATTCCTACTTCACACACAGTGCAGCCAAAACACTTATCTACATCTTTGGTACTCTAAGAATTGACTTCTCCAATGCTATGCTTGTCAGCCTTTCCACAAACTTCAGATCAGCCAGAATTCAGCAGCCCATATTCTCTTCCACACAAGCTTCTATGAGCCCATCACTCCCATTCTAGCGTGGCTCTGTTGGCTTTTGCAGATCAACTCTAAGATCCTTGTTTTTAAAAGCTTTGCCAGTCTTGATGCATCCTATCTCTATGATCTTCTTTGGTCAGTTGGCGAGCTTTCAGCTACTTTATCCCATTGGTTGAAACTCTCCCTAAATCAACGTGCCTTGCTCCCTCCATCTCTAATTTGAAAGCAATCTAAAACATATCTTTTTGATTGTGCCTTCGGACCACCTCCCTCCCATATCTTCCACCTAACTTGAGCCCCCACTCCATCTTTATAAAACACTTCGAGATGTTCTACTTGAAAGGTGCCATATAAGTACAAATTGTTGTTGTTGGGTTAAGGGAAATCAGTCCAGATTTAGCACTAACAAAATTTTTTTGTCCTGTAGGTGTTGAGTACTGTTGACTACAGTGAATGGCTAAGGTTCCATACGAAAGCAGAGACAAGTATTGATAACCGAGAAGAGCTCCTGCTGCAATCAGCAGTTAAACTAGAAACCAACCTAACGCTGATTGGTAAATAAGGGCAAATGCATGTTCTGTATGAGAAACTTGCATTTTTTAGAGTCTTGTTGTATCGTCTACCCTAAAGGGATATAATTCAATTCTTCAGATGTGAAAATGGACAGTGGATGGTCAATCAATTATAAGGGCTGCCATAGCTAAGCCAGATCTCTTTACCCAAAATCTTCTTGTAAAATCAACCATGGCGACTAAATTTAAACCAGAGATTATCACACTATGGGACATGTCTCCCCGGGGAGGCGGCAGTTGCATACCTCCCAATGTCCTGGGTTTTGCAGGACTGGCCCCGCATCTCAGCGAAGCTGCGTCCCCAACAACCAAACCCCACGACAAGTCTTCCTGCCACAACAATCCCCGCCACTGCAATCTCCGCCACAACAATCCCCACCACAACGTGAGGGGAAAACATTCACACTGATTGATAAACGTGGCCCCTGTCTGAATCAGGCCACGAATCAGAGTGCAAGGAAGGAGGGCAGATAGTCACTGATTCACATGTATGGCAACCAAGTCATCTGAACTGTGATACTCAAAATGAGGTGGAGCTTTAATAATAATAATCCTGGCATTTACCACATTGTCGAGATCGTCTCAAAGCGCCTCACAGGATTTACTGTAAAGTGGATTCACTATTTTGTGGGTGAAACGCAGCAGCCAGTTGTTTGTTGGTTGTATGCCAATCAGTCTTCAGTGGATCAATCCATGGTCAAATCAATAGATTGTTTTATGACAAAGGGAGAAATATTTGTTTCCTAATGTTTCTTAAAATGTTTGTCCAGTTTTGTTTTGCCTCCTCGATTTTTGAACAGAACTGTGAGATAACACGGAAGGTACTTTATGAAATAAAATTAGTACTTTTGACACTTGTACTTTTATAACTATATTGCTCAAAGACTTACTTTATTACTCGTATTCTTTCAGAGTAATATATTTCAGTTATTTATGTGGTCTTAGTAAACTATGAGGTGCAATTGTTTTGTTTTTCTTAGCTTAGGGAGGCTCACAGTTGTAAAGTTTGAGAAGCCTTGATTTAAAAATTTACTCTAGTTCAGCAGAGAATGTTGTAATAACTATTACATTTATGTTTCCTGTCTAATTCGCTGCATGTCATGTATAAAAATAATGAATAATTTGATCATTTCTAACCCTATATTTAGGTGCCACTGGTATTGTGGATCGCTTACAGGATGGTGTGCCAGATACTATTAGGGCACTTCGAAGAGCTGGAATAAAGATCTGGGTCCTGACAGGGGATAAACGGGAAACCGCTGTCAACATTGCCTTTGCCTGTAAACTCCTTGATCAAAAAGACACCATCTTAAATCTTCGCTCAGATAGTAAGGTAAACTGAAAACTCTTTTGTTCTCTATGTGATAATATTTAGAAGCATGTACAAATAATAGTACAAGAATGAAGTCTAACATTGGGGCTATCTTCATCCTTTATTAAGTAAAGTAATACTGTATTAGCTCCATGAAAGCCACTGAAACCCTAGTCCATGTGTCACCTCTCGGCTGGACTATTCTAACGCCCTCCTTGCTGGTCTCCCATCCACTACCATCCACAAAATCCAGATCATTCAAAACTCTGCCGCCCGCATTCTCACCCGCACCAAACTACGTTCCCCAATCACCCCAGTCCTTGCCAGACTGCACTGGCTGCCTATCCCAGAGGGGATCGAGTTCAAGATCCTAACCCTTGTATTCAAATCCCTCCACTCCTCTGCACCCCCCCACCTCTCTGACCTCCTCTCTCCTCAAAACAGTACCCTCTGCCTTCGTTCCTCCGGGTCTGGCCTCCTCCTCATCCCCTGAGTCCTCTGCTCCACCCTCGGCAGCTGTGCCTTCAGCCACTATGCCCCGAGGCTCTGGAATTCCCTTCCTCACTCCCTTCGCCTCGCCCCCTCCCTATTTTCAGGTCCTTGCTGAAGACCTTCCTTTTCGACCATGCCTTTGATCACTTTCCTCCCCCTCCCCCTGGCTCAGCCCCAGTATCCATTACTGTGAAGCGCTCTGAGACGCCGTCCAGCGTGGAGGGCGCTATATAAATCTAAGTTGTTATGAGAGTTTAGAGGTAAGGGCACCCTTAAACTATTAGTATTCTACAGAGACTGTCTCTGTGGGCTGAATTGTTCTAAACAATTGTGGATCACACACTTGTGATGCTTAAAAATTCATCACAGCAATAAAGATGCTTAAACCTCACAAAAGTGTTAATCCTACTTACTAAAATAAGCACCACAAATATATTTAACTAAATATGAAACATTTTAAAGGTTTGCTTGTATTGTACAAATAGCATCTCCTTTGTTTTTTCCCCATTCTGCCTACTTTTTATTTCAGCTTGTGATTGTTACTTCAGTTTTATAATGATAATTTGTAATAGCACTTTAGCACATCGGTGAGATGTTTCAAAGTGCTTCACAGGAATTACAGTAAAGTGTAGAGACTGTGTATTTTGTAGGTGAATGCGGCAGACAATTTGCACACAGCAGTGACCAACAAGCGGCCATGCAGAAAATGATCTTATTTTATCTGGGGGATTGTTGGAAAAACTCCCAGCTCTTTTTGAATTATCCCGTGAGATCTTTCATGTCCACCTGAACAGTCAGATGTAGTTCAACGTGCAAAGGGAGCTAACAGAAAATTGGCTTCAAAATTAAGGTCGAATTTAAGAATTTTGTCAAAATAGCACCTCTCTCACGTGCCTCATTAATAGAATAAATCTAGGTTCAGGTGAAATTTCTACACTGTGGACTTCTTCCACTTTGAAGAAAGTAAACCAAGAACATTGCTTTCAGATATGCCAAGGTAGTAGAATAGGACATTTGTTTAGGGGATGTGAAGGTTAATTTTTTAATATTGGGATTGATTATGGGTGTAGGATTTGGCAGTGGGATTGAATGAGTAGCTTGCTCCAATTCTGGAAAATATTAGGTATAGGTTGTCAGGAGCCAAGGCTTGGGGAGCCAATAGTTTGTTTGAGCCACTGCTGGAGTTTAATCAGCTAAACAACAGAGCTTACCATTGTGAGCAGAATCACCTTGACAGTTAGGCTTTGGCTTCCAGGGTTAACAGGAGAAAGTAGGATGAATCCCTGCCCCCCGGTGACTGGTCTATTTCAACCTGCCAGGCATCAACAGTGCCTTGGAGCACTGCAGACACTCGGGCTCAAGAACTAGACTATCAAGACCATCAAGATTGCCACAAAGAGTCAACAAGATTCCAATATTCCATTGCCAATTCAGCCCAAAGGGGACCCAGCTTGTCTATCCCCCTTTCCACCACTTGGAAAGTGCAGAGCTTCAGCAACAGTTGCTTACTTCTTTGTATACGAATCAGGGTTCATAACAAGTCCTGGATATATGAGCATATTTTCACATATTTCAGTGTATTATAGTGCAGGTATGATGCCTTTCAACAGCTGTTTCAAATAAAGTGAATACAAAATGTTTGTGTTCCATATGTATGAACAATTCTTTACTTTAATCTCTTTCGAAATTATTTCAAGGAAACTTAAGTCCTGCAAAATTGCCTCAATGGTTGGCTGTGGAGGAGTATCATATAAAGTGCTCCACATTATTGGTACTCCCAACACAAATGTCAGCCTGGCGCAATTGGGGAGGTCTCATTTTTGAGTCAGAAGGTTGTGATTTCAAGCCCCAAGTAGGAACTTGGAACTCATAATGTAGGCTAACACTCCGTGCAGTAAAATACGATACAAAATTAGCCTTTCATGTTTGGAGGTCGTCCCTAGGACAGTTAGGGATTGGACCCGAACTGGGGGTCGGGATTGGGGAGGGTGGAGGTCAGGAGGGTGGCCGAAGGCTTGGTCAGTACTAGGGAAGTGTGGCATTGTTGGAGGCATCATCCTTCAAATGAAACAATAACCTGTTTGTTCAGATGGACTAAACATCCCATGGCACTATTCAGAAAGGAAAGGGTGTTTCTCACAGTCTATGGCCAACAATCCTTCAGATAAATTTGGCATTCACTATATGCCTATTTATGGGACATTGCTGGGTCAAATCCCTGTCCAGTGCCTTAGGAGGTCCTCCTGACATGAAAGCTGCAATACAAATGTAATTTTGTATTATACTGCTGTGCACAAATTGGCTGCCATATTTGCCACCAAAAGTGACTGCTCTTCATAGTGAATCCTGTCAAGTGTTTTGAGTGGTTCAGTTACGTGTTAAAGCACTATATCAAATGCAAGGATTATAAATGTAAGTTATTACATTATGTGCAGTACTTTTGATCACCTAAAGGAGTTCCTCCTGATTCCAAATTACGAATCTGGCTAGGAAATGCCATAAACTGAATCCCAATGTCGGAATCTCTTCCATTTCTCATTTCCCCATTCCCCCATAGTTAATTTGGGGCATTTACAAGACACTTGTGTCTTATACACTGTAATAATCTGGTGAATATTTGTGCAGTACGCTGCTCTAAGTATCCCAAGACTTATGCTTACTTGTTCTCTTTATAGGAAGACTGTGAAGATTCACTTAATAAAAATATTTCAAAACTTAAAAACCAGACTGCCACTCAGAAGATCACAAACCCCAGCTTCAATGTTAATTTTCTTCCATCCTCTTCGGTTACTGAACCCACGACGCAGGGTCACCTTGGCTTGGTAATCGACGGAAAGACTTTAGAATTTGCACTGCATGAAAGCCTGCAAGATAGGTTCCTAGAACTCGCTGAACAATGCCGTGCTGTTATATGCTGCAGATCAGCACCATTACAAAAAAGCAGGGTGGTCCAGCTTGTACGAGATAAGCTAAAAGTCATGACTCTAGCAATAGGTAAGAATTATCTTAGGTGTCACATCCAAAACCTGGTTTGTCCACCAAAATACTTTCTCTTTTTCAGGAGTTACTGAACATGAATAGGAATCCTAGCTGATTCTTCTTATTCCCTGCCTTCGTAGCCTGAAGATTACTGATGCTTTTATACCATCCCACTTCAGATCATTGATCAAACCTGGGATCTTTCTCTTGTCTGACACGTATGACTCAGTACCATTTGGTGCATTTAGCTACAGAGGCACAAAGGTGCATCTTTCTACACTTCAATATTATAATTTTCTTAAAACCAAACATTTAGCAATAATGAATTAAAAGAAGCTACTTGAAAGTGTATCTGTTGGATGAGAAAGTGGCAGTAAAAGAGCAGTGTTGGATTTATGATCCAAATGGTGTGCATTTTATCGCATCACATTAAATTGTGGGTTAATTTTATCGTGATGCCCAGTGTTGTCCCTCCTGAACCAAAAAAGTTTACTAAGCACTTATTTCTTGAACTGATGGTTTCTTTCAACTCACTCTGTCATCTGATCCAGGTGATGGTGCCAATGATGTCAGTATGATCCAGGTTGCTGATATTGGAATTGGAATCTCTGGTCAGGAAGGAATGCAGGTGAAGTTGGGAACTGTTGGCTAAAAGTAACTTAGGCCTGCTTGGTTGTAAAATTTTATGGTTTGCTCTACGATTATTTAATACTATGACAATGAAGCTTTCATTTAAAGAAGTAATCTTTTATGATCAGTATGTGTTCTTCACTCTGGTAGAGGCATCCAAACATTACCACACAATTTTAAAATTAAAGCTTTGCCAGTCAAAAGTGAGATCAGAAAACATTTCTTCACACCGAGGGTTTTGTAAATGTGGAATGCCCTACCGTAGTGCAGAATCAATTTGTAAGTTTAGAAGGAGATGAATATGTACTCAGGATATCCTCCTTGGAAGGGAGGCAAGTGAGGCCTCCTTGGAGTTGAATTGGCTCCAAGGTGACATGCTTTGCAACAGAATGTCGGAATCAAGCCAGCCAGCTGTGGTGGTCTCAGTAGTCCAGTCCTGAGCCAGACTGGTCCGCAGTATTCCAGGGCACTGCTGATGGCAGCACAGCCGGCCTGGCTCATCAGCAGGACTTGGAAGGGAGACCAGTCACTTGGGGCAGGGAGTCATCCCACTCAGTCCTGTTAACCCTGCAAGGCAAACGGGTAGGGTGGTCCTAGCTGGACAAGCAGCGGTAAAGCAATATCAATGGCAAGCTGTGTGGTTTTAGCTGGTTAGACTCCAGCAGTACAACAGTATACACTCTGGTGGCCCCAAGTCTTGGCTCTTGCTTACTTTCTGGAATTAGATAAGCAGGATGCATCCCTCGGGAGACAGTGTGCACATTCCATTACAAGAATCTATCAAGGATTTCCATGTGTAGGTGGGATGCATGGAAATCTCAGCTTGCTTTGGATACTCTTAAACATGGTGATGGGTTTCCACATGTGTCAGCCACCCAGCTGACCAAAAAAAAGGTACTTAGGAATCAAGGATATTAATGGATTTTGAAAAAACGTATCTGCCATGAACTAATAAAATAGCAGAATAGGCTTAATGGGCTGAATGGTCTCCTACTGGATTGTTTTATTTTTCTTGTTTAATGGCTTTAATGCACAGATACTTCTGGAAAGATGTTGATTGTTGTTTTATGGATTGCAGGCTGCAGTATCTAGTGATTTTGCAATTTCTTGGTTTAAACATTTAAAAAAACTACTACTTGTTCATGGACACTGGTGCTACAGCAGACTGGCTAACATGATTCTTTATTTCTTCTATAAGAATGTGGTAAGTATTAATCACTGAAGAGCAACAGTAAAATAACAATTGACTTTTTTAATACCTAGACAGGAAGAAAAAAATGCTTTAATCCTGATCTGTAATCAGTGTGACTTTTTAATGTATTTATTCAATCAATTAAAAAAAAACCATGGGACAAATGCAGTGAAATTTGCTGAGTCAGACAAGCTGTACCAAATAAGGTCAGAGTTCCTTTGATAAGGTCTGTGGTGGTTTAACCGTCAACCCCCACCACTTTCTCAAGAAAATTAGGAATAAGCAATAAATATTGGCTCTGCCAGCATTGCCCTTCCGGAATGACTTTTTTTTACAAACTATAGTGGACGAGACTAATTTGGGTGTCAGCGTGGCTCAGCTGGTATCATTCTTGCCTCTGAGTCAGAGGGTTGTGTGTTCGAGTAAAAAAAGTTGTGGGTTCAAGCCACATTGGGACTTTTAACTAACAGTCTATCCTGACGCTCTAGTTCAGTGCTGGGGGGTGTTGCATTTTTGGAGATGTGCGGCCTTGTTTGTCTACTCAGGTGGATATTAGAGATCCCATGGCATTATTCAAAAAGAGAAGGGAGTTCTCCTGTTGTCCTGGACAATATTTTTCCAGATAAATCGGTCATTCAGTTCATAGCTGTTTGTGGGACATTGCTGTATGCATATTGTCTGTTGTGTCAAAATACGAAGTCACTGCACTTTACAGACAAATTTTCTGTATCGCTTTGATCGATGCTCTTCCAACGTGATAAGTACTGTTATCAAATGAAAGTATTATTATTATCACTGTATCAAATCCAAGTATTATTATTTATCTTTTATATTCTAAATTAAACAATTTTCCCATTTCCATTTCTTTTCCTCAAATCTTTAATGTTGCTTATTCCCCTTTCTCCTAGCCCATTATGAGGTACTCCCTGCTGGGGACAAGAAAGCCCAGGCCTCTACCAATGACACTCACTTGTTAAGAGGGACTCCAAAGAGCTCTTTTTTTTCCTCTTGTATACATGCCTCACAACTGTTAAGTCAACTCTCACCCCAGTGACTTGTCCTACATTGGCAATGTGTTGTATGAAGAATTGTCAGCGTGAATCAACATCCTGCCACTCTGAAACCAATTCATTGTTTTTCAATGAGCTAAATTTATGTTGGTCTGTTTTGACTAGTTATAAAATTAGCTCCTACCTAATTATTCTAGAGTATTTTTTTTCAAGTGGTTCTGAATTTGACATTTTTGTACAAGTAAGATAGATTGTCTCCAGGTTGACATTTCAACAAAACATTAAAAGTTTGGCTTGACTTCATGTTTCTTAAAAAATGAGCACTGCTAGCAACTGATTTAATAATGTCTATATGTTGCAGTTTTCTCTATATTTTCTTCAGCTTGATTTATGTTTGCAAATGCAGTCATTCATCAGTGTACTGTTTTGATTTTCAAAAGATGATCAATTTTATTTTGTTTTGGATTTTTTAAAATCTCTGTACAGAGATCATCAGATGGTTTTAATAATAATAATAATAATAATAATCCTTGCATTTGATATAGCGCTGTTTACGTCTTCTATGTGTCCCAAAGCACTTCACAGAATATACTGTAAAGTGAATTGACAATATTTGTGGGCGAACGCGGCAGCCAATTGCGCACAAACAGTCATGGATTGAAAATGACCAATTTATTATTGTTTTGTTTTTTTGGAGGGATTATCATTAGGCGTATGGAGTAAGGAAACTTGCCCAAGGTTTCGCCCTGACCTGCCTGGAACTGAACTCAGGTCTCTCACTTGCAAAGCGAGTGCTCCAACCACTGAGCTACAGGACTCCACATGCAGTTGACAAATGTTTGTACATTTCTGAGAGATCCAGTTTATCTTTAACAATGAGAATACAAAACTATAATTTTGTTTTGATTTTCCAAACTGCATTGAATATTTTGCATGCAATTAAAAGATGTCTAAGAGCATGTGTGATCCTTTTGGGGAAAATGAAATGTGCTGTATTTGTTTTTGAATTTGTTTTTCTCCTCTCTTCCAGGCCTATGTATGTCTCCTGTTCTGGTATCAGTTCTTCTGTGGATTTTCTGGGTCATCCATGATTGACTATTGGATTCTTGTTTTGTTCAACCTTCTCTTCACCTCCATTCCACCAATTGTCTATGGCATCCTGGATAAAGATGTTTCAGCTAAGACACTCCTCCAATTTCCAGAACTTTACAAAAGTGGGCAACAGTCTAAGGTACTGAAGATTCACATGAATTGTGCTTAGTTGCCTTGTTTCCTTTGGATAGTGATTGATTACTGTTTGTAGGATTTATTGATGTAATAACCTCTAAATCTTTCAAACATTTCTAGCATTCACATCGAAATAGAATGGTCACTAAAGAGAAACTTACATTCACTGAGATTTCCTTTCTGAAAATGTGTTTGTTGCTTCCTTGAAAGTTAGGCAAGACAATATCTTATATTGACCTGCATCTAATTTCTATATTATTTATAATTTGAGTTAGCAGATGTGTGCAGACTTTAATTCTCATCTTGTGCACGGAAGAAATATTTCCAGCTAACTTTAGCTGGAGTTGCTTAACTTTGAGGTAATCTTAATCTGTAGGCTAGTGTCATTTTAGGACTACCAATCAAGACATTTGTCAACTGTTCATTTGAATTTGGATTCATTAGACAAGTGAGATAGTGATCAGGTTTTGTGTGCATTCGCATTGAGGACTCAATGCGAAGTGGCATTCGCATTGATTTTTTATCACTGCACCAGCTCAAATCTAGTTATTGGGGTAAAAAACAATAAGGAAGCTGCGAAGATAAAGGGGAGGCAATTGTATCAAATGTAATCTTTGCAGTTGTCCATTCATTATGCAGTTTTCAAAACAAGTCTGTTAAACAAAAAGACAAAACTACAACTTTTTATAGTCTAATATTGAATCCTGGATATTCTCAAATGTGTCAACCTGCCAGAACTCTACTTGGGCCTTGCTCACTGAAATCAATTGCTGGTTAGAAGGCTCTTGACAGGCGGTGAGCATCCAAGCAATGCAGAGCTATGGAGGATTGCTATGAGACTCATTAAGGTGCAGGGTATGATTAAACTCCTATCTGTAATTTTTGGAAAACTGAGCTAAAATAAAATTAGTTTCAGTCATTATTTGACTGGAGGATTGTTTCACTATCGTGCAACTATCAGAAATGGACAATCAATCAATAGATAATCTGCTAAATCATGCATTATATTCATTAATTGTGTTCACTATGAGGAATGAATATTTTGATTGATTTCAGCTTTTCAAGATTATTTACTGATAAACAAGGGGTTCTTTAATCCCAACTCCTCCCTCCACAGGCTGCAGATAATCCAGAACTCTGGAGCCCGTGTCCTCTCCCGCACCAAATTCCATGACCCCATCTCCCCCACTCTCGCCCGACTCCACTGGCTCCCTATCCTTCAGAGGATCCAGTTCAAGATCCTGGTCCTCACATACAAAGCCCTCCATGGCCTCGCCCCACCCTACCTCTGCGACCTCCTAATCTCCTACCAAACCGCCCTCTCCCTCCACTCAGCCGGCTCTGGCCTGCTCCACGTCCCCTGACCCACCCGCCCCACCATTGGCAGGAGAGCCTTCAGCCGCTCTGCCCCCAACCTCTGGAATTCCATCCCCCAGTCACTCCGCCTCGCCCACTCCTTAGCCTCCTTCAAGTCCTGCCTCAAAACTCTCCTCTTCGACCATGCCATTGGCCACCCCCCTTCCCCTCCCCTCCCTTATCCCTCCCTGACCCCAGCTCGGGTCTGAAATGCTGTACAATGTCCAGCACCTTGGGACGTCCTCCCGACATGAAAGGCGCTGTACAAATGTAGTCTTGTTTTGTTGTTAAATATAAATTTCACCAACCTGCAAGAAGTCAACTTCAGAAACGTATCTCATGGAAGAAGTCCCTTGGGTCAGCATGGCAGGTTTCCAATTACCAGGCGTTCTCTATTGCCCTACTCTGATTTCTTATTAGCTATGATTAGCAAACCCCATTAGAATTTTTGTAATTAAATACCACCCCATAGTTCCGTTGTGACGTTTGGAAGCACCTATCTGCCAATTGGTTTATTTCAGTCCTCAATGCGAATGCACACAAAACCTGAGGATGCACAAGAATGTGGTGCTTCATTGACATTAACATGGCAATAAATGGAAAAATGCCACAATGTGCTTGCGCAGACCCATTTTGTTAAAGGTGCTGGTTCATGGCAAATTTGGCTAATTTCAAATAGCTGTCAGTAGTTAATTTAAGAATTGATTTTGATTCAAAAATATTTCAGACCGTTGGGCTTATTATTTCATGTACTTTTTCCAAGTCATAGCCTTTCAGTTCTATTGCCGCGTTCGCCCACAAATATACAGTCAATTCACTTTGCAGTGTGTTCTGTGAAGCGCTTTGGGACGTCCTCCCGACGTGAAAAGCGCTATATCAAATGCAAGGATTATTATTATATTATTATTATTGTGTCTAGTTTAATGGGAATAATCAGCACTACAGTAGGGAGAAACTTTGGGCAAGTTTCCTTACTCCATATGCCTGATAATAATCCCTCAAGAAAAAATAAAATAATAATTTGGTCACTCAATCCACAACTGTTTGTGGGACACTGCTGTGCGCAATTGGCTCCCGGGTTTTACCCACAAATATACAGTCTATTCACTTTACAGTATATTTTGTGAAGCGCTTTGAAACATCTGGAAGACGTGAAAAGAGCTACAGCAAATGCAAGGATTATTATTTACTGTGATTTTAATTGCCATGAACAAGTAGTCTGTCAGTGTGTGAAAACATTGGCATTATTCTTTACAAAGTTAACCAATGATCATTTATTTTTTCTCTAACCTGTACCTTTTTTTTTAGATCTTTTCATCGTTAACTTTTTGGATAAGCATATTGGATGCCTTTTACCAAAGTCTGATCTGCTTCTTTGTTTCATACTTTGTAAGTGTCTTATTGGAGGAGTTCACAGTTCTCGGGTGTATACATTAATTGAACCTAAATAATACATTTAACATAACCACAAGCTCTGCAGCAAGGGGATATACATTGAAGTATGGAAGAAGGAATTTCCATAGGCTTTCCTATGGACTTTCCTATGGACAGTTTATATTTACCTACTTTAGATGGAGGGTGTTTAGTAAATGGAACAAACTGCCCAGGGAAACTGTGATGTCAGTCAGTGTTCGCAATTTCAAGAGGGATAGATTTTTGCAAAATAAATGAATGAGAGGTTTAAGAGTGAGAATCATCTAATATTTTTAAACTTGGGATGATCGGACTGCAATCCATCATATTTTTAAGGCCCTCAGCGTATAATCACAAGATCAGTTCAGAAGAAGAAAGCCCTTCGACCCATTTGAACTCAACCTTCCAAAATTCACACTGCAGTATCAGGCTGTTTCTTAAATGAGTCTAGCGTTCTGGCCTCAACCTGGTCTTGTTAACCTGTTCCAGTCATTATTTACCCTTGGGATAAATAAATACTTCTTAGCATTTACTCTAAATATTGCCTTTTGCTACCCTGAATTTGTGCCCTCTTTTTCTGCTGTATTGGTATATCTGTAAGTATTGTTTTGGGTTTATTAATTTATTTTAAAATCTTGTATATTTCTATAAGGCCTTCTCTGAACATCTATTTGCAAGGCTGAAGAGCCCTAACAACAACAAATCATTGCTAATAGCTCATCTCTCTAACATTGGGGCTCGTCCTTGTTGCTCTCTTCTGCACTGCATCTGGAGTCCAAGCAGCTCCCTTCTATTATGGTGATTAGAATTGTATGCAGTTCTCCAGGTGCAGCCTGACCAGAGCACTGTACTCTTTGAGTATGACTTCTGAGGATCTGAACTCACTTTTTGGGCAATATAGCTCAGAATCCTGTTTGCCTTGTTTATCACTGCCTCACTTGTTTTGACATGGTGAGTTATGAGTCAACTAACACCCCTAGCTTGCTTTCAACTTCCCTGGCTGACACAAATGCACAAAACTAGTAGAGGGTGCTGTAGAGGATCAGGAATCAAGAACTTTGGGGTTGAGAGATGGAGTTTGAGAGGTTAGTGGCATAGTATATGAATACATGGTCACCACTGGTGGTGCGAACGCACAGCAAGCCTGAATTAGTTGAGCGGAGGGAGCGAGCAGGAGAAGATCAGTGGGATAGGGAGGTGGTAAGGCACGAAGGGATTTATAGGTGAGAGGGACGACCTTGAAATTGATCATGTAAAACATGGAGCCTAGAGAGGAGTGATGGTAGAGTCCCCAGCACCTCATTGGATTGTCAGCCTCAACTGTACCTCAATGTGCCACCGTGGAACTTGAACCCACAACTTTCTGACAAAGAGGTGAAGGTGCTACCAATGGAGCCAGGCCAATACCCAATGAATGCAAATGTACTGCATAAAATAAGTAAAATATGAGTTGTGTGGTGGACAGGTGGTAGGGATGGATTAATTCAAATACGTGAAAAGGCTATCTTTGTCCTAACCATTCTTAGGTTCTTGTGTGATCAAGATTGAAAGATTGTATTTTAAAATGAATCCTTTTGTTTTCAGACTTATTTTGACTCAGAATGTGATATATACTCATTTGGATCACCAATCAACACTGCAGCTTTGTTTATGATTCTAATGCACTTGATGATAGAAGGCAAGACTTGGGTAAGTAGTTTATCAATACACTTCAAACCTGCTGAGTCCACTTTATTTATTGACAAGTGGCAAACATAAACACATTTCAAAAGTGTTATAAATTTTGACACAATTCCTTTTTTTTAACTCTTAATCCTAAAAATGCTAGGAATGTTCATTGTTTTCAGCAAAAATTTTGGGGAGAGAGAGTCAATTGAGTGGGAATGTTTAAAAGTCTACAAACTTTTGTAAGTGTGTCAAATTAGTCTTTCACCCTCTCATTCCATTGCCTACGATTCTCCAAACTAAATAAAAGAATAATTTTCTCTTTCATCCTTTTAGCCTTGAATAACCTTCAGTTTAGGGTACAAAGCTATATTTTTATGACATCTGCAAAGTAATTCTCTGTAAATGTACAATGGTAATTATTATAATTGGAAGGTGTGATGGCAACACAACAAACTGTTCAAGCATCATTTTTGTCATGCTGCCAACTAGAAGCACAGATGTAATACTTCCAAAAAACCTGCACCATTCTGAGTAATGACTTGGAGTCATGAACATCAAGCAATTAGTGGGAAAAAATTGGATGTGACTGATGGACAACTAGCAAAGTAGCCTTAGGAAGAGAGTTCCAAAGGACAGGGCATAGTAACTAAAAATTCAGCTCAAGATGGTGGAACAATTCAAAATGTGTAGTATTCTGCACATGACCAAACTATTACAACGGCAGAATTCCAATTTTAAAAGCTCATATTGGCTTACTTTATTTTTAGCACTACTGTCACTGAATGCTACTGAATTGCTTCAAATCTCTCATTTGGAAAATGCTTCAGTAGTTACAGTAAAACTTGCATAAGTTGTATAAGTGGGGACCATAGTATTTAATATGACTTGCGCAAAGTATGAGTTACAGGCAAATTTGCGTAAGTCGTATCGTATAGTTATGTGTAAGTTAGATTTTATATGACTAACACAACAAATACAGTAAACAAGTACCTCATTGCGCATGCTTGTTTCAATGGAGTATACTGTACTGTACTGCACAGGTGGTCCTTCTTCACTGTAGCCAGTAAGTGCACATGCAGAATGGTCAAGACTTTGTTTCCCACTCTTGTTTCAAACTGAACACTGCGCATGTGGTGCTGTAATGTAGCCAGTAAGTGCAGTAGCAGCATTACAACTTTAAAGATGATTATACATATGATTTAGATTAATTGGGACCAAGAAACCGTTGCAATTTAACCATTTATCCAACATAAAATACAATTAGTGCAAAGAAATCTAAATGTTTTCTGGTAGGAAACTAAATGGGACATGTACAACTTTGGCAATTATACGATTTATAAAGAGATAACTTGGGCGAGTTTTACTGTATTACTGTTGTGGTTTAGATTTTACAACTGTTCTACTATATATAACCTGATATGCTGAAGTACTTTTTTAAAGAGTAAATACCTCATTTGGATTATATCCTTTTTTCTTGGAGGTGCCTTAATGTATACACTTTCCCTGGCCAAATTATGAGTCACTGTAACCAAATCACTAAGGGGCACATGAGAATGACCTGGTATGTCAGACTTGCTGCTGCTGCTCTCTGGGGCAGCTTGCTGGCATAACCAACTGCATTATGAGAACCGTAGTTGGGCTCCTCACCTCACCCCAGCACTCAATATACTTTGTCATTCTACACCTTGGAAACAGACAAGATGAGCATTTTTGATGAGCTCTAAGTGAGTTTCTGTAATTTAAAATAAAACTTTATTTAAAAAATTCTGCTCAACAGAATTTAACTAATATACTTCCCTTCAATATTTCTTCAACTGCTAACTTACTTATTCCAGGTTTTTGAAGCTTTTTAATTTGCCATTCAATTTATTTTGTGTTTCAGACCAGGATTCATTGGATTATAATGGTGGTCAGTGTATTGCTGTACTTTGTGGTTGGCTTGAGTTTTGGAGCAAATTGTGTAAACTGTAACCCTCCATCAAATCCTTTGGGGATCTTCCAAAACGAGATGACAAAACCACTCTTCTACTTGATCTGTGTCATCTCTGTAGTTGCAGCTTTACTCCCCAGGTACTACACAATTTCTGTTTTCAAATGTTCTGAAATCTATTTGCTGAACTATAAGAAAATGCATTTCCAGCATGAATGAGTATAGGCTCACATTTACTCTGGAAAGTAACAGGAAAAATGTTTGCATTAAGCCAACACTGAACTTCAAGAACTGTTTAAGTATTCATTCAAAATGTACTTAGCTCATTCTAATCTTTCTTTTCCTGTGTCAGTGTTCCAAAATACTTTGCTCACGTGTTTGTGTGTGTGTGTGCATGTGTGTGTGTGTTCAGGTCCCTCCACCTCATGCTGCCCCCTCCTCGCCTCCCCCTTAGCTCTCTTTACCCACATCTCTCACATGAAACCCACCACCTGCTCTTTTGTCCACATTCCAAACCAACTACCTTGTTTGACTGCTTTAGTTGCTGATCTCACCAGACTCTCCCTTTCTTCTGGCAAGATACTCTCTCTTCCCCCTTTCAAAACTGTCATCTTCATCCACCTTCTAAAAAAAACACCATTTACTCCTCCAGACTCTCTCACTTGACCTTCTTCCAACCTCTTCTCAGTCTACAACCAGGACCGTAGTACTTTCCAGGCCTCCTTGACCTTATAATAATAATCCTTGCATTTGATATAGAGCCTTATCACATCTTCAAGACGTCTCAAGGCGCTTCAAGGAATATACTGTAAAGTGAATTGACTGTTGATTTTGTGGGTGAAACGTGGCAGCCAATTGCGCACAGCAGTGTCTCACAAACAGTCGTGGATTGAGGGACCAATTTATCATTATTATCTTTTTTAAGTGATTATTACCCCCAGAAAGGGAACCTGAAATTGACTTAACAACTGGGTTCATACTTACTGCTAGGTAAACAGAGGTGTTTGGAGTAAGAAAAGTTGCCCAACATTTCACCCTGCCGGGAATCGAAACCAGATCTCTTGCCAATCAATGACCCAGTCGACCATTCAATCCTTCTCCACTGTCTTTTCTTCCTGGTCCACCTCTGTCCTTTTATTTTACTCTCAACTGTTCCCAGTATTTTCACTATATTTCTAATGGCTTCTCATCTTGGTCCGGTGCAATGACTTTCAGTGTTTCTTGGGTCTGTTTCCTTGGTCTTCTCCTTTTACTTATTTACCTGCTTCCCCTCGTGACATCTTCTGCAGAGATGGATTCCATTTTCACATGTATGTCAATGACACCACTGCTGTACTGTCTGATTGCCTACTAAATACACAGTCACTACATTTTTCAGTATACCCCGTGAAGCACTTTGAGATATCCTCCTTTTGTCAAATATAGGGTTTTATGATAAAAGTTCTTGGCAGCCAATATGTCCTGGATGAGCCTTAAGTTCCACCAACTAAATATGAATAATTGTCTTCTGGTGTCTTGGGCATTAATGCCCCAAATAGAATTGGTGACTCACTTCATTGGCTGATTATGGGATATTGCTGTGTGCAAATTGACTGGCACATTTGCCTAAAAATACACCTTTGCTACAGTTTACAGTAAAATCATTTGAGACGTGATAAGGTGCTATATCAAACGCAAGGTTTATTATCATGAAACCAATGTCATCCTGCTCTCAGACTGATTGCATCAGCCTCTGTTCCTTCAGCTCACAGATTTAGTGCACAATGTTGATACTTCATTCCCCCTTTCATTTGTTCTTTTCCTCCAATTCCAAGGCATTGCTCATCTGCACCTGTACCTCACCCCATCACACATCATCAGCATCCCCAGGCTTGATTTTTCCAATGCCCTACCTCACTGGCCTTGCCTGCTTATTTCTCCATAAGTGCCATATCATTCAGAACTCCTTTGTCATTATTCTGTCACTGGTTCTGGGAAATTAGCGGAAAACAACAACAGCAAAAACTTGCATTTATATAGCGCCCTTCACGCGGGATAATGTTTCAGAGTGCTTAACAGTGGCGGAGCCTGACTCTGAGCAAAGGGAAGGGGCAAGGTGACCATAAGCACGGTCAAAGAGGAAGGTCTTCAGCCTTGATCTGCGCCTTGGGACGTCCTCCTGACGTGAAAGGCGCTTTATAAATGGAATCTTGTTGTTGTTGATCTGAAAATGGGGACAGAGGGGACAAGGTGGAGGAATTGAGAGCGAGAGTTCCAACGTTTAAGGCAATAGTGTCCGGAAGCATGGCCGCCACTTAGAATGGAGGGGATGAGGGGCAAGCAGGAGGCTGGAGGCAGCTGACAGGGGCCAGTGGGTGGTGGAACGATATAAGTGACTCTCGACTATGAGCAGTGAATTGAAAGATTCATTACCCTAAAAAAAACACAACTCAAAGAAAGAGTTTGGCCCAGGATAAGAATTTACAAAGACTGTACAGCAGGGAAACAAGTCACTTGGCCCAACCAGTTTGTGCCGTTGTTTATATTCCACATGAGTCTCCACCCATTCCTTCTCTCTCATGTGAAGGTCTAGTTTTCTCTTGAATGCATTTACACTAACTGATTCAATCACTGCTTCAGGCAATGAGTACCACAATCTCTCTTATCTTCTGCATGAAGTAGTTCCTCCTAACTCACTGGGATCAGACAGCGTAGCGACCAGGAGATTCTCTTTTGAATCTCCTGGTCGCTATGCTGTCTGATCCCAGTGAGTTTGTAATATGTAAGATTGAACTTTACTCAAACAATGGAAATTTTAATTTTATCGACCTTATTTGTTTGCTTACCTACATACCGTCTAATCCCATTATAACATGGTATTTGGAACCCCAACCCATGCAATAAGGAAACGCGATGTCAAATTTCATTCCACATATGCCAGTTCACTCTCTGTGTACCGCCTGGCTCCTGTGCTTAAAAAATGATTGATTTGGGGGTCATCAGGTCATTACAAACATCACTTCCTATTTAATGCACACATTATGTTGGTTACCGAACGATCCAGTGATCTGCCATTTTGATGCGAAACCCAACCAGTGGGTGGTAAGCGAGTGGCTGTGTGCATGCGCATTGAATGGAGTCCAACTGAAACTGCATTATAACCAAATTCATACTACAAATAAGTCATATAATGGGACTGCTCTGTAAATAATATTATATTTCTAATTAGTCTAATTTTGTCGAACACTTCAAAATGTTACCCTATGTGAAATGTGCTTATGTAATTGTAAGTTATTGAACTGTTAAATTTATATTCTAGGTATTTTTTCCGGATTATCCAAGGAAGCATATTCCCCTCTCCACTTCTTTGGGCTCGTTACATAGATACATTGAGCCCAGTGGAACGTAAACAAATAACCCAGGAATGGAAGGATAATGATGAAGCCTCTGAACAGAAATATTCAGGGAACATCAACATCACCTCATTAAATGTTAAGAATCTGACTTTAATACAAAGCGCTACAGAGCTGCAAACACCTTTACCTCAGGAGTTGGATGTTGTACCTCCAATGAATTCATTAGCAAAATCCAAGGCACGGAGGATTTCCACCACTGTAGACCAAGCGCACAACATATCACCAAAAATCACCAAAGTAACTGCTGAGAAAAACATTGAAAAGGTTGAACAGGGAGAAGTTAGGACCCATAAACCACATAACCAGATGCATAAAACAACCCCTGCCTCTGGAGCATTGAAGACCACTAAGAAATTGAAAAAGGATAAAATACAGAAAAACTAACATCTCTGTCTCCAATTTGGGAAAGGCTGATGGGTTAACAGAACTCATTCCAGCAGTATCTTAGCAGTTGTCCTTCAGGAAAGTCCTATGGACAACTTGCCAGGACAATCTGTATCCTTTACTCTCAATATGCAGATGAGATCACTAATCTGGTCAGAATTCCAGTCCATTACTACTGGCAATAGCAGCAATCTTCAAAGCAGAACCTGAACACATTTAAAAGTGACCAAGTTGTGTATTGGTCAAGATGTTCCATCATTCCATGTTTTAAGGTATATGGGATATTGGGGCTTAACTTGGATATCAATCTATGAATGTCTGGATTTCACTGAACTGAAATGCTTTGATTTTTTTTGAAAAAATTGCATCTCTCAATTACAAAACCAGAATTGTAGCCCATCTGCCACCTACTGTAGCCCTGTTATTACTACTAGTAAACATGTACTGGATCTCTGACAGTATCCAGGAACTACTCACTTTATTACCACAATTACTGATATCCCATGGATTTTTTTTCATAGCTCCTCATTATTAGAGGTAACAAACTACTATTCAACAAACTGATTCTTGAACTGTTCACAGAGATTAGAGAAGAATCCTAGTGTATTCTACTGCACACAGAAGGATATTTTAGTGCAATGGGATATTTAGCCAAAAGTATTATGCCATACTTGCTAGGATATGTGCACATAAATTGTACACTCTCATGAAACCTAAAGGGTATTCTCTGGTGTCTGACCTGTTAATTCAAATGGAAATTAATTTAGAGTTATGTCAGCTGCTGGCTCATATCGTGAATTGTGACTCCATCTTTACATACTCAGTCTGTAAAGGTTTCCAGCACAAATCAGTCAACTATTGAGAAATTGATTCTTTTTCTAAATGGTTTATATGTTAGTTCTTTCTGAAACGGAACTCTGATTATTCAGATGAGAAACCCAGTCATGACTTGCTGTAGTACTTTGCTATAATATAATGTTGCCTTCAGTGATGTAAATGTAAATAATGTAAAGCTTGCTCTTTGCGGCATGCTGTTTGTGCAGCTTCCAAAGACTGCTGCAGAAAGGATTTCTTGTACTTTTGTGGCTTCCCAACTGTCCTACACTACAGGACATCTTTTTCTGTATTTAGTTACACTTTCTGTGCAGTCAAATTCACTTACAGCATGTACAAATCTGATGAAGTAAAAGCAATTTTTACTATGTCTCACTTTGCTTCCAATCGATTCAGTTATTAGGAATGGTTGTTACTAGAATAAGTAACTTGTTTCCATTCTGACCTGATCCATTGGATGTATGAGGAGACATGGTGCTTGAGTGTGTGATTTTATTTTGTAATGTAATAGTACCTTATTGCCTGTGATTACATAAATAATGGTCAAAATCATTTTTTTGTTTGTTTATGAGTGACACTGTCTTGGGGGCCTGTTTAGAACAGTATTGCATTTTATTTAAATATTGACTGAAGGTGTCTTATATGGGCTGTAGTACATTTATAAAAAAAATTGCAATACCTAAAGTACAATTGTAACAGGGATTCTAACTGGGCAGCAAGAACACATGTTAATTTAAACAAACTCTTTAGATGGTTTGAATACTATTTTGGCAGGATATTTTATATCAGTTATTGCAACGTCAAAGGTTATTTTATATTTCCAGTTTTAAATGCTCTTTATGACAGATCTTTTGGGTGGGGGGGGGAATAGGATCCAATATAGCTGTTTCTCAGTCTTATTTGAAACCTCAACAATGGGGTTGAAAATGCAGATTTGCAAACCAGAATTGGCAGAGCTAATTAGCTTTTAGTTTGTGACTGATATTGCTGTTAAATTTGCAAACAAAACAGCAATCTTGAACACCAGCAATTGTCATTTTGACAGTTCAGACCTCTACTTGGCATATATTTCAGCTACTACACCTCCAAAACTTCAAAACTCTCTCCCTGAATCCCTCCACCTTTAGATCACCTGAAGAACTTCCTCTTCGACCGTTCCCACTCAAGTTCCACCACTGTCAAGCAAATAGCTATGTTGTAAAATGTCAAAAAACAAAACTCCAACCCCAATTAGTTTGAGAGTACAACATTTTCAACCCCAATATGCATTTTATTTTGATTTTGAAAAACATTCTTGTTTTTTCAACATTGATCAAATATACCTTATTCATTGTGATGCTGTTAAAATGAGCATTATGTTCTCAAGACAGTCACTGCCTGTTAATGACCTTCAAGAGTTACAAACAGATTGTTTGTAAAGTTTGTCAAATGCTGCAATGATGTTAAAATCATGTCAGAGTTTGCATTTGCATTTGCAAGAAATGAATGCACATCTCACATGCTCTCCATTCAAAACAAGCAGTTTGTCAAATACTTTTTCATGATATCAGTGCTCATTTAAAGCACAATCAACTCTTGAAGTGATGGTGGCAGTTGTTTAACTATTTGGTGTACTTGCTAATTGTCGTTTCCTATTCATTTTAAAATAACATTTTCTTGGCTACATGTGAAATTTATGCTGGTTTAAAAACATGTATAGTCTTATTTTGTAATTTTCAAAATCCAAAACACTGATCCCTTTTTTGTTGGCATTCTGCTAAAGGTTTAAGAAAAAGATTATCCTTTATATTGGTAGCCACCAAATGTCCTTAATCCAACTCCACTGGTGCTATTTCCAGGAAAGGGCTTTCAAAGACTGAAGTTTTAAGAAATGTTATTATCTTGAATGTATTACAATAAAATGTTTCAGTGATGGATGAAAGTTATGTTTGTAACAAACTTTCAGGGGATATTATTTTGTTTATTAATCTCCCTGTAAGTTTCAAAACTTGCTGGCTTCGCCAAGTTATCTGAATGACTTGCTGGTTTGTTTTTGTAAAGCAAGTCCATGCTGTTTTTCTATCATTTTAAAATGGTGCTATTTTTATTAAAGTATACTGATATACTTATTACAGTAGTTTGTCCCATTGTGAAGATTTAGTGTTTCTTAAACTCTTACAGTAACTCATTAACTTTAGAATGTTAAAATAAAGAAAAATGAATCAGTTTCAAAAGCATTTTATTTAGTTTTTGACTGTTTTGAATATAATGTGATCCCAGGTTTCTGTTTGTGAAAGGAGCTTAGCTGAGTTCTGAAAAATGTAGTAAATGTAGCAGAATCGGGAAGCTAGAAAATAGTCCATGTGGAAGTGATCACTGCCAATGTAGCATTAGTATCCTTTAACACAGTGCTTCAAAGTTAGGATCAAACGTACGGTTACTTGCTGAATAGCTAATTGTGCAATCATAACAATAGTCCTTCCATTTTGATATTGGGTTTTTATGTCAGGAGGACATCACAAAGTTGAAAAACATGGCAGTCAAATTGCATCTACAGAGGGCCAACAATGTTGTTTTAGAAGGCTCACAAGCACCAGAATTCACCATTTCTAGCATATATCATTGGGTCAGAGTGTATACCAAGCGAATGGATCTCGGCCCTAGGATCTAAAATGACCTTAACACCCCCCCCCCCCCACAGGTAGTCAGTCACATAATCACCGAATGATATTTGTTTTCAGACATGGCTGGCAAAAGATATTCTAACGAGCATTCAGACAGCAGGGGGAAGGAGATGAGAAACTACATAAAACATCTTTGCAAGTGACTCACTAAATCAGAGCAGAACAATAATTGACTTGAATATCAGGGAAAACACAGTGGAAATATGAGACCCATCGCCACTGGATCATCCCTTGACATTGGTTTGAGGGTAAAGTTTAGAAGTTTTTATTTTGTCTGCTGCTATCAGTAGGACAAAGCTTGCACTACAAATCAAGTTTCAATTGTACAACACCAACCAACACAGGTTGTCATCTGATTTTCATTTACAACAACTACAGCATCACATTGGGTAAAGGCCCAGTCTTCAGTCTGCACAAATGAGGCCGTACGTTGCACACATAAAAAAGCAATATAAAAATATTTTATAAAATTACAACCATAGTATCCTTACATGGGATGTTATACTCAGACATGGCCAACATCTCTTGAAATGTCTGTTTATAGAGGATACAGGAACAAAATACATAGCATTACATTGTTGAAAAGTGCCATTGAAGTGTAATATTTAACCCCACGGCCTCAAATGGTAAATTACCACACGAAAATCCAAATCGTCTGAGTGCAAATGTATAGAGTGAGGCGAAACAAAACTTTGGCATTAGAGAGAATAATTTCAGATATTGTACATCTTTTACTAAATAATAACGTGAGCAATGGCATTACCACCTTAAACTCCGAAAAATAAACATTTCCACAAATATACTAGGACAGTTCAATTTTTCCATTTCTGATGTTATCATTGTTGTCACTGCTTAAAAACTCTTAATAATAGCACAAATAAACCAGCAGCAGATAGGTCTCCAAAGTTATTCACTATTTTATTGCAAAAATGTGTGAAGGGCCAAATTGAAATTAGGTAGGAATTTCTCCACAATAAACAAAGTGGCAGAGATTCAAGAAAGTTCTTATTTGAACAATTGAATGATTGTGATTTGGACAGATTGTTTCAAAGAATTGATTAAACAGTTTATAATGAGTCAAGTTAATTATCTTGATTATCATCCAAAACATTTTCTCAACAACGATTTTAATAAGATGTTTCTTGGCCGCTCTTCCTCTGATAAGCGATAATGAATGTTTTTTACCCCTGTATTTCAGAAAACTACGACCTTATCCATGCTTTGTGTTATATTTGTCATGGTTTATTTCCTCAAATAATTATAATACAATGAAATCATTATATGCATAAACCCATTTCTGTTAACCAAAACATTAATTGCAATGATTCCTAGTTGAATTCAATCAAAAAGGTGTTTCATTCCTTCGAATCAAATTCCTTGTCCTTTTCTTGTAGCAGTCTTAATTTTTATGAGAAGGAGATTTTCAGAGCTAAGAAATCCTGTCTCAGTAGTTCAATTAAACAAGTACTGCAAACCCCCCAATATTATAAATGCCTAGAGATTGGCAGCCATGGGAAATCTAATCCAGGGTTTAATCTAATCCAGAAAGGCAGGGGGCCAATGGGTGGGGGGACAAATTATCTTTGTCTTTGGATCAAAAAAAAACCCAAAAAACAAAATCCATCAAAAAAAGTTTTGAAAAATATAAAAGATTTTTTTTACATATGCATTCTTAGGGTGTACTTTCATCTAATGATGAACTTGTGGAAGAAGCATTCTCAAACAAATCAAATTAGAGGTAGCAAAAGTCATTTCTTTTGGGCTGTTCCTTTACAAGCCATCTGAGCAACACACGCTAGCAACCTTCACCAGAATACAAGGAACTGTTGCAGTGTTGGCCAGCTTTGGACTGAATGTGCTGCACAGCTCAAAAGAGTAGTTGATTTGTATAATGGAAAACAACAACAACCAAATTACACTTATAAAGTGCTTTTCACATCGGGAGGATGCCCTAAGGCACTGGACAGACAGAGTTTCGGACCCGAGCTGGGGGTCGGGATCGGGGAGGGTGGAGGGCGGGGGGGGGGAAGCAGGGAGATCGAAAGCACGGTCGAAGAGGATCTTGAGATGGGTCTTGAAAGAGGCAAGGAAGGGGCCAAGGCAGAGAGACAGCGGGATGGAGCTCCAGAGGGTGGGGACAGAATGGCAGAAGGCCCGCCCGACAATAGTGGGGCAAGCGAGGCGGGGGTCGTGAAGCAGGCCAGAGCCCACTGAGTGGTTAGGAGGTCGCAGAGTAGGGGGGAGCAAGACCATGGAGGGCTTTGAAGGTGAGAATCCTGTGTGATGGGAAGCCAGTGGAGTTGGACGAGGATGGGGATGATAAGAGTCACAGAGCCTGGCGCAGGAGAGGACACAGACTGCAGAGTTCTGGATGATCTGCAGCCTATGGAGAGAGGAGTTGGGGAGGCCGACAAGTAGGGAGTTTGCATAGTCAAGCCTCGATGTAATGGAAGTGTGTATGAGGGTTTCGGTGGCCTGTGGTGAGATAGTGGGGGAGCCGTGTGATGTTGGGGAGGTGGGGGAAGCCAGAGCGGGTCATGGCAAAGATGTGGGGTAGAAAGGATAGTTGCGGATCAAACGAGATATCAAGGGTACGGACTGGTTCAGTAACGTAGAGTGCGCAACCATGGATAGTGATGCTATCAATGCCTGAGATGTGGAGGCACTGATGGGAGCCAATTAGGAGAACCTCGGTCTTGTTGACGTTCAACTGAAGAAAGTTAGCTCTCATCCAGGACTTGATGGCAGGACAGCAGTTGTTCTGGAGTCAAGGATGAAGGCAGAGAGGTAGAGTTGGGTGTCATCCGCATACATGTGAAAGTTGACCCCATGTCTGTGGATGATGTCACCAAGAGGGAGCATATAGATATTGAAAAGGAGGGGACAAAATGCAGAGCCCTGAGGGATGCCACATGAGACGGTGGGGGGGCTAGAGAAACGTTTGTGAAGATGAAGTGGAGGCAGTGTGAGAGGTACGATCTGAACCAGTCAAGGACAGAGACATGAAGGTTGAGGTAAGGGGAGGGGCGGTGGATGAGGATAGAGTCGTCAATGGTGTCGAAGGCAGCAGAGAGGTCAAGGAGGATGAGGAGGCAGAGGGAGCCCTGGTCGCAGATGGACAGAATGTCATTTGTCACTTTGACCATAGCGGTTTCTGTGCTGTGGGCGGCACAGAAACCCAATTGGAGGGGTTCATGAAAGGTGTGTTGTGAGAGGAAGGAGCAAAGCTGGGAAGCAACAACTCTTTCCAGGACCTTGGAGAGGAACGGAAGTTGGAGCGGGCGGTAGAGAGTAGAGACGGGTCCAGGGAGGATTTTTTAAGGATAGGAGTGTTGACGGCGTTTTTTAGTGGGGTTGGAACAGTACCAGTGGACAGGGAGAGACTTATAATGTTAATGAGTAGAGGGGCAAAGTGATGGATCTGGGAGGTAAGGAGAGAGGTAAGAGTGGGGTCGAGGGAGCAGGTGGTCGGTTTCATGCGGGTTATAGTGGTGAGAGAGGAGTGGGAGACAGATTCGAAGGTGTGGAGGGAGGGATGGATAGGGTGGAAGATGGAGATGTGGAGGGTGTAGTGGACGGAACAGCTGAGGCAGCTGAGCGGATCCCTTCGACTTTGGATTCGAGGAAGTCCAGCATCGCCTCGCAGTTGGTATTTGAGGTGAGGATGGGCGAGGCGTGAGAGGGTGGGCAGAGGAGCCGGTAGGTGGTGGAGGAGTCTGGGGTAGTCCTTAGCTTCCAAGATTGTCTTGGAGTAGAACCACGATTTAGTGGAGGCGAGGACGGAGCATAAGATTTGATAAGGTCCAGCCAGATCTGCCGATGGACTGTTAAGTTTCATTTAAGCCACCTGTGCTTTAGGGGAACGGAGGTGGCTGTTGTACCAGGGTACCATGGAATAGAATAACGGGATGAATGTTTTCAACCTTTACAGTTTACAAAACATGATGTTGCTTCTAAGAGACAATTAGGGAAATAATTGATCCAACTTGAAGACAGTTAATCCTAGTGAATATTTGCCAAATGCTTTCAGTGGATGGTGGGAAATGGTCTTCAGGATGGTTTGCAGTCTTTGTTTTGCTGCCACCTCTCAACATCTGTTGTTTTAGCTCAGATGATGTCCTGTTGTTTGAAAGATTTATTTAGATAAAAAAGTATGGATGTATATTTGCCTCTCAATCCATTCAACAAAATGAGTAACATTGCTGTAAATGCCGGGACCAAAGAGATTTGAACCACAATCAGATCCCCAAGAGGTGAGGCCGAATAATGTCCATTTCTTGCCAGGCTGTTCGCAGACGAGAGGTCCCCCACTGTCTCCCTGACAAACAGACACAAGACTGTTATTGCAGTTGAAGTCTGAAATTCTCACGGTTTTAAAATGTAACATCGAACTGAACTTCGGAAAAATTCTTAAATTCAGCCTTAATGAGGCTGATTTTCTACAGATATTAAAAATGAAGGCTGAATTTAAGAATTTTCAAAACTTCTCCACAATTTAAAATCTCAAGAGAATGTTGTTAGGGCTAAAACTGTGAGAAATGTATACATCTTTGCCTCTGAAGTCCAAAGGCAAGTCCACACATGCACTGTTAAATCCTTTGAGATTAGCCTCAATCCCCAGCAAGTGAAAGATTACATAGAAGAGAGAAGGGAATAGAGGGTTACAGGGGAGGCTAGGGAGGGGGAATTAGGGTGGGGTTAGGGTAGAGCTCATGTGGAGTACAGACAATGTATGAACTAGTTGGATCAAATGACTTGTGTTGATGCTGTGGATTTTATGTATATAATTTTGTGTATGTCAATTGTAAAACAATCACCCAATGCCAGGTTATAAACTTATTTTGCCAAGTTCACTGTCAGATGGACCACTGCCCAGCAGAACAAGCTCTTCAGGATCCAATACTTCACTTTTTAAGGTTTTCTTTTTCTCTGCCTTCTGATTAACTTATACTCCTTTCTACTCATTGTAAATAGTTGAAATTATAACATAGAGTCATTTGTATGATCGTGTAGTGAATAGATGAATTAAGTAGAATGAATCAAAAATAAAAACTGCCATATGGCGTGCAACACACACAGAAACCCACAGTTCTAGTAAAAAAACACTGAGCTAGGCGGAGTACACTGGAATGTGACTTATGGGCAGGAGAGATAGGAACCTGGGATAATTGGACCAGGAGAATGGATGGAAGGCCATCTATCTGTGTGGGCAGGTATACAAAATCAGCAATTAAAAACTCAGAGAAAGCCTGAAGTCAGCAGGTTACATGGACAGAGTCAGAAAGGAGGACAATGCATTACTGAAACTTCAGGGCCATGGAGTCAGGTGGTCTGGTCGGGCTAGATAAGATGGAATAGGAGGAGTATTGTTCTTCTGCAGAAGATACCACTAGCTGGTACAAGGAGAAACAACTTGAAGATAGGGAAAGAATGCCTGGGAAAAGTGCAGGGTTTAGGAAAGAAGTCATGAGAAAAAGGAGTTAGAACACAGACGGTGGTGAAAAAGAGTATAAAAAACGTTAGCCAAAACTTAGAAGTTACGAGCCTCTGAGGAGAGGAAGGGGACAAAGCTCTACAGAGTGGACCACAAAGAGGACAAGTCCAGCTCTCGCCGGAGTGGAACACAAAGAGACAACATACCAAGACGAGCCAGAGACGTTGGCAGCCAGAAGCAAGCCAGAGACGGTGGTTACCTTCTGTGCCAGCCTTAGAACCTTCTCACAACTTCCTGCCTGCTCAGTAGTATCTCTCTTACTTAGTAAAACACGCACCCAACATACATACAAAACAGTTAGATATTATTTAGACACATCTCATACATCACATAATGTTTTTCTTTTATGTTTAGAATTTTAGTATTGAGTGTATCTTGTTAAGATAGTGCTTTAGTAGTCATTTAAGCACGATGAGTAATGATAATGCGTCGGGTGTAATGCGATGCTTATGCTTGTGCTTGCTTTATAATTGCTAATAAAATGTTTTAATGATATCCTTGGTGTGATTTCTGACAAATGCTTGAACCCAATTTCACACGGTCTATAACATTTTCCTCTAAAATTTTAACACATTGAAATCTCTTTCTTGCTTCCAGCTCCATCCATCTATTTTGGATGATGGGGAAATAATAATAGTCCTTGCATTTGATATAGCGCCTTATCGTGTCGTTGAGCCATCTCAAATGCTTCACAGAATATATTGTTAAGGGGACTGACTATTTTGTGGGCGAAACTCCGTGGTCAATTGAACACAACTTTTTTTTAAATAAAGAACTTTCTTGCTTACCACAAATGTTGTACTGGTCACAGGTTTGAATCTCAGACTCTACCAAATGATCATTACTGAGTGTAAGGTTTTACAGTGGTAGCAGTTGGGACTCTATAAATGATCTCAACATTCCAGGATAAGGCAATAAAAAACCTACTGGCAAGTATGTGTATTTAGACAACAGCTCAAAACAGGATTGGGTTTGGCTGTGACTGCTCCATGTTCTAATTTCCCTACTTGTGCACTGCGCAAGTCCACAGCTGATGGTCACTTGACCAGGTATTACAGGGCAATCTTGTGACCATACCCCAGTGGATGGAAAAACAAGTCAAAATTCAGGAGGGAGGGGAGAGAACAATCAAACATTCAATTCACTTTGCAGTATATTCTGTGAAGCTCTTTGAGACGTCTCGAAGACATGATAAGGCACTGTATCACATGCAAGGATTATTATATTATTACTTCTCATATCGAAACGTCTCAAAGAGCTTCACAAAAGTGACAAAAGATTTTTTTTAAATGTAAGAGTGAATCTGCAAAATATTACTGATTCAAATCGGACAAATCAAATCAGCCGCTCAGGAAGCCAGAAAAATGAGATTTGAGGGATTTCTTAATAAGAATCCCATGAGAATGTCCATAGTGACCCTCTACTCTATGAGCAGAATGGATCGGAGCAGAGTTCCCAGTGAATAGCATGGTGTTAGTGAAAAGACTCCAATTGGCCTAATATATTCATTATAAAATGCTTTTATTATTAAATGATTCACTATTGAATCCTGCAAAACAGACCACAAAAGTAACGTTATCTAGCGAATCATAATCTGTGAGTAATAAAGTGCGTGCCGGTCCCAGGAATAATTACAAAACGTAAGATGGACCTTTATTCTGTGGTTTTCCCGATAACACCCGCAAAATCCTTTTGCTTTAATATATTATTTTTCCTCCTTGCCCCTTACCTTGCAAGAGTCCACTGTTCCACCTTCATATCCTGCACACAACATTCGAGAAGTGATGGTCTTTATGTCAAAGAGTGCCTGACAACGATCAAGTCCAATGATGCGGACTTCTCCTTCTTGAAGTTTGGCTGGAACTAAAAAACATTAAGAGAAAGTTATAAATTGATACCTTGTAGTAATATTAATCCTTCCATTTCCCACTGGATCTCTGCTATATCAAATGTAAGGATTATTGTGGAGTCCTGTAGCTCAGTGATTAGAGCACTCGCCTCGCAAACAACAGACCTGGTTCGATTCCCAGCAGGGCGAATACTCTAACCACTGAGCTACAGAATTTCTTGCAGGGCGAAATGTTGGGCAAGTTTTCTTACTCCACACGTCTCTGTTTACCTAGCAGTAAGTAGGAACCGGTTGTTAGTCGATTGGCGGATCGTTTTTCCAGGGATAATAATTCCTTCAAAAAAAATAATAAATTGGTCACTTCAATCCACGACTGTTTGTGGGACACTGCTGTTTGCAAGTGGCTGCCATGTTTTGCCCACAAAATATATAGTCAATTCACTTTACAGTATATTCTGTGAAGCGCTTTGAGACATCTCGAAGAGGTGGTAAGGCGCTGTATCAAATGCAAGGATTATTATATTATTACTTTTCATGTCAAAACATCTCAAGCAGCTTCATAGGTTAAGTGGGCATTAAAGATCTGTAGTGCAATTTGAAAAGAGACGGGAATTTCTCTGTCCAATAGTCCTCTGGATAACATTGTTTTTTTTATGGCTGTTTGCGGGACAGTGCTTTGTCCAAATTGGCTGCCACCTTTGCCTATAATACTCAAGTGCGCTCATTTATAGACATATCATGAAGCTCTTTTAGACATATAACATTATAGCCACTAAACCAAATGCAAAAATTGTTATTGTTGTGGATGTTAAAGATCCCATGGCACTATTGAAAAAAAATTCTCCTTTGTCCTGGCTCTATAAACTCTATAAATATATGGATGTTGGGGATCTTCACTGTGCACAATATAGCGTTACAATAGGCTACAGCCATTACACATCACAGCATATCTTGTGAAGCGCTTTGATACATCTCGATGACGTGACAAGGCGCTATATCAAATGCAAGGATTATTATTATAAAATTAATTAGTTGTCCAAAGAGCTACTTACATCTGTTGCCCATGTTTCCCCATCCTGTGATGAAGCAGTAGGTATCTGGTTCTACCACTTGGTCCTTGCTGGGCAGGCAGACAGGCCTGACATAACTGGTCTCTGTTACTTCTTCAATCAACTCCACCAAACTAATATCAAAATCGTCAACCTTCCTTTTATACCGTGGGTGCAAGATAATCCGCTTCACCTTCCGGACCTGTCTAAACTCTGATGGGTGATCCATGTTATTGATACCAAACACAATGTTCCAGATATCTGCATCCTCGCGGCTGCAAAAGAAGAAACCTCAATCCTGGGTTGGCTAGTTTCCAATGATATCCTGTAAATTCCCACAGTTACACTACTGACTACTGCGGCTTAACTTCTGATCTCCTCTACATTCACATACATGTCACATATTCCCAGACATAGAATTACATGGAATGTTACGGCACAGAAACAGGCCATTGGGCCCAAAATAGACTGTGCTCTTGTAATACTCTTATGTGAGCCTCCACCCTCTGGGACTCCTCTATTCCTGCTATACGATATCTTATATTTATGTGCCCTCATTTTGGACTCACCAACAATTGGAATTAGAATTAGCCTATTGATGTCCACCTTATCAAATCCTTTCAGAATTGTAAACACTTTTTAAATTTCATTTTAAACAGACAGTACTGTTAGCACATCAAAACTATTTTGATGACAGCTACAAAATCTCACCAGAGAGTTTATAGAGGCTTCAAAAATGTCACTGCAGGCATCTCGATGACCTTTTCTAAAAACCAAAGGTGCTATAGCCTGCTGACAGCGGTGGGCAGCAGCAAATTCTGTTCTAGCATTTATATGAAATGCTATTCGAAAAGAGCAGGCAGTTTCTTTCTCCTGGTGTCCTAGCCAGCAATCATCCAAATAAAATATATCCTGTGAGGTTTTTTTTGCAAATAATGGCCGTCTTGTTAGCTTCTCCTGACCTTTTCATACTCTGCAAACTTTCAATATTCACATTAGAATTAGTTATCATGACAGGGACACTTTTTTAAATCTTAAATTCAATTCCAAGATGTTACCATTGGAAGGGCTCTATGTAAATGTAGGCTCTGTTTGTAGAATTACTACAGAATTCCATTCTAGGAGATTAATTTGCAGTTTCAATCACATCTCACTCCTACACTTAATTTACAACAACAAAATTACATTTGTAAAGCGCCTTTCACATCTGGAAGACGTCCCAAGGGGCTGGACAGACAGAGTTATGGACCCGAGCTAGGGGTCAGGGAGGATGGAGGGCAGTGGGGGAAAACAGGAAGATCGAAAGCACGGTCGATGAGGAGGATCTTGAGATAGGTCTTGAAGGAGGCAAGGGAGGGGGCAAGGAGGGAGGACTGCGGGATGGAGTTCCAGAAGGTGGGGGCAGAGTGGCAGAAGGCCTGCTTGCCAATGGTGGGGTGAGCCAGGTGGGGGACATGAAGCACACCAGAGCCCGCTGACCAGAGGGATCGAGCAGGATGGTAGGGAGTTAGGAGGTCATACTGGTAGGGGGGAGCAAGACCGTGGAGGGCTTTGAAGGTGAGGACAGGATCTTGAACTGTATCCTCTGTGTGATGGAAAGCCAGTGGAGTCTGGCGAGGATGGGTGTGATAGGGTCAGGGAGCCTAGTGCGGGAGAGGACACGGGCTGCAGAGTTCTGGATGATCTGCAGCCTGTGGAGGGAGGAGTTGGGGAGGCCGACAAGCAACGGGTTTGCATAGTCGAGCCTCGATGTAATGAAAGCACGTATGAGGGTTTCGGCGGCCACCGGAGTGAACTTACTCTTCAAAACAATGTGCCACCGTCAAAACCCATTTACTCCCAATCAGCGCACAGCCACAAAGGTGCCCGCTGTGGTCCGCTTGCAGTGAGCAATGCCAAGGCCAGCGACCGAGACGGCTGTTTCGACCTCCCAGGATCCTCTTGTTGAGTCGGATTGCTGGGCGCAGACCACAGTCTGTGGAATATAAAGCCATTAGATAGAAATTTACATCGCAATAGTTTCTCAGAATAATCTTTGAAGTTTTAGTTCCAGCTAACCTAAAACAATGCTTTCTTTCATTGTACCTCTTTATGACCATGAGTTTTCATGTGATAAGTTGCTAATAAAAATGCAATTTTTTTCACACGTGATATGCTCACAGTTTCTTTCTTTCTCTCTCATCTTTTCCCCCATCCCCTTTTAGCTTCCCATATCTGCAGCATCCTCCAGCATGTATAAAATTAACAGTAATCCTTGCCTTTGATATGGCGCCTATTGTGTCAAAACATCAGAAAACACTTCAGAGGGAATTGCTGTCAAGTGCTGTGACTGTGCATTTGACAGCCATTTTGTCCACCACAATGTCCTACTAACAGCCAAGAAGTAAATGCCCAATTTATCTGGAGCCCTGCTATCCAGGTCTGTTGCCAACAATCCTCCAGATCAATCGTTCACCTTAAGGCTGCCTACGGGATCTTGCTACCACTTTTGACTACAAAATCACCTAACAGCAATGACTTGGGAAGCACATTGAGATCGTTTGATGCTAGAAAAATTCAAGTTCTTTCTGTCTGTTATAAATATTACACTTTCTCCCCATTGTTAACAACCAGCAGGAACAATAAATCTACAAAGAGGTCTACTTAAATATTTTGCAGCAAAGTTCTTGTAATATTTACATTTGTGCACATTAATACATTCAGTTGAGTTTAAATTTCATCTAAACTACAGGTTGCTACAGCAGATATTCTACAGTAAAATGGCAGCTCTTACTTACCTGCTCTAGTGCAGTGGAGCGATACCTTGCTTTTACTTTGACACAGCTCACTATATCAGCAAAAGGAAAAAAAATGTGAATTTATTATTGGTGTCATCTGAAATATTCAACTCTTCAGCAGCTCTTTATTTTCATAGCTCAAGTATATTCTCTCCCATCTCCACACCAGCACAAGTCATGCTTTACACCACATACTAACACCTTCTTTGGTCAGCCAGGGGAGGGAACCCATTAACATGCTTAAAAATATTCATACTTCATACTTTGCTATAAATAGACATAACCAAATGATGTACTGGAATGGTATTTAATAATAATAAATAATAATAATAATCCTTGCATTTAATATAGCGCTTTTCACGTCGGGAGGACGTCCCAAAGCGCTTCACAGAACACACTGCAAAGTGAATTGACTGTATATTTGTGGGCGAACGCGGCAGCCAATTGCGCACAGCAATGTCCCACAAACAGTCGTAGATTGAAAATTACCAATTTATTATTGTTTTTGGTTTTGGAGGGATTATTATTCGGCGTGTGGAGTAAGGAAACTTGCCCAAGGTTTCGCCCTCTGCCTGGAATTGAACTCAGGTCTCTCGCTTGCAAAGCGAGTGCTCTAACCACTGAGCTACAGGACTCCGTCAGACTCATAAAAATGACTGCATAGGAAGAGCTTTTTCAACCCATTGAACATAAGTTTGTATTCCTTATCCATGGGATCGAATTGAAATAGAAGGGAAGGGAGAAAAATCGGAACTGTACAAAGTAGCCCTTACTATTGCCATCACCTCCACGATCCCCTCCAGCCTCCACCTATCCTTCCCTCCAGATCTTCGACCCCATTCTCTGCCTCTTCTCTCTCCTCCATCATTTCGCAAATGAAGCCCACCACTTGCTCCCTCGAGCCCCTCCCTACCCCTCTCCTTACCTCCCAGCTCCACCTCCTTGCCCCTCTACTCACAGACCTCATCAACCTCTCTTTGTCCATTGGCACAGTTCCCACCGCCTTAACAACAGCCATCATCACCCCTATCCTCAAAAAACCTTCCCTTGACTGCCATCCCATCTTCAACCTCCCTTTCCTCTCCAAGGTACTGGAGTTCTCAGCTTCACTGTTTCCTCTCCTGGCACTCCCTGCATGAACTCCTCCAATCTGGTTTCCATGCTGCTCACAGTACAGAAAGTGCCCAAGTCAAAGTCACAAAGACATTCTGTCCATTTGTGACCAGGGCTCTCTCTGTCTACTCATCCTTCTTAATCTCTCTGCTGCCTTTGAAACTGTCGATCAATCTACTCTTCTCGACCACTCAAAGGCGACTCTGCTTAAGCAGGAGTTACAATGGCTGCCATGGCGGATCTGAATGAGTGCTGCCTGGAACAAACTCACCCACACTCTCCAATGCTCAATAAAAATATATTTTTTTCTAATTGACTGTAATCTTATCTGAGATGAATGATTGTTGGAGGCTTCTCTTTTGTAAATACTGTATTCAATATGTCAGCAGCCACATTATGAGCAAAGTGCGAAAAATACCTAACTTCTAGGTCATCAGGTCACTGCTGGAGTCACCTCCTGTTTTGTATATGCACTTCCTACACAAAGTAATGTCAGCCATTTATTAGTACAAGTATGCCAGCTAATCTGGCTCTGAGATGCTACCCTGTGTGAAGGGCTCTATATAAGTGCAAGTTGCTGTTGCTTTTCTAATCAGTCTCTGAAACCAGAGTTTAGGATGGGTCATAATTGGTTGCCCTTTAACTTTCTTGGGAGAGGAAATTTGAGCTCTATTAAACAGCTCTAGTTCACAGTCCTGCCTCACTACCATCATAATAATAATCCTTGCATTTGATATAGAACCTTTCACATTGGGAGAACGTCTCAAACATTTCAGGGGGTTTAATGTAAAGTGTAGTAACTGTATATTTTGTGCGCTAAAGCGGCAATCAATCTGCACAAAGAAATTTCCCACAAATAGCCATAAATGAGTGAATGAGTAATTTTATCTGGAGGATTGTTGGCCAGGACACTTGAAGAAACTTATTTTCATCATAAGGGTCCAATGTATTGCCTTTACTGACACGAGCAAACTTTTTGTCCACATTGTAAAAGCAAGATGAACTTTTAACTTTTGCTTGTGAACAGCGTGAATTAGATCCCTATAAAGATCAAAGTGGTAGCTTTGGTGATGTGGAATAGCCCAAGTCGCATGTGATAGGGATGCAGCTTCTGAACTGTACTGGATAAGCTTCCTTCAGCAAGTTATAAATTCAACAGTTATCCAATAAATTGGAGCCACTGAGATCCCTTCTGTACTGTATTTTGCTGGTTGGATTGGCACTGAAATCCTGTTCAAAGACACTAACCTGTCTTTACCAGTAGGTGGCATCATTATATATCAATTTGCTCTTGGAAAACATCCAAACAAACTATACATAGAGCAATAAGACACAGAAATAGGTCATATGGCCCCAACATAGTATTCATGTTTCATTGGTCTGTGTACATTTGCAGATTTTAATTGACCAGTTAGTCATTTTAACTGACTAATTGTCAATCTACGTCTCTGTGAACAAATGTTCCTCATATTCAAGGATTGCCCTATTGGACAAGAAAATTCCCCAACTTTTTTCCAGCACCACCAAACTCTTCTGATTCCTCTCCCTTAATATCCTATAGTCAAGGAATAGGAAGACTGGGGAGACATTTTATGGAACTGAGAAGGTTGAGGGGGGGATTTGATTGAAGTGTTCAGGATTATGAAAGGGTTCAACAAAATAAACAATGAGTAACTTTTTCCCTCGCTGGCTCAATCGGTTGCGAGAGGACATGTCTTCAAAATTAGGGATGAATATCTTCTCACAGAGAGAATGTGGAATGAATCACCCCAGCAAGCCATCGATTAGAATCTGGTTGAGGGATTTAAGAAATATATGGATAATAATAATAATAATAATAATAATCCTTGCATTTGTTATAGAATATACTGTAAAGTGAATTGACTGTATATTTTGTGGCCGAAATGTGGCAGCCAATTGCGCACAGCAGTGTCCCACAAACAGTCGTGGATTGAGTGACCAAATCATTATTATTATTTTTTGAAGGAATTATTCCCCCCCCGGAAAAGCGATCCGCCAATTGACTAACAAGCAGGTTCTTATTTACTGCTAGGTAAACAGAGGCGTGTGCGTGGAGTAAGGAAACTTGCCCAAGGTTTCACCCTGCCGGGAATCAAACCCAGGTCTCCCACTTGCTTGGCAAGTGCTCGAATCACTGAGCTACAGGATACCTATAGATAGGTATTAAGTTGACATATTAAAGGATGTGGTGAAAAGGTGGGGAGTGGGGAGTGGGGAGGGGGAGAATGTTCATAGATTCATAGAATGTTACGGCACAGAAGGAGGCCATTCGGCCCATCGAGCAAGTCACTTTCGCTAACCCAATCACCAGCTTTCTCCCCATAACCCTGCAAACCCGTCTTCCCCAGATACCTATCCAGTTCTCTCTTAAAAGCTGAAGAGCTTTGGATGTATGTAGACTGTGCTGTGTTCTGTGGTGAGGTGGACTTGATAGCTGAATGGTTCCTGGTCCTAGTTTCCTATAATCTTTAACTGATTTTAAATACAGTACAGGTTCATGGACTTCTTTGTGTCCAAATTCAAGGTCATCTGCTTGGCCCCTTCAAATTCCTCCACCCCTCTTTTCCTGCAGCAGTCTATCCCATGACTGTTTGCTGAGCGCAAACTTGACTGCTGCATTTAACCCCTATCACTTTCCAGCATATCCTGCAAAGTCCTTTGGAACGTCCTCCTGACGTGATTATTATTTATCAGCCGCATCTTTCACATGATGCCTGTTGTCTTGACTCCCACTCTCATCACTACAAACGAAACTTCAGATTAGCTAACATTTTCAAGCTTTTCCTAGCCCCTAGAACTCTATTTCCAGCTTTCAAAGCTGTTGTCATCAATTCCTTTCTCAAAAACCTCAATCCTTTCCCCTCTCAAATTAACTCCCAATCTCAAATTTTCCCTGTATAAGATATTAAAAAGGTTGTTGCCACCCAGATTCATTCTCAACGCCCTTGCCATTCCCTCTTTAAAACCCTGCTATTATAGAATCATCTTTATTGTATTTATATTATGTTTATATTATACAGGCTTTTCTGGTCAAAGTCACTAATAAGGTTCTGTGTCTCTGTGACTATAAGTTAATGTTTCTCCTCATCCTCTCCACAGCCTTTGACCTGACTATCATTCCATTCTCCTCCAGCACTGTGGTATTGCTCTTTCTATCGCCCTACTTATCTGGCACCTTCACTACACTTATCTTAAAGCATTCTCATCTTATACCCGCATTGTTCCAATTAAATTAAATAAACAACAGGCTCTGCGTTAGTAGATACTACTCATCATGCAGAATTTCACCATCTCAGGTATGTTGCTACATTGCTCAAGCACAATCCGGGGGCAGGTATGGCGTAAAATTTGATATTTCCAGCTTGAAGTTTCTATGAACCCCCAATGGTATTGACTTAGTTTTCTGGTATTGACATAGTTAAACAGCTACATAACATGTCTTAAGAATAAAGACTTTAGGAATCTTCTTCCATACCACATTGCTTGGACCCCTCAGTGTATTTCCAGTCATTCATTGCTCACCCTTTTCGTAATGAAGCCTGCACAGTTGAAACATTCTTATTCCGCCAATCAGGACTTAGGCGAAGCAACTTTCCCTGCTGCGACTGGTCGTATTCTGACAGAAGCTGAGTCACTGTCAGAGTACCTCTGCCAAAAACATTTCAAATTTGTTAAAACACAAGCACGCTTTTTTATTCCAAAGCACATGGACCTTGTTTTGATTTAGGTTGTTCAAATATGTTCCACTGGTAAGAGAAGAAGTAGGTCAGAAGCTTCATTATGTCTACTCCATTCACCATACGGTTGTGAGAACATGAGCTGCTACAGATCAGGGAATGTCACTCTTGCTGACCTGCTTCTCCACTTTATCTAGTGGAACATTTTTCCGGAGCAGCCATAGTTTGTCTGGAACAATTTGAACTCTGTGATCCATCACGAAAGGTGTGAGAGACCGAACTCATTGAGAAGTACTTAGTTAATCAGGCACGTGACTGAAATGCAGGCATTTCATGAACAGGGAACACTCAAGGTACAAAACGTCCACTTTAAGTGACCTTTTATGTGTGTGTTTCTTATCAACGTCTTTCGTCATCCGTGTTTTTGTGTTCATGATGAGGACGATAAAATGAGAAGTTATCAGTATTTCCATGAAAAAGATGCCTTCCAGCGTCAAGGGAGAATGATGCCAAGGCTATAACAGTGTTTAAAAGGGATATTTGGATAAATGCTTAGATTAAGTTATTCTAGAGGTCATAGGAAAAGAACAGGAAAATGGAATTAGAGCAGATGGCTCTAGTCAAGGAGTCAGCACGAACAACAATTTGCATTTATATAGTGCTCCTCAAACAGGATAGCGTGCCAGAGCACCACAACAGACTCCATGAGCTGAATGGTTTCCTTCTGTGCTCTAAACTTTTTATGATGCTTTCTGTATGACCTTTTTGTGGCATTCTTTCCATTTTTACACCTCACAATGATTGCGAGTCAGATTGACTTTCAAGTACAATATTACCATGGATTTATTTAAATTGTTGATTTATGAAGCATGCTTATCTGATGAAACTTGTTCAATAAATGTGCATCTCCTTTAACTTTGGTCAATCTAAAAATGGAATCTCCAGATTTCTCTCCAAACTATTCAATCACTTTTGGATTTTACGAAGGGTCATGAGGTTTCAATAGCACTCATTGGGAAAACTGAAGTTCTTGCAGGTTGGGGTGATGAGGTTGGGTTTGTTGCTGGAGACACACATTATGTCCTGAGGTGCTTTATCCAGCAACAAGATGCCATTTACACTTCTGCTTGTACAGTGAGCTCTTTTTAATAATAATAATCCTCGTGTTCAATATAGCTCCTTATCACATAGATGAAACATCTCAAAGCGCGTCACTGAATATATTGTAAAGTGTGTACTTTGTGGGCGAAACTTGGCAGCCAATTTTTCAACCACACTCATAGATTTGTGAAATTTGATATTTCTAGCTTGAAGTTGGTTGAAGAATTGTTTCGCTCCAAAAATATACAGTCAATTCACTTTGCAGTATATTCTGCAAAGCGCTTAGAGACGTCTCGAAGATGTGATAAGGTGCTACAACAAATGCAAGCATTATTATCATTATTATGATAATGAGCTCTTTTCAACCACACTCACTGCTCAGCAATGGTAGCAATAATTGCTTTTTAGAATTGGTAACCACAAGATGTTCAGAGACTTGCTGGAAGAAGGTGTTTGTTTACCTGTGCTCAAGAAGCATGGGAAACTATCAGGTGAGAGGCAGTCCAATGGTGTATTCCATGTGGGGGTAAAGTGAGGAGAACAGCAGGTATATGTATCTGATCCTGACCCGCTCACAGTTTACTACATCTGAATTCTAACTCTACTCTAAAGCCGTTTGCGCCCAGCACCTCTTTTGATTGAAGGAATTTCCCCAATTTAAGAACAATTAATGTGATGCAGAAGCAGCAACCTTAAAAAGTGGTGATAGTGCTCGCCAAATGCATTTTGTGAATATTCCAGTAAAGGAGTAAAGGGGTCATTAACTTGGATCCTTGAGGGAAACCCTGTTAACATTTCTGGAATAATTTGAAATACCTGTAGTTGCTCTTTAATACATTTTCAGTTTTCTGTACCATATTGCAGAGTTTTACCACTCTAGGCAAAAGAGCCACCAAACATAGTAATAAAACTGCCTTGTGCACCTGCTGATGGGAGCTACAGTATAAACACTGGTATATGACCTACCGGTCCTGCTAAGCAGTGGGGTATGCTACAGCTACATCGCCGATAGCAGATTCAGTGTTAAAGTTACACCTTCAGTCAGGTTGCTACAAACTACTGACCTTACCCTAATCCAAGCTGCTTGCAGACTAGTTGGCTCAGCTCCTCCTGCCAATCATCAGCGCACACATGATAGTTAGCAGAAGACCTGTGCACAACCAGCAGAGATGAGGAATTGCCATGTTCTGACAGTGACACTGTAAACAAACCACAGAGACACATACTTCAGAGCACAGCTAGTAAAATGTACGTTTGTCCCACTCTTGTGGTGAACAAAAAACAAAAAATACATGAGAGGGTGTAGGGAAAAGGTGAGGGGGTGAGATTCAACAATTGGTGAGCCATGGACACAATGGCCAAATGTTATATTATTATTAATATATTATTATATTATTGTTATATTATATTATTAGCAAATGGCCCAATGCTGTGCTGAAAAATTCTATGATTCTATAGGGCAAATTTTGGGGGAATTCTTTATAAGTTACTTATGCTAATTAAAACAAGGAACACCTTAAGAAATATATTAATAATAATAATCCTTGCATTTGATATAACCCCTTATCATATCTTCGAGCCGTCTCAAAGCGCTTCACAGAATATACTGTAAAGTGAATTGACTGTATATTTTGTGGGCGAGTATCATAAATTTGTTACTAATTTCTTAATTATATCCATCCTTAACCATTAACCTCTGCTCGCTGCTCCAGGCTTCATATAATGAACCTCCACAGTCAGCTCCTCCTGGTCTGGTGGCATCGAAAATAAAGACCATCCAGGAAGCTGATGAAGGCCAGGAATGTGGATATATGTCCAAAATGGAGTTTAACTCATTTCCTTTGTAAGTCGTGTATGACTTCACCTTTGAGAACAGTTTATTGGGGAGGACCAGAGCCTACCTCCCACACATAAGGTACATTTAATGTGCTAAATATAGAATGCTTTCCCCTGACTCCATTACTGTGCCCAATGCCCTTACAGTCACAGTTGTGAAGGGTTAACCCAATGCCACATTTATATCACAGCTGACAGCAGCCCTGCATTTAATGGTATTTCTTCAATATGAAATAAATCACATGCAAAGTCAGAAAACGTCCCAAAGTGCTTTACAGAATATTTCTTTATGTGGCCAAATCCAGCAGCCAATGTTGGCCACAGCAATGTCCCAAAAATTGCAATGGAGCGACTGATCAAATTTTTGGAGGGGGTTATTGGTCAGGACACCAGGAGAGAGAAACTCCCTTCTCTATTCAAAAAATGCCGTGGGATCTTTAATGTCCATCTGGACAGGCAGATGGGACTTTGGCTTGACGTTTCATCCGAAGGAAGATATGACATTACCTCTGGAGTCATTTACAACCATACCCCGAAGGAGGGGAGCAGCTTCTTCAGAGGCAACAGTTCCAGATACAGGAGGATAAACAGTCCCAGTCCCATTTCCAGCTTTGCTGCATGTCAGGATTTGCCAGTGAGTTGCCAAGCCAGCAGTATGGATAAGGGATGACTGACCCACACAGCAAGGAAAGGTCCATGGCCAGAACATTCAATTGTGACATGGAAACAACAGCAAGATACTGTGGTTTCCACCCTAGAGAGTAATAGCAGGATCTACAGCAGGATCTTCAGCGGACGGTAGAGCAAGTTCTACTGTGCAACCCTCAAACATAACAGCAACAAAACCTTAAAGGCCACTTAAGAGGAATGAGATATGCGTGTGAGAGACCACTGTCCCTACTGTTTTAGTTCTGCATTACACAGCACTGCACTAAATAAGTTGCAAGCCACACTTTGAAACCTGACACAATCAAGATTCTTTTAAAAATAACCTTTGGTGAAGTTGAGCATTCAAAAAATAATGACTTTTTATTGTATTGCTTTGATTCAGATGTCTTTGGTTGTGACATTAACCTTCTTGATCTTCTGCAAAGTTATTATTTGAAGACAATCCTGATGAATCACAACAGTAAGTTTAAGGGAGAAGGAAGGGAAGAACTGAGCAAAGGAAGACACGGAGTTTTCTGTTCAAAACAAATGCCTTTCTCCTTTCCTGGTGCCCCTTTTACATTGGGGTTAGTCTCCAGTGCTGATTCCTTAGGGAGCCTGTTCCATTTACTATTCACTCACTGAAATAGTGTTTCTACTGATATATTTCGAATTCACCCCCTTCAATAAAGAGAGGTATTCGAAAAGTAAGGGTTTTAAGGAAATTGGAGAAAAGATGGGAAAATGGGATTAACAGATCTTCCATAGTCTAAAAATGGTGGAACAGGCAATGGTGGGACAAGTAACCCATCTCTAAAATCCTAATCAACAAAACTGTTTTCATTTTAATTTAACACTCACCACAGTTCAATTCATCTGAGCCATCAGGACAATCGCTCGATCCATCACACCAAACTTTACGGGGCACACAGGCATGGCTTCTGCACTCCAGCTCATTCTCTTTGCAGAATGCTGCAGGGTAGAAAGAAAGAAAGAAAGAAAGAAAGAAAGAAAGAAAGAAAGAAAGAAAGAAAGAAAGAAAGAAAGAAAGAAAGAAAGAAAGAAAGAAAAGAAAGAAAGAAAGAAAGAAAGAAAGAAAGAAAGAAAGAAAGAAAGAAAGAAAGAAAGAAAGAAAGAAAGAAAGAAAGAAAGAAAGAAAGAAAGAAAGAAAGAAAGAAAGAAAGAAAGAAAGAAAGAAAGAAAGAGACAATGAATCACAGATACCAGAACAATAAGTCTTAAAGTGTTCAAAAAGATTTCTTGTGCTTGCATATGCTATGCACAAAATTTAACTTGCTCAAAGAGGATGCTGTAATTGTTTTACAAAACATTAACACTGTGCATCTTGAAAAGATTGCCGTTCCAGTTCTGAATTGCTCAAGAATATATCAGGTGATTTTTGACCTTATTGACAGATCAAAGGCTCGAAATTTCTCAACATCGTGGCTCAGCCTTGAATGTGGCCAATTCTTCAGTTAAACATGTATATAACATACACATTTCCTCATATCATGCAAACACATTGCTTCCATGAAGAGCACATTGTGTGGCTATGAGAAACAGAACAGTTCACATGCCATGTGTTCTTGATTGGATTATCTCACCACTATGAAGATAGGGCAATAGAAAAAACAGTGACACTTACTCATTCAACCTATATTAAATAAATCATCAATATTATAAAAGATACACTTTAACAAAAACGAGCTATGCAGCATTATGGATGGATTGTGCCGAGGCCGTTGAGCGAGTAGTGAATTATGGATGTCTATTCACTTCTGAGACAAGCTTGTCACTATTGATTTATAGGCACTTCACTCTTGAAGCAGTCTAGTAATTCATAGCTTCTGGGGATAACCTTCTGCTCACATAATGGAGGCTTTTGATTTTGTTTTGTGTATGTGCCCCCAAATCCCTAATGTGTTAAAGCCTGCAGTATTCACTGTGGGGGAGGCACATTGCCATTATTCATTATGCTAAATATGCTCAGCAGATTAAGGAGGTAGTTCCTGATGTATTTGTATTTGTTTTCAACGCATTTAACTATGAAGTTCTAGGTTGATCAAAAGCATCTAAAAAAGCGAAACATCAATAGCTATTTTAAGAGTCGTGTTCTGAGGGGAAAACAATCCATTTCGGTGAATAAAAAAAGTACATAAAGCTTGTGATAAATTACAGCAATTCTTTTCATCCGCGCTGTCAACACAGTCCTGGATCCCATCACAGACCATTCTGTACTCGATACAGGTCTTCTCAGTGGGACATTCCCAGAGGCCTCGCTTAATACAATCTGGGAACAGAAAATGAGAAGGTAGGAGTTCCAGGACATCAGAGATTCATTTTCCAGGTTACAATGTACAGGATCGTTAAATAAATCTATTAGTTTGTTAATATCATCCTTTTCCAAATTTTTTAAAAAACCTAGCTGAAGGGCTGTTTCACTTTGCCAGAGTATTGTGGATCCTGTAGCTCAGTGGTTAGAGCACTCGCCTCACAAGCGAGAGGACATTGGTTTGATTCTTGGGCAGTGCAAAATGTTAGGCATGTTTCCTTACTCCACACACCTCTGTTTACCTAGCAGTAACTAGGATCCCGGTTGTTAGTCGAATGGTGGAGCCCTTTCTGAATAAATAAAATGTAAAAAAATAAGAATTTGTTCCTTCAATCCACAACTGTTTGTGGGACACTGCTGTGTGCAATTGGCTGCCACATTTTGCCCACAAAATACCCAGTCAATTCACTTTACTTCAGCGCCTTGGGACGTCCTCCCGACGTGAAAGGCGCTCTATAAATGGAATCTTACTGTTGTTGTTGTTGTTTACAGTATATTCTGTGAAGTGCTTTGAGACGTCTTGAAGACACGATAAGGCACTATATCAAATGCAAGGATTATCATATTATTATTTGCCAGAGTATTCCCAGCTCCACCTTAAAGCCCACAAGCCAGGAGCTCTCGTGTGACCTGCTTAAAACAAGCCTATCGGCTCTCAAGATCTCTTTACAGGAGACATCTGCTAAATGTCTGACTGCTGGAGATAGCTCGTGCCCTGGCCCTGAAGTGGACTCAAGATCATTCCGGGTAATATAACTTTAATCGCAGGCACTACTAGGGTGTTGTTAGTTAAATTAGCACATTATTAACAACAGCAAGGAATTTAAGCAGGGACGCTAAATGTTTGTGTGTTTACGTTAGTTGTGAATTAGTTGTTCAATTCCCTGCCAAGCAGTGAATGCTGATGGTGGTTTCTGAAACATTGTTGAAAATGTAAGTAAGGCATTAAATTGATGCTGGAAGCCCATCTGGGATTGACTGTCAACCCTGTGACTAATTGAAATATGGGGCAATCATGGTCTGAGTTGAAGTGTTTGGATAACTTTTCATTTGTATATTTTGGAGGAGCAGAATGGATGGGAGATAAAGGCAACTGGATAACTGCAACAAGTCTTCCAGTTGTTCAGAGGATTGCAATTCAGCTTCTGCAATTAGCCACAAAAGCAAACGTCATGTCTGTTTGTAACTGGACAATTCATTCGCAGTACAAATCTGTGATATACATATGATTATACATTTATACCATTCAGCCTGTTCTTATACAAGACTGAAGGTTATGAAACATGTGTTGCTTTGGGATATCCTCCCAATGTGAAAGGCACTATCTATATAAATGTAAATTGTATTGTTTAAAAAAAGATGGGATACATGTTAAATATTTAAGCTATTTGGGGTTTATTCTACACATTAATTATTAATGCACACTGCTGAAGCTTCGTATGTATACCAACATGTCACTGTCTTATCTGGTAATCTATGTGGATCCCACAATAGCAATGTTCATTATTATATTTTGCCAGCGGAACTGTTTTTGGCACTTCTGTCATTTATTTTCGAAGCAAAGCATATAACTCTTACCACATTCCTCCTCATCACTACGATCAACACAGTCTGCCTGTCCATCACACCAGCTTGATATCAACACACACCCTCCTGAGTTACACTTGAAATGACTTGGGGAACATTCTACAAAACGAAAATAAATAACTCGTTAAAGCATGTGATTACTGACAGAGGAAGTTTTTGCCACAAGGCTCAGGCTGACTGTTTTCATAGAGATATAAAAGGCTTACAGCACATTGTGCCTGTGCTGGTGCAACACCTCCAACCACAGGGGTATGGGGAAACAGCAGGTAACCCGAGCGTCCCCCTCCACTCTAAATGTCTCTTCTCTCACCCCCCTCTATCCGCTACTCCCCCTCTGCCCTTCTCTCCCACCGCCCTCCCCGCCTTTTCTCTCTCCTCGACCCCATCACCACTTCCCTCTGCTCCAGCCTGGGCATCCTCCACCGGGCCCATCGTGGCTCCCGGCACTGGCTGTCCCAGAGCAGCAAACCCATGTGTCCAATCATTCACTCCTTCCGCTCAAACCGCCTCCTTAAGGCAAACCCAACTTTCCCCTCCCCCATACGTACCCTCCCCAACTCTCCAATCCCACTCTCTCCACAACCATCTCTCCTGTACTCCCAAAAATCCTCTCCGCATCACCCTCTCCTCTCTCTTCTCCCTCCAGAAAACCCACCCACATTTCCTTCCAAAACATCTGTTCCCTCTCAAATAAAGCCCTCACCATCCACAACCTCATCCTGGACAAGCACCTTGACATTCTTGGGCTCACCGAAACCTGGCTCTCCCCCAATGACCCCATCCCCCTAGTGGAAGCCTCCCCTCCAGGCTACACCATCCACCACACCCCCGTCCAAACCAACGTGGCGGCGGGGTGGCCTTCATTTCCAAAGCCTCCCTTGGTCTTATCCCCTACTCCTCTGGCTGCTTCCCCTCCTGCAAGCTCCTCACCCTCTTCCACCCCTCTCTCCCATTGAAAATCCTCCTTGTCTACCGCCACCCTAAACCCCCTGGCTCCTTCCACACAGATATCTCTACTCTCCTCTCTTCCCTGTCCCTCTGCTCCGAGCGCCTGCTCATAATGGGCGATTTCAACCTCCACCTAAACTCCCCCTGCACTACTTCTGCCGACTTCACTGCCCTCCTCTCCCCCCTAAACCTCACCCTTCATATAAACTCACCCACCCACAACCATGGTCATGCCCTTGATCTTGTTATCACCCACGGCTTTGACACTTCCGACCTCAGCATATTGAACATAGCCATCTTGGACCACTTCCTCATCTCCTTTTCCTCTCACATTCCTCACTCCTCCACCAAACCCTCAACCATCCTCTAGCGCCCTTGGACAAGGCTACCCCCTGAGACCCTCACAAAGGCCCTCTCATCATCAAACATCCTATCCCTCTGGCCTTCCACCTGCAATGACCCTGAAGCAGCCGTCCAGCTGCTCCGTGATTGCCTCTCCTCCACCTTCAACTCCCTCATCCCCCTGAAATCCAGGACCCCCATCTCCAAACCCACCCGATCCCTCTGGTACAACAACCATCTCCACTGCCAAAAAACCCAAACGGGGCTGATCGAGCGCAGATGGCAGAAAACTGGCCTGACAGTTCATCGGCACCTGTGGCCCAAGCATCTCCACAGCTACCGCCGTTCTTTGACACGCGCAAAAACGGCCTTCTACTCCAACATCATCTTGGAGACAAAACACAACCCTAAAATCCTTTTTTCCACCACCCACTACCTCCTCCGTGCCCCCCCTCAGGCCTCCTCAATCTTCATATCAAATGCCAAGTGCGAGGAGGTCATGGACTTCTTTTCATCTAAAATACATAACATCCGCCAGGCAGCCTCATCCACCTGCCTCTTGTCACCCACCACCACGCCCTCTCTGTCCCCCTCACCCTCCCCATCATCTGCTCCTACCACCAACCCCATCCTATGTTCCTTCCTCCCCATCTCTCCCTCCTCCCTCTCACCCACCATCACCTCCATGAAACCCACCAACTGCTGCCTTGACCCCCTCCCCACCAACTTGCTGGTCACCCAGCTCCCCCTCCTCTGCCCACTACTGGCTGATGTCATCAACCAGTCCCTCTCCTCCGGATCAGTCCCTGCTCCCCTCAAAACTGCTGTCATCACCCACCTCCTCAAAAAACCTTCCCTAGATCCCTCAAACCCCAGCCACTACCACCCCATTTCTAACCTGCCCTTCCTCGCTAAAGTCCTAGAACATGGTTGTTGCCAATCAACTTCGCGTACACCTCTCCTCCCACTTCCTCTTCGAACCCCTCCAGTCCGGTTTCCACCCTGCCCATAGTACAGAGACTGTGCTTGTGAAAGTCACAAACTGCATCCTTTCTATCTGTGACCAGGGCTCCTTTGGCCTCCTTGTCCTCCTGGACCTCTCTGCTGCATTCGACACAGTCGATCACGCTATCCTCCTACATCACCTTTCCTTCATCATCCACCTGTGGGGTACCCCAAGGATCCATCTTGGTTCCCTCCTCTTTCTGATCTACGTGCTCCCTCTTGGGGATGTCATCCACAGACATGGGGTACGTTTCCACATGTACACGGACGACAGCCAACTCTATTTTCCCACTTCTCTTTCTGACCCCCAGTCCCCTGATGTTCTGTCAGCCTGCCTGTCAGATCTCAGGGGCTGGATGAGTGCAAATTTCCTTCAGCTGAACGTTGACAAGACGGAAGCCATACTCTGGCTCTCGTCAATGTCTAAAATCTCACGGCTCTCACCTCCTCCACCTACCTGACACCCCCTAAATCTCTCCGAACCCATACCCAACCTAGGTGTCAGATTCAACCCCCAATTATCCTTCCTCCCCCACATCCAGTCCCTCACCAGCACTGCCTTCTTCCACCTCTGACGCATCGCCCGTTTCCGCCAATACCTCTCTCTGAAAGCCACTGAAACCCTGGTCCATGCCTTTGTCACCTCTCGGCTGGACTATTCTAATGCCCTCCTCGCCGGTCTCCCATCCGCTACCATCCATAAAATCCAAATCATTCAAAACTCTGCCGCCCGCATTCTCACCGGCAACAAACTCCGCTCCCCGATCACCCCAGTCCTTGCCAGACTGCACTGGCTGCCTATCCCAGAGAGGATCGACTTCAAGATCCTCACCCTTGTATTCAAATCCCTCCATTCCTCTGCACCCCCTACCTCTCTGACCTCCTCTCTCCTCAAAACAGTATCCATTGTCTTCATTCCTCCGGTTCTGGCCTCCTCCTTGTCCCCCGAGTCCTCCGCTCCACCCTTGGCAACCGTGCCTTCAGCCACATGCCCCGAGGCTCTGGAATTCCCTTCCTCACTCCCTTCACCTTGTCCCTCTCTTCCTATTTTCAGATCCCTGCTGAAGACCTTTTTTTTGACTGCGCCTTTGGTCACCTTCCTCCCCCTCCCCCTGGCTCGACCCCGGAATCCGTTACTGTGAAGTGTTCTGAGACGCTGTCCGGCATGGAGGGCGCTGTATAAATCCAAGATGTTGTTGTTGTTATTGTAAATTTCCGATTTAGTGCTGATCTGTAAGCTTGCATTGATAGGACTAACCTTCTACATTCTCATCAGGCATCAGACAGGTCTGATTGTCCAAATTTTCCCTTGGGAACTGATTGCAGTCCGTGCCATCAGGCCAAGATAGTCCAACCAGGTTCAGCAGTTTCTGACAACGCTCCTTGGAATTCTCACACAAAGACCTGAAAGCAACACAAATATCTATTAGGATGTAAAATGGGAATTCAGCTACCAGGCAAACAACAACCTATGTTGGTACAGTTCCTTTCACATAAGAAATGTCTCAAAATACTTTACACTAAGAATAATTAGAAATGTGACTGTTATCATTCGCCTACAAAATACAGAATCACTGCACTTTACAGTAAATCCTGTAGCGTGTTCTCCTGACGTGAAAGGCTCCATATCAAATGCAAGGATTATCATATAGTCAAATTGGTTGCTAATTTGCTCCAGCAATATCTTATGCACAACAATGAGATTACTTAAATTAATGAAACACATAAAAGAGATTATGATCTGGAAATAAATAATAAACGTGTATTTGATATAGAATGGTATGTAGGCAAATGGAACAACAGGTCTGTGACTTCAAAATCCTAGAAATAGCACAAAGGTCACAGGCAATTAAGTTAATTTGCCTGTTACAGATATGAGAAAAGAATGTGCTAACATTTACAGAACCATGATGGAGAGTGTTGGTTGTGTTGCACGCTGCAATTGGATTAACACAGATCTTTTTTCTTGAAGTTCTGGACTGGAATAATGCTCTCAGTCAGTTATTCTTACCAACGATAATAATCCCTCCAAAAAAACAAAACAATAATAAATTGGTCATTTTCAATCCATGACTGTTTCTAGGACATTGCTGTGCGCAGTTGGCTGCCATGTTCGCCCACAAATATACAGTCAATTCACTTTACAGTATATTCTGTGAAGCCCTTTGGGACGCCTAGAAGACGTGAAAAGCGCTATATCAAATGCAAGGATTATTATTATTATTAATAATACATGTTCAATGGCCAAGGCCCTCTGATTACCTGCAAGGAGGGATCCCCTGATGAGTCTCATCATCACACTTCGGCACAAGGATGGTGCATACGAAGAACATGAGGTACTTGTAACAGTTGGTCTCGACAAGGGTTGGGAACACAGAAAATGCCTTGCTTAATAACACCTCTTTCTGGTTCCTATGGCCCATGAAGTTGGGGTAGATTGTGGAGTTGTATGGCTGATTCATGCAGAGTTCCAGAGAAATGGGCTCACATTTACCTGAAGAAGAAGAACATTTAAATGCATTTTTCTTTTCCATGACTCGAGTTTTGAAACCTTTGACAATGTGGATGTAAAGCAAAAAAAAGACACAAGGTTTGTTGTTATACTGTCTTTAAAATTGAAACTGCAGGTCTGTATTACTATAAGGCACTAAAAGGAAATGTATTTCCACTTAAAAACATAAGCAGACTTCCAATTGATGATATCCATGGTACGTTCACCTAGAAAATACACACCCACTACATTCAAGGATACAGTATATCCTGTGAAGCATTTTGAGACACTTCAGCAATGTGATTAGGTGCTATAACAAATGTAAGGATTATTATTACTATTATTTTATGGCTTTCTATTCAACTATCTCAAACGTGCATCATTCAAATTGATTGGATCTAACTTAGTGCAGTTCATTCTATTACTTTGATCTGCACAACTAGAGCTTCCATTGCATGGATCAGCACAGGAATGTCCTACACAGGATTGAGCTCCTTCTTTACAAGGGCTCTGATCTGCCAGAGAACATAGAAAAAACAGGTGTGATTGTTGTTGACAACATGCAATCTTGATCAAACGGTCAGGAAATTCTATTCATGCCGTTCTTTGGTCAACCCATCACAAGGTAATCTTGAGATATACAGGAAAAGCAATCCTATATATTGCTTTTACAGTTCAGTTTTAATTCTGAAACTGGTTTTGAAGCCAATCTATTCAAGAACCATGGCAATTGTAGAACTTTCCAAAATTCTGCACGATCTTGGATTTTAACATGAGGAACGTCAGGCCTCAGATGTATACAGTAAAACTCCCATAAGTCTGATCTGTATAAATCATATAATCGCCTAAATCATACATTTACCCAAGTCCCATTGAAGTTCCTATTAAATCCACTTCAATTTATCTGCAAAAGTCGTATTAACAATCTCAGAACTCCCAATGCTGCTACTGCACTTGCCGGCTCCTGGGTCAAAACTTTGTTTTCCACGCCTATGTCCAACAGAGCACCTCACATACTCATCCTGACTCTCTCCATGTCCTCCCTCCCAGGGTGTAACATCAACATCATCGCGCTTGGCAGTGTGAGGGGGGAGGCTGAGAGAGGAAAGAGCATCACCTGATCACGTGATGAACAAGGGATGCCTGAGTAAAGGGGACCCTTCACTGCATTCACACTTACCAGACTTGAAACAGCATAAACAGTGATCCATGTGGAACCTCAGTCCACACCTCATGCTCATTTACAGGCTGCAATGATGCAGGACCACATGCGCAGTACAGAACACTGAACAAGTATAGAAGACAAGATTTTGACCAGGCATCATGGCATCAGGCAATGCAGATACCCCAACTAAACACAAATTAAGTTTATATTCTATTAAAACAGTTCTGTTCTGAAACCTGTTTGGTTGTGCCAATCATTGTACAGGACATGTTTTCTGCACATGAGGTACACTACTGTGCAGTACTGGATATATAAACAATGGGCTACCATAGCTTTAATATACATTGGTTAAACATGGTACAGAAACCTTGCCTTAATATCATCAGCCAGTTCAGTACTTGTTATTTATTATGTGTTAGTCATATAAAATCCGACTTATACATAACTTTACATAAGTCATGTATAATACAGTCTAAGTTTCACATAACTCATGCTTTGCATAAGTCATATTAAATGTATGGTCTCAACTGATACAATTCATATGAGGTTTACTATATAATAGGATACCTAGCAATACAGTACTTAAACTTTCACCTTTACCTTCCACCTCTGACTTAGTGTGATCCTAATCTATCACCAGGCATGAACTGTGCCCCTGAAGAACTGACAGGAAATAAATCTACTGATTTTCCTAGTTCAGACAAGAGTGAGGAAGTTGGAAGAGTCTTTAAATCAATGGTGCAATTGTGCAGCCTGCTGTATTTACCTGCTGCTTGCAGTTCTGCCTTAAAATGGTCAGGTCTTGCCAGGTCTCAGTAACAAAGCTCTCATTTCATCTGCTCAAAAGGAGCCAAATAGGTAAGTTTCTACATTTCATGTAGAGGTGACTAGACAGGTTTTCACTGAGACTGATTGCTCATTCACTTCACGGCTGTTTATGGTACATTACTCTGCTCGAATTGGTTGCCGCAATTGCTACAAAGCACAGTCACTCCACTTTACAGTATATTCTGTGAAGAAGCATTTTCAAATATCCACCTGGCAAGAAAGGCCAAATCAAATGTAAGAATTAGTATTATTATCACATTTAATCTGTTTCAAATGCCACAAATTTCACCCCATAAAGTCATATTAAAAATCTTAAGGTTGAATTATTTGTGTTGTAAAATTGTAATTACAGATATTTCTAAACGTATATAAATGAACTTGCAAAATTTACTGAATTGGGGAGAATAGTGTTTAATTCACATTAATTAATGTGCTGCAAAGCAAAGTAGCAGTTAATTAACAGATGATTTTTTTCAACATTTCACTGAAATGCAAAAAAAACACAAAATAAGAGTAATTTTCTTTTAACAGAAACAGCTTTTTGAGTGAAAGAAATGGAGGAAGTTTGGACCTTTGACCATTCAGTGAGACCAATATACAAACATGAAATATTTAAAATACTTCTTGTAATTGATAACATTTAAAATTAACTTAATTTTTCACAATCACCAGTTTCTTGGCTAATAATAATAATCCTTGCAATTGTATAACGTCTTATCATGTCGTCACAACGTCTCAAAGCACTTCACAGAATATACTTAAAGTAGTTTTGACTGTGTATTTTCTGAGCAGCCAAATGTTCCGAGTCCTGACATGGAGCATGAGCTTACAACCTTCTGACTGAGAGGCGAGAGTGCTTCCACTGAGCCGGGCTGACACACCAATGTGAATCTATAGTATTTGATTTATTTCAGAAATAAATTCTGTTTTTAGTCTTTTCATCTTCAAGTATTGGTGCTGGATTTTCAGAAGAATTACAAACCAGTAGGAGAGGTAGAGCAGTTCACTTCATCACTCCAGTCTTCACAGTCATTTTCACCATCACAATGGAAGAGCTTTAGGAAGCAATTGCCGTTGCCACAGTCCAGCATACCTTTGGCGCTGCAAGCTGAAAAAGGAGCAATATCAATGAGTTCAAAACCCTAAAGGCTTTCAAACAAAGCAATTCTCAGCACAGCATTCAAGAACTCTTAAAACCAATTATATTAATATGTAACAGAATGAGGAGTGAACTACTGCCTGAATTTGATTGATGTTTTGCAATATTCAGTGAGTTTGACTAAATCTAGAACATAGAAGGAAACCCTAAGCACATGGGAAACAAGGCTGATAACTATACTGAAAAAAAGCTATGTTGGAATTCGTTGTGGGTGGTACCAAAACATGTAGCTTGTCCGTCCAGGTCATTTTAATGCAATTCTTGGAAATGTTTCTTAAAGAAGGGCTTTAGCATAGCAGAACTACACAGTGACCTTCTCCTGCAGAAGTCATCTGAGAGATAATTGTAATAATTTAGAGGCACTACAAGCTGACCAGTCTGCCGCGTTCTTCATTGCATCGCTTTGACGAGGCACTAAAATACTCTGACGTTGCTGGGCTCCCTGCTGCTCATTGCTGTTCAGTCTCTATCAGCCAACTCCTGGTAATGTGTACTTTATGATATCAGTTTATGAATTATAATTTTTTTTCAGATGGCACATAGGCAAACATTTCTTTATCGTGAATATCTCTTCACACTCCTGATGATGAAGCAGCTTCGAATGTGTTGTATATATTTCAATTATTGCAATAAAGCAATGCAGCTTTTGTCAGCTTCAGTTACAGACCCAGACACGGCATTACATAAGACAGACAGACAACCATGCTTTCTTAAGAAAGTTCAGTCTCATCTGGTTTAGTGTTGTGTTGGTGCTGACACTCTACATGCCAGATCCTAGCAGTATATTTAGTTATGGTGTAGAACAGACAGATGGGATATTTATAGTAGAGCTGTGCTGACTGGATATGTCTGCCAGCAACTTTACTACAGCTGAACATGTTGCCAGGTCCTGACTAGCAGTGTCTGATGTCTGCTTTTACAAAGAGGCATTTAGACACTGCTTGGTAATGAAGCTCCCAATGGCAAACACAACATTAGAGTCAATGGAGTACCATTAGTCACTTAACTGCTGCTAAACAAAGCCACTGAGGCAATAAAAAGATGTGTTTCTCGTCCCAATCCCCAGCTCGGCTCCAAATCTTTCATTGGCCAGTGCCTTGCGAAAGGCTATACAAGTGTACTTTGTTGTTGTTGATAAAGAAACATATGAAGAAATATTGCAAAATTTACCCTTCATTTTTTATGAGCTTTTTAGACCGTTTGAATTTCTTGTTTACACTAATGGATTGTTACTCACTAGCCCTGGTATGCTAAGGAGGTGTATTTGTGCTTAGTTTAGGGGACAAGGAGATATGTACTTGGCGTTCACCTGTCCATGTCACATGTATGATCTGATATTTGATCGATCATCTATTCTGACACAGACAAGAGACTGTAGCTTCCGCCGCAAGTCCAAAGACAGTGAGTGCAACTTTAAGCTCTATCAGAACTTAGCTGTGAAACAAACCTACACAGAAAGTGGTAAACATGTTATCCAAGGCAAAAAACATTGATCCAGTTATTGACTTAACGTTTTCTGGTGATATAGTGCAGATAAAGAGGGAAATTAGCTATTTGCCAAAGTAATCAACTAAAGGGTAGTGAAGGATTTTCTTTTTACTTTGGGCTCATACCGTTACACTACAAAGGTGTTTTCCGTTGCTGTACATTCTTATGTACACTAAATCTGGTCTATGTGCCACTAATATTCAAAGCACACATTCCTAACTTCATTTCTAGCCAACATTACTGAAGTGCTTGTATGACTGAGCGGCTGTAGTGTTGTAGTGAGTTGAGGACTTACAGCAGTTAACCTCATCAGAATAGTCGGAGCAGTCATGGTCTCCGTCACAAACCCACGACTTCAGGATACACCTGCCATCTCCACATCTGAAACCCACCTCTGGCTTGCACTCTGTAGATAACACACAGTTTAAGGGCCTTGTCAACACATTACATCGCATTAACGCTGGCACGAATTGAAGGAACACTTAAAAATACTGCGAATATTACCCTAATGTTTCTTCATAAAACCAGTCACTTAAACACAGTCCATTGATTGTTAGGGACTAATCATCTGGAGATCAGTTTCCATATCAGTCTGACCTTTGTTCCCAACACAGTGATCTCATAGACCAGCCTGACACATCAGGTTAGTACTGGTGTGAGCCTTCATTGTTAGAGGTGACATGTTTTGTTTAAGATATTAAAACTGGGATCTTCTGACTGTTCAGGAGGAATTTAAAGATTCCATGACACTATTTAAAAAGTGAAGGGAGTAGCTCATTGTGTCCTGGCCAACAATCTTCCATTGGACATTAATTGACATTTACTCCATGTCTATTTGTAAGATTTTCCTGTGTATAAAATGGCTCTTTGGCTAATTTAATCTCATCCTTCCAGAACAGCAACTTAAGTCTTCCCATTACAACACAATGTGGTTTAATTAGCTTTATGTCCTGACCTGACGTAAACTACGCTTATTAATAACTCATAATAACTACTGATTACTTTCTGTCTAAAAAACGTACTTCCTGGCGTTTACTCTGAAATTGAACTTTTGTCCTGTTGTCTTAGAATAGCTCTATCTCATTTGGCGTTCATATATCTCCAAAGATCTCCTTAAAGTTATTTATTTTCAAGGCTGAAGAGTCCTATCTTATCTACTTGTTTCTCATAGCTCATCCCTCTAACAACTCTTGTTGCGCTTGGTAGGACCTGGGAAGACTCCTTATGTCACACTCACCAGAACTGTGACCGTTACTCTTGGAGCAACCCGACCAGAGACTATACAGCTTGAGCATGACCTCTGAGCATCTGACCTCAAATGATTTGGTAATAACAGCCCAGTCACTCTTTCACCTTGTTTTTCACCTTCCCTTGGTAGTTTTTACCTCATTCATGGTATGTACGTCTTCTATTTTGGCTTCCTATATTGTATTTATCTGTATTAAACATAATTTGCCAGTGAACAACCAATGTGCTTACCCTATTTGGATTGCTTCCTGATTCCATAGCTCTCCCTAACTTACTTGGGTCTATAAAATTGAACTATCTGTAAATCCAGGTCATTTATTTAGACGAGGAACAGGTGAGGACCCAGAGAAACTCCACTCAATACTTCCCCACATATCAACCGAGCGAGCATGAATGTGATTCCCATCTTCACATGTTCTGATTTATGTTCCAGTAAAACAGCACTGAACATCTACAAAAATGTAATGAAATAAAATGTTGATTTGCAAATATATATTAAGCACGGGCTTTGGTTGTTAGACAGGGAAAGATGGTACATAGAGTGGTACTTACCACAGCCCATTTCATCGCTGAGGTCCCCACAGTCATCATAGCCATCACATGTGTTATTGTAGAGTATGCATTTTCCAGTGCCACACTGAAACTGGCTTTCACCACAAGCTGTGGACAAAGAACACCAAAAGCTTTAGATCTATTGACAATTTACATGAAGTTCAAAATGTCTGCAAACTCAACTACTGCACTAAGCAATTCACATTTGAGCCAGTGGGCAATACCTCTGGTTTCGCATTTTTTTAATATCTTACAACCTCATTAAAATAAGGTACATTATTCAGTCCTTTTCACTTCTTTCACTGCTCCCCAATGAGCCACCTTCAGGCAGGGAGTACAATGATGTGGTCTCAGTTAGCTCAGTACCTACCCAGAGTCATTGCCGTTCTGATCCTCCAACAGAGCACTTGTTGATTGCTTTTTTCTTGATAAAGTTAACATGACGTAGTAGACATCAGCCGACACATAGCAAAACGAGCACAAGATTTAAAAACTCGCAGGACATTGTTTTGAATATATTGAAACATTTGGGTAAAAAACCATGGTCCATAGAGCATGGGGGCATCCTGGGGGCAAGTTTGCACGAAGCAGGAGAAGAGACAAGGTAAATTAACCCTAGGCAATCCCAAGCTTAAGTTTTAGAAGCCTTTTGTAGGAGGAAAGGAAAACTGAGCGAAGTCAAGAATTAATTAATATCATAATTACTCAAAATCAGCTATAAGTGTCCAATATATATGCCACCAAAGCGGTATACACAATGGTTTCATTTTCCCATTACATTACTTATCAATGAGTCTATGGAAATAGTGCAATGATTCTCTAGAGTCAATGAAGGAAAAGAAACAATAGTGACATACTGCAGTGTGCCTCATCGCTCCAGTCGTCACAATCATTGTAGCCGTTGCACATCAGTTTCCTCTCGATACAGAAGCCGCTTCCACACAAGAAATTCTCAAGACCTCCACATATAGATGCAAAAAAAGAAAAACACATAATCAAAGCTTCAGCACTGATATTTAAGCTGGCCAGAGTTGGCAGAGCAGTGGAAACAGATGAGGGAGAAGTGTTGCAAGAGATCACCAAGGTAGGATTGGGTAAGGCAGTGGACGCACCTAAAGGCAACGAGGAAGATGTTAAAATTGATTCATTGGGGAATAGGGAGCCAGTGGAGCCGGGACAAGGGTAGGGCCGCGGAGCCTATTGTGGGAAAGGTGCCGGCTGCAGAGTTCTGGTTGATCTGGAGCTTGTGGATAGTGAAGCTACCACGTCCAGAAATAATATAATAATAATGCATGCATTTGATATAGCGCCCTATCAGGTCCTCGAGACATCTCAAAGCGCTTCACAGAATATACTGTAAAGTGAATTGATTGTATATTTTGCAGCAGCAAATAGCACACAGCAGTGACCCACAAACAGTCGTGGATTAGGTGACCACATCCATCTATCCACCCACCCACCCACCCAGCCAACCAGCCAGCCAGCCATCCATCCATTTATTTATGTTTTTTGAAGGGATTATTACCCCCGGAAAAGCGATCCGCCAATCGACCAACAACCAGGTTCCTACTTACTACTAGCTAAATAGAGGTGTGTGGAGTAAGGAATCTTGCGCAACGTTTCAGCCTGCCAGGAATCGAACCAGGTCTCTCGCTTGCAAGGTGAGTGCTATAACCACTGAGCTACAGGACTCCACAACAGGGCATTGGAGAGTTCAAGTCTGCAAGTGGGCAGAAGTTTCAGCTGCTTTGATGGTGAGGAGCAGAGACGGATAATGTTGTTGAGAGAGAGGAAATTAGCCAGAGCCTGGATAAAAGTTTTAAAGGACATTAGAGAGTTGAACAAAACAAAATAAAAAATACAAAAAATTCTCTGCCGTACGTTTCAATTGATATTTTTAAGATTTCTAACGTCGCATGAAACCCAGATACACAATACATATCTCTGATTAGCAAGTTCTCGATAACCTGCTTTAATTAACAGCAACAAATTGCATTTATATAGTGCTTTTCACGTTGGGAAGAAGTCCCAAGGCGCTGCATTCGGTTGTAAACAAAACCAGATTACGAAAGACCTCACTTCAGTACAGAGACATAATGTTTTCTTATGATTCCCATTAACGCAAAAACATCCACTCAATCATGACAATCTCACTGGTGTGTGGTAACCAGAATGTTACATTTCTGCTTTGGCTGTTGTCATGGAGAATGCAAGTGCCACGTGGCACATTAGCTTAATTACCCACATAGCCACCATCTGTTACCCTGGAAGATACATTTTCCAGCTCCACAATGTATATTCTAGGCTATCAGATGTTCACATTTCTTTCCTCGCCATTTAACTTTAGAGTTCACCTAACACTGTGGCTTAACTACATAATGGGGCAGCAAGCTTACATGGAAATGAGACATTTCAACCATTACCTTAAAGATTATTTTGTGACTCAGTCTGAATGGAAATATACAAACTAAGTGTTCATGCAGCGTACATGGTTCCTGGCACACAAAGACAACACAAATGGACAATAATAGGTTCAAATCCATTTTAACTGTATCACTGGTGTACATTTGATTGTCATCTCAAATGAGTACCAATACTGATGAGATTCAGGATGGGTAGCTAGGTTTCATAGATGGCAATACATCTGTGGAACTCTTAGTTTGATTTGGATACTCTTAAGTGCGGTGATGAACTTGCGCATGTGTCAGACACCCAGTTGACCAAAGAAAAAAATCCATTTCTGTTTCTGAGCGAGATTACTTTATGGAAGCAGAGTGCTAAATGTTTTCCATAGCTAGCAATATGAGACCCAAACCAAGAAGGCATTTCTTCACGTTAGCTACACATTTGCAAGATTGGAAGGATCACGGGATATGCGAAGAGCTGCAAAATCACAATTACTGTGGAAATGGAGTATTAGTCGGAGAGAAATATTCACGGAAAAGAAGCTCCAAACATTCCCTTAAGGCTGCTATTATAATATTAAGACTGAGAAGGTTACTTACATTTTCCATGTGTATTTACAGAAATCTATACATTCACAATGGAATCTTATTTGTGATATTCACAAACTGCAAACCCTTCACTGTCCAGTGCCTTGGGACATCCTCCCGACATGAAAGGCGTTATATAAATGCAATTTGTTATTGATGTTGCATTTGCTCTATTAATTGCGTCTTTAGTTTGCAGATAACAGATGAGGCTATAGTGTGGTAATACACTGGTGTAATTTCATACTACAGTATGAAAGCCTAGGTCCAATTGTATCTGTAATACTAAAGATGGAAGTGCTCGCGGAGGAGGAGGAGGAAATAACATTTTCACACACTTATAATGGCAATAAATGTTTTAATAAAACACAGTAGAAACCAAGAGGAAATTGGTCTATGTGAAATATAGTTACCTTTGTTCCTACAATTACAGGAACAGCTTTTGATTTCTTTAGCAGCCCCAAAACATAAGGCTTCAGGAAGCTGAACCAGCAGGTATGCTTAAACTACAGGATCCCAGCTCTACATCCTCCTTCTACATGCTCTCTGGGACCAACAGGAATAAAGAAATTAATGTGTTTCTTGTTCCACGATGATAAGAGATCCCAAAGGAGTGTTTTATTAAAAGAGCAGACACATTCATTTCTTGGCACACTAACTTGATTTGGGTTTTGTTATAAATGGACTAACAATTCAGGAGTCTGCTAGAGATTACCACTAGTCTGCCATGATCCTTGGAATAACACTATTGTATGTTGAATTCAATGTGATACTGCTGGTATTGGGGAGGGAAGCCGATTGAACAGTGAAATCCATCATCACTGATCACTTTCAACAAATGCTGGTTTAGAAATCAACGACTGAACCAGATAGGTTCAGTCAATTTGCAGATTAGTTTTTCCAGGGTAATAATCCCTTCTAATATAAAATCACTCAGTCCATGACTGTTTGTGGGACACTGCTGTGTGCAATTGGCTGCCTCGTTCCGCCCACAAAATATACAGTCATTTCACTTTACAGTATATTCTGTGAAGCAATTTGAGACACCTCGACGTAAAAAGGCACTATTTCAAATACAAGGATTATTATTATAGCACACACAAAGTGGATAGATTCGCAACACTCCTAGAATATAGCACACATAAATGGGGTAGGAATGTTCAGAGTGCCTGTTTTAGCCGTGATATGCTAGAGATGGTAAAGTACTGATATGTGATCAGATGCCACCCACGTGAGTTCAACTCTGCCACTGTGGAGAGACAGGAGCAGAGGTCATGTTCTTTCCCTAGGTGAGGGAGGAGGAAACGGAAATACTGGAAGGTCAGTTAGTCTATGAGGGCTTCTCTGAGCTGGAGCAGATGGGTGTGACAACCACAAGAGTTCTGTTCTCCCTATTAAGGTTAAATGAAATCATTCACTGAAGCTGAGAATGAATCACTTTTGCATTTCCTACTGTCTCTTTGTCTCTCTTTTCCATCTTTCACATCATATCGACGTGAAAGGTGCTATACAAATGTAATTTTGTATTGTATTATATCTTCTTTAAAGATCACCAGGGTGCCAAAGGTCTCATGCGGATTATAAAGTCCGAGCTGTCCAGACCAGAGGTGAAAAGTAGGGATGTATATTCTTTACTGTATTGTATTACAATTATTATTATTTATTTATTACAAGATCACATCTGGTCTAATTTTTCCAGAACACTCATCCTACCATCTTTCTATTACAAAATCAAACTGTTTTTAAATGAGCCCAGCATTCTTGACACAACCACCTTTCCTGGCAACTTGTTTGAGTCATTAATTATCCTACTTCCTGGTGTCTGTCCTAAAATTGCCCTTTACACCTTAAGCTTACGTCCTCTTGTTCTGTTGTCTTAATAATAATAACAATTCTTGCATTTGATATAGCACCTTATCACGTGGTTGATATGTCTGAAAACGCTTCACAGAATATACTGTAAAGTGAATTGACTGTTTTTTGGGGGCAAAATAATAATAATAATAATCCTTGCATTTGATGGTGCCCTAACATATGACCCAAATCCTGTGGTTTGTCATAGGGTGTAAATTAGGGTAGAAATTTCAGCACAGGAAGATACTGTATGACTCAATGTTTTAAACCAGTGGTGGTTAACCTTTTTGGTCAACCAACCAAATATATTTTTCTTGATTCAATATGTCCTGTTGGGTAAATTGACAATAGAATAGGCTTGTTTTCTACCATGCTTTTTGTGTGCTTTAGAAGAGAAAAATGCAAAGAAGTACAGAGAAGGAGCAGAGAATTTGGATTAGATTATATAGCTCCATTGTGGAAGCTGGCCTAAATGATCTCTTTCTGTGCTGTAATTTCTATGATTCCAATATCCCGTCTCAAAAAAACCCAATGGAAAATGAAACCTGGTAGTTATTCATTCAAGTGAATTAAATAGAATAAATATATCTGCGTACTTCAAGATTCCACTTCATTACAAATGTGTTTTATACACCAATGGTGCAATGTTCCAAGAAAAGAGCAGATTGAACAGCTGAGTGTTCTGTTTTTCTCTTTGACCGTGCCTTCAGCTCCCCTCTCGACTCTCTTCCCCCTTCTCGCTCCCTCCCATCCCTCCCCTCACCCTGACCATTTCCCCCCTCCTCGCTCCCTCCCCTCCCCTCACCCTGACCATTTTCCCCCTGCTCGGGTCATGACCCAACTGTGCAGCGCCTTGGGACGTCCTCCTGACGTGAAAGGCGCTTTATAAATGGAATCTTGTTGTTGTTGTTGTTGTCCCGCCTATCACTAAAGAGTTCATATCTTCCCATGGGGTCACCGTCCATACAACAACAACAAGATTCCATTTATTGAGCGCCTTTCACGTCGGGAGGACGTCCCAAGGCGCTGACAAGATACACTAACATCTTGCCTGGACAAGATACAAGATACTCCCAAGGAAAAAAAACCACTTGCTCCTGCATTTTATAACTTATCATGTTGAAATATCTCAGTGTTTCACAAGTAATTGTTATCAAGCACTCCTACATAGTTTGAAAGTCACTATGTACTTTGTCTTTATGTGACTGGCCTTTACCTCTTCAGCAAAACAATGTTCCATACATTTTGGAAATAGAATGTTCGTTAAATGTCATCAAACTGCACTATTCTTTTCAGTTTCTTCAAATTAAAATAATTTACAAGTCAGCTTGACATTTTCCAGTTTATTGGTAAACTGAAGCAGAAAAATCTAAAAAAGGCATGTGGAAATCGGCAGAAAAATAAGACTACACAGACTACACTAAGCCAAATAGGCTTCTTCTGTGCTGTAAAATTCGATATCATTGTATGAACTGTTATCTCAAAGATGCAGAATCTTTAGATTTGAAACCAGTAAGTGATTTGTGACTGATAGTGTGCTGTTTTGTAACAGATTCAATGTGATATAACATCAAACCTATTATGAAATATCCCAAATTTCACCGCAATAATTATTTTTCAATCGCTAATAACTTGCACCATTACTGTAGCTCCCTTTTAAACTTAGTAATTAATGAGGAAATAGGCAGCTGCAAAGAGGAGGACATCTGAGTGGAATACTTAGTAGGAAGATTGTTGAATCATGCTGAAGCTCTTAAAACTATGTGCTACAAACAAGCTTCCCTGATTTGCAGCTATTAAACATGTACACTCACCGTACACCTTGCTATCAGGCGCCTATTTAACCCCAGCTGGTTTTTTGAAAAGTATCAAGGCTACAGCTACCATAACATTGATCACAAATTTTCACCATAAAAATACTTTTTTATTTACTTGCTCTGAACTTATTTTGTGGCATTACCAAGCTATAAGAACGTATCAGTGTGGGGACTTACTTGTACACAGTGACTATGAAAAGGAAATTGCACTGTTATTCACTTTTTTAATGTTGTGAACACCATCCTGGAACTCTGGAACTCCATCTCACAGAATTCAAGGGACTTTTTTAATACAAAGTAGGGTGCCTGTGTTCATAAATATTCACTATTTAGAGCTCAACGAATCGATGATAATTATCACAGTACATACAGCATTTTCACCCAAGGTTTTAAATTAAAGATAGAAACAGAGCAAACGAGAATAGCCTACAAAGAGAGCAACAATCTCAAAGGGCTATCTATCATCTTGATAAAAAAATGTGTGTAAACACGAAAAAAAGATTTCAAGCATTTTGTATTTTTTCTCTAAACTATTGCACAATTGTAATTCAATGAAAGCCACTGTCATCCACTCCAGTTTAGGTTTTTTGGAGCAACTTGTTGTGTATGCAGCCGTTTCCACTTGTTTGCTCATTGTGCAACAGCCAAAAAGAAACATTTGTCTTGTTTTAAATGAAGATTCAAAATAGGTTTTGGAAATGAGTCGCCTTAAAACATTGGGAAGTGTAGATAGTAGTTTCCCCGGTATGTCCATTTACCGCTTAGTCATTTGGTATGTAGTGTTGAGGACATGTCTACATCTCCATTTTCACCTGATCAGACAGTTCACCCTTAGGGAGACTACTTATTTCCTTCCTTTTAACAATTGAGGCCAGAGTAACATAATTGGCTGACTACATGCTGTGATTGTGACTAAGATGATTATCCTCACCAGCTGAATAATGAAAAGCCTGACATATTGTTTAATTGCAAACAGTAGGCACTTCATTCCTGGGCCGGAGTCTTTCGAATGGATCCCAATCTCCAAAGACATTCTTCACATTTCATAAAAATTAACATGTTCTCTTAAATCCCTCAGTGGGAGATTATTCATTAACTTTCTGCTCGGAGGAGGAGGCTTGGAGGATGTTTAATATGGAATCCAAATTAAAATCTTCTCAGTGAGATTAAGCTGCACAAAAGCTTCTAGAAGCACTGTACTCCAACATACTGTATTTTTAAAGATCATTAAAGTCATTTTTTTTAACAATTTTCTCAGATAAACATGTTTTTTCAGTAAAAGTTAATCGGTAAAAAAAGCAGCTTGTATCCTCTCCAGCACTAGGCTCCACAAGTTCATCACCCCCATCCTCACTCAGCTCCACTGACTCCCCATCCCCGAGAGCATCAAGATCCTCGTCCTCACATTGAGATCTTCACACTCACTTCAAATCACTTCATGCCCGAGCACCTCCTACCTCTCTACCTGATTACACTGTGTTCTTCTACCCATCCCCTTCACTCAGCTGACTACGGCGTTCTACACATCCCTCAACCCCTCCACCATCAGCAGCCGTGCCTTCAGCTTTCCCTGTACAGGGCATTTAGAATATCCTCTGACTGAGTGACCACTAACGCACTTCTCCTTGAATTTGATATAGTGGTTTATCATGTTGTCAAGACATCTCAGAGCACTTCACAGGATTTCTTGTTAACTTCAGTGACTGTATATTTTATAGCAAAATGTAGCAGCCAATTTACACACAGCGATGTCCTATAAACAATCGTGAAGTGAGTGACTAATTTTATCCAGGGGATTATTAGGCCTGGAGACAACACCTACAGAAATCACAGAGCAGGTGATCTCACCTTAGTCCCTTAACTCCAAACCCAGGAAACAAAGTAATCAGGCAATAAACACTTAACTTACATATTTTCGCTTTGCCTTTTTCAGGCGAAAAGCATATCCCGCTGGTGTTTTCCATTTCTGTGTCATTGACAAACCAGGAGCAGTTGAGAATCTCTGGCCATTCAGCGTTCACCTCCAGCAGTAAGGGCTCACAGCCTTTCTTTGCAGCCTCACAGAAGGACATGCAGGGTAGAATTACTGTTCTAAATAAATCAGACAATATGTGAACATTGTAGCGTCTTTAATGTCTAAAAAGCACATTTTTATATTAGATTTGGAATTGTAATCAACTTATTTCATTCCTGTTATTGTACAGATGGGAGCAGGAATAGGCCATTGCAGGATTGTGCACCTTGCAGGATTGTGCACCTTGCAGGATTGTGCACCTTTTGGAAATGTCTTAAGCTTTCTTAATTTGGAAGCAAATTTTCCGTAGTGCTGTTTTTGAAAAGAAATTAAGAAAACTGGCTTCCAAATGAAGACTGATAAAATGTTTCTGGAACATGGAACTTACAGAAAGAACATGGGGATCTTGTGAAAGTTAACTTGGAAATGTTATGGTATTTAAAATTCTGACAGGATCTAGTTTTGAAAACATACAAACACACACACACTCAAATATACACATAATAATAAAAGTGAATTTTTTTTTAAGGGATTATTACCCCCGGAAAAGTGATCCGCCAATCGACTAACAACTGAGTTCCTACTTACTGCTAGGTAAACAGAGGCGTGTGGAGTAAGGAAACTTGCCCAACATTTTGCCCTGCAAGGAATTCTGTAGCTCAGTGGTTAGAGAACTTGCCTCGCAAGTGGGAGACATGGGTTCGATTCCCAGCTATTATTACTAATAACCCTTGCATTTGAGATAGCGCTTTATCACGTTTTCAAGACGTCTCAAAGCGCTTCAAAGAATATACTGTAAAGTGAATTGACTATATTTTTTGGGCGGCAACAACAACAGGAGCAGCTTGCAGAGTATATTGTATTTGAAGATTCATAATCCAATACTTGACAATCAGTCTGATGATCTTGCATGTTAGGTGAGTTGTATTTGCCAGCCGTGAAGTCCATGCCTTCCACAGACCAAGTACCATCTGTTCCAGTGTGCACTCCAGCCAAACCATTGAATCTACATACACTGTAAAAAGTGTCCCAAAGCTGCAAAACATTTCCCAAAGAGATTACTGCTGAATTTAGTGACCCAATTTGATACAATGGGTAGGTCAAGGAGTTCTATTGTTGCTGGTACCTTTGAGTCTATGTTTGCTGGCACTGAGATGTCTGCAAGAACAAATGTGTTCATTATTCCCGAGCCGCCCTGCCCACCCACATCAATCGTCTCATGTTAGCAAATGGTATTTAAAATTCTGTTTTCATCTAGCTGTGCTCTGCAATCCATTCAAATTGTGCAACAAAGGGAGGTCAGGGCCTCCCCTGACTAGAGACATGCATAATAATAATTCTTCCACTTGATATAGCACCTCAGCATGTCGTTCAGATGTCTGAAAGCAGACTTATTGTAAAGTGTAGCGACAGTGTATTTGTACACAGAAACGTCCCACAAATAGCCAAGAAGTAAATTAACAATTATATCTGAGGTGTTTGTGGGTGGGAAACTGGGAGAAACTCCCTTCTCTTTTTGAGTAGTGCTATGGGATCATTAATATCCACCTGAACAGGCGGACGGGACGAGATGCACTGAAGACATAACTCAGTCAAGTAAAGATGGCATAGCATTATTGCCAAGCCTAAATAACAACGTCAAATCCGTCTTGGTACATTTGCAGACTAGAACCACATGACATCAAACAATTCATGTTACTGAATTAGCTAAGACTTTTCTTAGAATTACCCAGATAATTCAATTGTGCCACAGGACAATAGACACACGGCTTTTAATTACACAGCAATGCAACAGGCCATTTAGCCCAACTGGTCTGTGTCGGTGTTTATACTTTTATATGACCCTCTACTCTTCCAAATCCTGTATCTCTCTATCCTCTTCCATACCTCTCTTTTGCTTTCTGCCTCATGTACATTTGAGTCATCCTACCATGTGAAAGGCAATATAAATGTAAATTAGCATTTATTCTATTATCGCCATACACCAGTAGGGGTGAAAGCACTTCAGCTGGGACATCAACGATTCTTCCCTATCCCCAGAAGGCTGGTAGATAGCCAATCTTATGTAGACAGAGACCATTACTTGTTAGTTTGTTATGGATATCAAAGTCTGTAAATCTCTGGTCTTTTCTATTTTACCCATTAAGGATATACTTTGCAGGTTCAGCCCTGATAATGCACGCATGTCCTCTGATCCAGGAGTGGTTAGGTTAGATCAGATTGGAATCTTGCTCTCCTCCCCATACATTACACTATCAATGTAATCTTAATAAGACAAAATAATAACCTCTTTCCTGGTGAATAATAAACACCACTAAGCCCAATTCCCCTCAATAAAAGGGAATAACTCCATGTAAAATATATATCCAGGATTTCTCCTGGTTTTCAGTTTTGCTTCACAAGTGGAATAAGCTACTATGCAGCATTAAAAGGCCCACAACAACAAATTGCATTTATATAGCACCTTTCAAAAGCAAATTAAACAGATTTATTTTAGAAAATCATATCTTGGGATACAGTATATAGTTTGGGTCACGACATGTGCATGCGACTGCCAGGATGGTGGAAAGCAAACTGGATGAATCTGGTTCTTCTTAACATCCAGCAATTCTTATGTTCATATGTTTCACATTAGGTCACAGGGATTATGGAATAAGAAACCCATCAAATACACTCCTTGCAAAAGCCCACATATAACAAGCACAGTTATTGACTTTCCCGAAGCACTACGATCTCTTGAGAGGAGTGAATAATCACATGTAAAAATTCTAAATTGTTAAGCCCCTGTGCAATTTATCTCTCACCTACAAACATGATCAAGTGGATATTGATTTACAATATGGAAGTATTCAACCCTGACCAGGCACGTTCCAAATAGGTCTTGGACAAAATACTTACTTGCCTAGATTTTATACACATTTTATTTTTACAGATCAATAATCCACAGATTGATGCTTGGAGAAAGTAAACCCAGAAACAATATTTCATATAATTCAAGGCAGTAAGTAATGGACAGAGACTAAACTTGGAATTCAGGAAGGATGAGATAAAATGGCCCAAAGGGCCTTCTTCACCCAAAGCTCTCATTTGGTATAAAATGACATGTGTTTCCCCCAAGAGTTTCCCTGTCTATACTTTCCCTCTCCATCCATCCCTTTTTGTCACACTTTCAAAAGCAGTAAAATTTGCTCCTTTTAAACTGAAAATAAGCTATCTTCCATAGTGTATATGTTTTCCAACCTCACATCAATCCATGAGATCTTTTCTAGTGTTGATGGGGAGGTGAGGGGGCAGAGAGGAACAATTTTAAAACTATTAGATTTGTTTCCTTCACAAATTCCATTCCCGGTTTATAACTTAATTTGGTTTATTGAAAGCTGTAAATGGGATACTATTAAATAGGAGTCATTCTATCACTCTAAACATTGAGATTTTGGAATGTTACTTTTCACATAGGAGAACTGACTGGCTCTTAAAGCTAGTATTGTATAGCAGTCATTTTTCTGTGACCCTTTATATTAGTACAGAGCATTTTGTTGTCAGAATGACTTTATTTGGGATTAAAGTGCATCCTTAAACAAACTGAGTGACATTGCCTTGAAGATACTGTCTATTATTTGACCACTTAACTTTCCATTGCTGACACTTCAGTGTTATTCCTGGCAATCGATGCGTCAATAGAGTTATTTGGCTGGATCCCAGGCAAAACATATTCAAATATGTTTGAAGATTATATGCTTTGGCATAAAATTGTATTTGTATAATGCAAAAAATGAAAATTTTACAAACCACTTCCACCCATTATAATTAGGAACAATATTTACAATGTTACAATGTTTAAACCGAGTCTCAGTAAGTAAACAGAACATAGCAATCTAACGGCAGTTACCTGAAGTTTTTCGACCCAGCTTTGGGTCCAAGTAATGGGAGAAAGAGGTTCACAGTTGCAGCCAATTGATAATTATTGACAATTTACAGTAATATCAAAACAACATAGAATCTTACAGCAAAGAAGGAGGCCATTCAGCCCATTATGCCTGTGCTGGCTCTTTGAAAGATCTATCGAATTAGTCCCACTCCCCCACTCGTTCTGATTGTCACATTGGGCACATTTTTCATCCTTTGGTTTTTAATTGAAATTTTGTGTTATTAATTATTTTGCTCAAACAAATGAACCAAGACCACAGCCTGCCCCAAGCTATCCCAGATGAGGTCCAGCACAAGATAGATTTAGATTAAAGCTCCATTTACTCTGTTCCAACCTCAGAAGAACACCAATGTGATATATTTCCCTTTCCCAGACCGTGGCCATGGGACAATGTGCACTGCCAACTGAGTTGAGATTGTTCACATTCGGTTCATATAAGACAATGACAATAACTTGCTTATTACAGCGTACTTCACACCGAGCGGCGTCTCGGAGCGTTTAACATTGGCGTGGCTTAACAGTGGTGGAGCCCGATGCCAAGCCAGGGGAAGAGGGAACCTGAACATAGGCACGGTCGAAGAGGAAGGTCTTCAAGCGTGACCTGGAAATGGGGAAAGAGGGGGCAAGGCAAAGGAATTGAGGAAGAGAGTTGCACAACTATGGGGTTAGCGGTTGAAAGCACGGCCGCCAATGGTGGGGGAGAGGGACCAGGAGAAAAGGAGAAGCCTGGAGCCAGTCGAGCGGAGGCAGTGGGTAGTAGTGTAGGGAGAGAGCAGGTTGGAGAGATAGGGGGGTGCTGGGGTATGAAAGGATTTAATACAAGAGTTAGAATCTGAAATCGATCTGCTCTGTGACAGGGAGCCAATGAAGTTTAGCAAGGACTGGGGTAATGAATGTACGGAGTTTTGTGCGGGTCAGAATGCGGACGGCGGAGTTTTGAATTACTTGAATTTTGTGAATTGCAGAGGGGAAACCAGCAAGGAGGGTGTTTGAGTAGTTTTAAGACCTTTACAAACCACACGTGAAGGAGACTGGATTTAAACCTAGGGACCCAAAGAGACAGCAATTAATGACTAGAGATTAGGTCTTCCAATTCATTTAAGAAACAACTTGATGCTGTAATGGGAAGATGGTAGGCTGCGTATTCTG